GTTCCTAGATAGTCATCAGCCTGATATATCCTCGATTTAGTTCAACGGTACATATACCAGTAAAGCTAAGTTAACAGAGACTAGAAAAATAATCCTAGAGTTTAACATATTAAGTACCAGTCAGCATGAGTGTTACCAGTTATAACCATCCATTATATTAACAGTTTTAAACTCATCGCGCACCCCGCAGTAGCAGGGCCTGATGATATAAGAATTAATAAGTATAATTAGTCAGTTATAAAAAAGTATTACTATCTTAAAGTAATGGAACCAGCTACTCGAAGATTACTTAACAGTCAAGTCTATCAAGGTCTGACCACCAGAACTATTTAACAGTAACCAAGCAAAGCTTAAGGCTTTCTTAACTCAGTTAGACTTGTATCTTAATATAAATAAAGAAAAGCTCAGAAACAAGATTAATAAGATTCTTTTTATATCCACCTACCTGACCAGAACAATATTTAATTAATTCAAGCCATATATCCGTGAGTACTAAGAAAAATCGGTAAATAATCAGAATAACAATATTAAAAAAATCTTTATTAATTATACAAATTTTAAGAAACATTTTAAATAAATATTTAAAGATATTAATATAGCACGCAATACTGAATGAAAGTTATAGTAACTCAAGCAGACTGGATTAATATCTAAGTATACTTCCAAGTTTTTATAAGTTATTAGTTACTTAGATTAGGATAAAGACACCTATATTGCATGATTTGAAGAGGGACTCAAGATAGAGATCCAAGAAAAACTTATTTAGTAAGAATAAATGAACACATTATCACAGATGATTGCAGCAGTAGTCAAGATTGATAACAAGTTATATAAATATAATACAAAAAGAAAGAAGGCTGATAGACCAGTAGGTCTATACCTTAATAAAACAATCAGCAAAGCTACTAAGCCAATAATAGAAGATTAGCACAATCAAGAAGTCTAGGATATGATAATCTTTACAGACTAAAACTAATAAAGCTGGATACAGCACAGCATTAGACTCAATAAAACAGAATATTCAAGGAGAAACTTGAACAGTGTAAGAAGAATTACTTATACTTTAACTGCAGCAAAGCAGATCATTAGTCAAAGAACTACTAGCAGAAACAGCAACAGTCTTAAAAGCAGTTAAAAGCTATACACGAGAATTAAGGCAGAGAAGTCTATAATATCATTACTATTCAGCCTGAAGTTTGGACAGAACCCGTGACACGGATACCAGGTAGTAAGATACTACATACTATATAATATAAATAACTATTAATACCAGAAAGCAGTATATATCAAGAATAGTTAAGGCAACAAGCTATTATAGATAAGTTAATAGTACTACTAGAACAACAAGAAGACTATTAACTATTTATACTATTTAATTAGCCCATGGAAGTCAATAATAATAATAAGCCAGCTCTAAAGGACAACTATTCCAGTATAGTTTAGAATAAGTTTAACTCTTTAAATAAAGAGTACAGTACTCAGCTAGAAGGCCTTAAACCCAGTAAAAAAAGACTCAGCAAGATACCCAATACCCTGGAAAAACCCCTATCAGAAATTAGTAAAATACGTCCAACGTAACAAGACAAAAATAAAAAAAACTAGAAGAATATTAAAAACAATATTACTTACTAGTTAGACTGTATTATGAAAGAACTCTTAAAGAATCCAGCACAATTCTGTCTAGAACTTAAAAAAATTATATAATATTGCCCATATTAGGACCTGAGATGTTGGGATTCATAGAATAAGACTTGGAAACAGTATTTATAAAAATATTCTCATCATCTAGAAGTTTGCCTGATATATAGACAAAATAATATAGACTACTATTATTAACTATTTAAGATCAGCTAGAAGATACAAGTAGCTAGAATAAAACCTTAATACAATAATAAGAAATATCTATACGTACTGAGAAGGTAACGGTTAGACAGACAGTAACTCTTATTAAGTAGAATCCTGATTTAAGTAATATCTAGAATGACCACGTGTCACATAATCATCTACCATCAGATCTATTATTGGAAGTATATCTAAGATATATTAAGAATCTTGAATCATGATTAAATTAATCATTAATCTATCTTAAATAATATATAATATGATATATAAAGAATAAAATATATAAAAACTTTCTTTTATATACTTAGCTAGTTCTATTCTTTATACTTAATCTTACTATCTTTAAGTAACTATATGATTAGAATATCTAGTAATAATACTTATCCGTATTTACTTATAGATAGCTATATAATATTATTCAGTCTTACTTCTCTTCTCTTGTCCAAGACCAGTTATTTCTAGATAATCATCAGTCTGATACATCCTTGATTCAGTTCGACGGTACGTATAACAGTGAAGCTAAGCTAACAGGGACTAGGGAAGCGATCCTAAGGTTTGACACAGGGAACCGGAACCTCTACATATATAAAGTAGGGAGCTGATGAAGCAGTCACATATCCCTGTAAATAAAAGAAAGGCAATATTCTTATTATATAGAGTAGAAAACTGAGAGACATTAAATTAAATACCAGGATCAGAAATATTTTCTTTATATTAATAAATAAGTTCTGGAGGGTCTATATTATCTTTATAGATCTAAAAATCATGATCTGCTTTATAATTAAAATAATAAATAATTAATTATATAAAAAAAGAGCCACAACTATAATATATATAATATTTATTCAAAATATAATTAATTTTCTAATAATCTGTATATACAAGACCTGGTTTGGTAAGACTATATTTAAATAGATCAAGATTAGTAAGATTAATATTAGTGAGATTAGAATCAGCAGAATTATTATTATCTAAAAAATTAATATATTAATTATTTATATAAGAGATATTACCGACACGGAAATAAGATTCTAGTTAAGTAATAAATAAAATATTATAGATACCCCATGACAGACAGATCTAAATAATATATATAGTAATTAATATTTTAAAAGACAGTATAGAAATTATTTTGTTACTGAGAAAGTTTTGTTCTAAAAGACTTAATAATTAATAGTAAGTAATCTTTATAAAGTTTAATCAGGACTTTATTACCAGATTTAAAAAATATAGACTAATAACATTTATTATAATAAAGTTTTATATATATATGGAAGTGAACTTCATAACTGTTTTAATATTAAGATAATAAAATATATAAGCTTAAGTAAACAATAAATTTTTAATAGATACTAAAATTGATATAAATATATATTAAAGAGTAAATAGAAAGGTGTTGATTTCATGGATATATTTAGTAATATATTTAGAATACTAATAATAATTAAAAATTATAAAATCTAAGATAGATCTTGAGTAACTGTATAATATATTATGATTTTAATAATTTAAACTATATATTCAGTTTAGCTGTCAGCTTGTGATAATATACTATACTATAATATCATAATATACTTAGAAAATAATCCTTTCCAAATATTGCTAGTAAAATAGATATCTTGATTAAAGATAAATACATATAATAAGCCTTAATTATATTCTTATAAATAAGTAACTCAGCATCTTAATAAACAGTAAATTATATAGATAGTCTGGAAATTAGGTCTGCATGCTTAATAAAATTATTAATAATTATTAATAACTGGTTATACTAAATATTAGAATAAATAGTAGATAGAAAAGTGATAATAAAATTTAATATAATTATATAAAATAGTTCAGGAGATATAGTAATTAATTAAAATTAATTCTATTATATGTCAGTATGGTTTATTCAGCATGTATATAAAATAACAAGTAATATAATTATATAATAACTTACAATCTTTATATATAATAATATTATTTAAAGTATTAAGATATTTATTTAAGCCTTGATATCTGTACTGATTATAAATAATTTAGAAAAGTTCCTGTATTGCACCTTGACAGTTTTGTTCTATAATAAGTTACAAGTAAAGATTTTAATAATATCTTTTTTAATATATGAAATCATTTATATATAATAATCTATATAAAAATACTATTAGAAAAAGAGATTAATTATTACAAGTTATTTACTACTCGCGGCCTTAAGAATCAAGATCTTAAAAAAAGAATAATTATAAAAATATATATTCTTCTAATACTCGCGATAGAGCTATATTAGAAGAAATATCTATATTAATATTAGTCCGTTATAAATCTTAATTAATAAAATATAGAAATCATATATTTTATAATCTACTTATAGATATAAATATCCATGAGAAGTAGAATCTAGATAACTAGTAATAATATCCTAAGAAAATACATCCATATATTTAGTATATCACAATACAGACATATTCTTGACACTACCTCAACCTTTCATCCCTTATACAGGGTCTAACCCTTTTCAATTAAAGAATGTCTAATTCTTCGAAGAAGGGGTTCAAACATGTAGTAAAGTAATATACATAGCTACGTGGCTACTTTAGACAGTAATATGGATTTTAGCAACACCTAAATAGAAGCAATCAAGGCGTCATTCTCATATAGTTGCTTATATCGGGGGTTTTACTGTAGTACCTTTGCCCACAATAGGCTGTAATACAAATCTGTGGGAGCGTAGGGTTGGCTGGGCTGTCATTCAATGTATCCACAATTAATATGGGGCCAACATTACCAATGGTCCAATCGGGCTGCTGCACACTTGAATCTATATACTGTCTTCAGTAGTCTATGAGGTCATACGAAAACTCCAGCGGAGTATCAAATGGATGTAGGTCACATGCTCCAATAATGATGCATTTTCCACCTCCAATGTGGCATGACATTGATGGATACATATATACATTTAAGCATCTCTCAACTACTCGACTGGCGATCCAATCCTTTCTCCTCATTCTCAATTGACAGACCGCTTCCATCAGCAACCCAACGAGCTTTAGAACGGATTTGCAACCCGCCTATTGTATGCACCCTTATTCAATAGGTACTTGATATATCCGCCATACAAGATTCTTAATGATATAACTGACATCTGCTTTTTCCCAAGGGGAGTCATAGAAGAGGGGTCCAATCCAGACAACCAGCTTTACTTCACTTCTTCCCAGCCAAGTGTGTAACATGTACAGGGTCATCTGCTTATCTGCTAGTTATTCACTAACTACCTACCCAAGTTTTAAAAAAGAAGAAATATCGCTTAAGAGTCCTGCGAGCCAAGAGTAAGTCCACCTAAGCTTGCATATTGTCTCATGACTAGATTTGCTCTTGCACTGGCCTCAAGGAATCAAGCTCGCATTGTGTGCTCTTGTATCTGTATTAACTGCCCCAGTGACACGTTCACACAAGATCAACGATCAGGATCACACTGCATCACAAGAAGGGCCGGCCCTTCCCCATGAGCATCTTCCTCGCTATTTTGCCAAGTCTGGACCCGTGGATGCGGATCCTCGAAAGACAAAGAAAGATGGAGGAGGCAAAAGGAACTGGTCAGTACAATACTGGCTAGCTGTCTTATCTTGGCCTGCGAAAAAGAATGTCCAGTGACCTGTCTATAGGGGCCGCTCTGGCGATGAAGTCCAAGATTATGGCTACAACTTTACAAATACACGACGTCACTCGAATAGCAGCACTCAGGGCATAGCAGAGTTCACGACCAAGTTCGAAGCCATCGAGCCAGAGCCCGTATTTGAAGACAACTTGCATGGACCCTTAGATGCCTCCCCCATGAACGAAGAAAGGGTAACGAAAGTTGACAGTATCACTAGTGCTAATACTGAAGTTGTTGAGGGCATTTCAAGCGCCCTCTAGCGAAACTGCGCCGATAAACTGGGATTCAGATGAGGAATTTTATTTATCTGAGTCAGTATATAGGAATCATGAAGGTGCTTTTATCGGGCCTCAGGTCACCGGCTGCTTGGGCTAGGAACACGGGAGAATGATATTTTGCTTGCGACATGTACTATCTCTGCTTAGTGTCACCTGCGCTCAATGGATCTATCACACGGAGTAATAGATGCAGGAGCCTCGGTCTAATGAGCTATGGGCTCAAAACGAGCACCGCATTGTTAAGACTTCCGTAAAAAGGTCATATAATGAGAAATATTATCAAAGGATGTGAAATTCACCGGGCAGAGCGCAAGAGGAAACGATAGTTATTTGCAATAATGTAATTTCATTACCAGCAGTGTATCTTCAGGCACATCGTGGCAATAAGCAGCATAGAGAAGCTAAAATATTTGCGGAGACTGGAGTTGTAACCCTAGAGCCAACTGAGCTGTGTCTTTCCAGTTTCTGGCTCCTGTTGGATACAATCTTGCACGTTGCTGCTGCCTTTGTCATTATTAACAGAAGCCGCAGCAAGCCCCTGCGGCACAGTCTCAACCGAGTCGACAAGGTTCTTGAACCAGAAACCAAGCCTTCCCTTTGCGATGTGCTGGTGCAGGATCTCATTTTCCCTAGCAAGATCACGAGAAATCCGGACCCGTCGCTCAGGGGGGAAGCGTGATGTTATAAGATCAGCCTCCGACTCACTCAATAACACGTCGTGTGGAGTGGAGGGGACATAAAGCTTAGGGTAATTAGAGTCTTCGTCGCGCGCTGTAGCAGCTTTAGTAAACGCTGGAAACAACAATATTTGATCCCAAAGGGGGCTTACCGTCCTTGAGACACCAACAAAGGGTACGAAAGAGTGCAGTGCCATAGAGAAGCGATTCCGTGCTCATTCCCATCTGATCAGCAATTTCCCCTGTTCGCTCCCAATCGCTATCTATCATACATCTTCTCCATACCAATTTCTGCAATGCAGCATTGTAGTGCGAGTCCCGCTGGTCGCAAGAAAGCCGGATAATTCGCAAGGCTAGATAGAATTGCTTCCCCACAATTTCATCTTGACCATGTTCAGAGACTTGGGCTAGACATATAAGCGTTAGCAGGTCAATCAGTTCATCTAAACCAACGACCTGTCGCGTGACAATTTTAGCGAGTGCCTCGCTAAATATCTCATGCAATGATGGTCTATCCCCTGCAGTTGGTTTGCGGAAATGTTCGATTGCAATATCAACTTCCGCTTTTTGGTCAATCGCACTATGCAACGCTGGTGCAATGTAAGCAAAAATTACTTCTTGGACGGCGTCTATTTCCGCAAAATCTTCCAAGCGCCTGACATTATTGCGAACAACCAAACTATCTGGCATAGCTGATTCTTCCCAGGCTGCTAGGTTTGCAAGCTTTGCTAGAGACAACTCGACGCGATGACACCATATATCCGATTCATGTTTAGTGGCCAACTTCTCCAAGGATCGGGCAGCGTAGTCATAGTTGTTTTCGCCGATCACATCATTGATCCAGCCCAGCCGTAAATAGCCTGGGTGTTTTCGTAGAAAACGAGTGACGAAGGGCTGAAACTTCTTCATTGCAAACAGGATCCCAGACTGTCCCATAGAGATCTGTCGAGAAAAGAACGCGTCTGCCCATGGTTCCCCAAATTTCTCAAAGTAGAAGGAAATCCTTTTACTCAGCTGTTCAGATGCATTATCGTCTGCATTCGTAACACTGCTCAGTGAACTTTCAGGAACCACAAGGCTTTTAGTTTGGTCCTGGAGTTCAATTATGAGTTCCACAAGTGCTCCCATGTCTCGAAACTGCTCGGCAAGGATGATGGCATCTTCTAGGTGACCTATCCCTGCCAATTTGAACAACTGCCATTTTCGTTGCTTAATCTGAGCATGTTCTGTGGTGATCCCTTCGTCGACAAGCTTTTGATCTTCTTGGGCTGAAAGCCACTGGACCCGTTCACAATGCATATGTCCTAAAACATGGAGCTGTCTGGCGCTGTTTTTGGCAATCCTTTGGACAGTTTGATTTTCTGGTGGCTCGACGCCGACTGCTGTTTGTTGAATCCAAGCCCTGCAACTGTCAAGCTCCAGATCTAGTAGGTGTCCCGATTCTATGTAACAATAGCGCTGTGATGTCCAGAACTCTGGGAGACCATTGTAGCCACTCATCAACACACCATTTTCCAGATAGCCGTCACTTATTCCGTACCGGCTGGAATGTTCATCTCGGTAACGAAATGCTGTCTCTAGAACAGCCAGAGAGAGTTCGCTAGCTTCCAGCAGCTGTTCTGACATCCTCCGCCCTTGTTTCGTAGAGCTTCCCTTTTGAGGCTTGATCGCGTTAAATATCCACGGCACAATGTGCTCCATCTGAAAAGTATCGTATAGGAACCAATGGCGTACTGGATCGCAATCTCCGGCTTGCTTCTCAATCTTTGTTTTAAATTTCTCGCTCATTAATCCAATTATATGAGCTAGCAACGTTGAAGATTTGTTGCCGCATTTTCTGCTTTCATCTTCTAATTTCCACATAGCTCTTTGGGCTGCAAGCTTCTCCGCACCCCAAAGCAGCTCCCACCAAACTTCACGACGGAGGGCCTTATTGTGCTGTGTCAATAAGAGGGCGAGTTCATCAAGGGCTTTCGCGCGGAGTTTCAAATTCTGATCGACGGATATCCCGGTTGAAGGAATGAATTCTGATGCAGATCGCATAAGTTCCCTGCAAATTTCCAATGCAGCCTGCTCGATTTCGTCAACCGGGAAGCCTAAGCCACCAGTACCAGTTAAATTCAATGGGTTCTTCGTCATTGTGCCATAGAATATGGCCTGCTCGATTTTGAGTTTTGCCGTGATTTGGCCAATATCAATATTGCTCCTTGTTCTTTTATTTGGCAAAGCTGTGATGCGGATGATACCAAAATCTCGAACCATGAGTAGGCACGCAGCTAATGATTCTTCACCATTCTGATTTTCACTTCCACTGCCCAATATCTCATAGCTTTCTCCGGATCGCAGGGGGATGATATCCCTGAACATTCGCCCTTGCTGGCTGCCAGAAATTGCATACTGTGAAATGGCAGGCTGTTCATAGGTGCTCAATGATAGTAACACAACTGACTGCCCAACGAGAATGAACGCGATGTGTCCAGGACTTGGTACGAATAATTTAACGTGCGAGAACTCCAGCTGTGCGGGTAGGCCATGCGGGTCAATTGTGGCAGTTGATTTTATTTGAACGTCGCTGGAAAGCCCCATTTGCACAACGAACATATTCCGAGTTTTTCTTGAGTCACGAATCACAACTGCTGTGATCAGCTTTGGATGGGGACCATCGCGATGCGTTTCACCGTCGCTTTCGACCTCGGACAATGCAAAATCCAAGACCCTTAGGTTCTCATCATTAACCTGATCCTCAGACTGGGACCCAAGGGCTTCACGTAAGAGATCCCCAATATCAAATTGCTGTTTTAGCATGCTTCCATTATTCCAGTGGGTGTCCCAAACTTCAAAAAGACCGATAGACGAAGCAATTATGACATCCCGTTGGCCACGCTGGTGGGACTCGCCTGCGCGAACAGCAGCGATGTCTTTTCTGTAAAAGCCACCTCCAAGGGCATTTCTTAAACTCCCCAGTAAGCCGGCTTTACCGCCACTTGGGGGGTTTCTGAGAAACGATGCAGTCACTGCTGGCTTCCCCTGGGGGTCCCTGATGGTTATATGAGCAACTCTTCCGGTGGAAAATGTGACGACAACACCAGACGGCTCGCTATTGATTACGTCCGTGGCGTGCTCCCCAGAGAGCAAGCCGTGTATGCACCCCTGAAGGCCGGAATGCTTCTGTCTGGCGAACCCCAATGATGCAGCACTCGATACGGTTTCCCAGTATATGACTTTCCCGGAATACGGCATAACCACCATCAACCCCGGTGCTCCACCTGCAGCGGCCGATAAAAGCAATCCGAGGGGGACAGTATCGCTGGACTCTGAGCGTGATTCAGGTATTGCAAGCGTGAAAACATCTGCAGGAGAAGGGGATGGAGTTGCGGTCATATATGGCCAGATGATGGCGTGCGACTTTGTTAGAGCAAGAGCATATCCATGACTGTTTCCAAATGATCCTCTAAAACGCCCTGCAAATCAGTGTTACTAAAGTATCAAGATGACGGCTCAAGTAATACTTGCCTGATTGCAGACCAAGAATTTGGTCCGGCAAAGTTGGTAGCTGGGTTACCGTATAGAACTCTGTTTTCGACTATACACAAACTAACATAAGATTATGGAATTTCGGGAGTCAGAGTGTTCCATAATCACTCACAAGCACAACTGTTCCATCCCCTCCGTCCTCGCGCTTCTCTGGCCTTTTAGCACCCCTTATTGGAATGCTTCGGTGGACGTTGACATTCTCTGCGATTGCGAGGTCTTCTTCCAGCGATGTTGACGGGAGGCGTTCCTGCAATCCGAGCTGGATATGTTGCTCGGCTAGAGGGTTGGATGATGGCTCTAGGATTTCCTGGCGCAGCGCAGATCGCTGTCTCTTCGCACTTGGTGGCTTTGGAGATTCATCTGAGTTTGTACGCTGGCGCCTCCGAGGATTGCGAAGAGAAGCAGATGATGGATGTGCCTTTGGTACAAACATTTTTGTAAGGCCTCGCACAAATCAAATGAGAACCAAAGGGGCCCTGCGTGTTCTCAAGCCCAAAAGTGCGTATCTGACATGTATTTGTACTTCAGTTTGACGATGAAGAATCAATCCGAGGTTTTATTTACTGTATCAAGATGTCGAGTAAATAATAATAATAATAGTAGTAGTAGTAGCTGTCCATCGCGGCCGCTCCGAAGGCGGTCAAGCAGCCAAGCCGCCGCCGTACTACTACGGGGCCACCCACTCTCTAAATGCAGTCTTTTGGTACATTATTATTAAGTAGATAAATAGATGGATAGATAGCTTTTACTACAAGTATGCAGTCAAGTATGCGGCACTACAAGTATAATACTACTATCGCCACACTTACAATTATGTGCTTTCAGTATCTGGGTAGGACTATTTTCTATATCGAGTCTCAAGGAGCTAGTATATACTGGATACTACATACACTTATCATATACCTGCAATGCCGTGCAGCTGATGCCCAAGTGCCATGATCGCGGTCATGATATATCACGTGATACTGAATGATCTTGTTGTTTCTGCCCTTATGTCAAACGAAGTCAGATTGCCTGTGAGAATTATAATGCAAATGCCCGATGAAGACTATGCTATACGGTAACAGCGAGAGCTGTCTGATCTTCACAGAGCCTACGGAAAATGCTTGCTTTCCATTCGAGATCGAGACTAGTCTTTGACATAAAAACACTCCGACACCATGTTCATCGTCCTAGGCAGTTGAATGTCAGTCTCCGGAGAAAATATGCCACTGCCATTGCCGCGGAGACAATCTTGCGCACTGCCCTTTTTTTCCCTGGTTTGTATGTCCTGCATCTCGAAAGCGCCTATGTTCTGACGCCTTCTCTTTCTAGGTCATGGGGTACAACGCGTGGGAATGGCCAGTTCCTGGGTCAATAAGTTCCCAAAGACATCCGGAAAATTTTTAGATGAGATGGACTCTATACTTGGGTTCAAACTGTCCCAAATCCTTTCCGAAGGCCCAAATGCTGAGCTCAATAAAACCGAAAATTCCCAGCCGGCTATAATGGCAACGTCGATACTAATACTTCGAATACTGGAAGAAGAGTTCGGCTTCGAGACAAAATCTCGAATAAATGTTACCCTCGGCCATAGTTTGGGCGAGTTCTCCGCACTGGCTGCTGGAAGTTACCTTGATTTTGGCGATGCGCTGAAATTAGTGAGACGTCGGGCGGAAATAATGTCTCAATGCACTCGAGATGCCACTGAGAGCTCAGGAGAGGACTACGGCATGATAGCACTTATCTGTGAACCCGATCGTCTGAGTGAACTGATTGCTACTATCCACGAATTCATTGGACGCGGCCCATCGAATCTGAACGACGATTCGAACTACGGGTTTCAGGCATTTCAACAAGTGATGGTTGCAAATGTCAATTCTAGGGACCAGATCGTACTCAGCGGCAGCCTTCCAAGAATAAAGGCTTTGCTTATCCAGCTCCGCCAGTTTGGAGGGCATGATCCACGTGCGGTGAAATTAAGATGTGAAAGCCCGTTTCACAGCTCCATAATGCTACCCGCTGCCAACTACATGAAACAGGCCCTTGAACATATGAATATTAATTTTCCAGCACAAATTCCATGTATTTCCAATGTGTCGGGCTTGCCATTCAATTCCAAGGAGGAACTCAAGGTCTTGTTATCGCAGCAATGTGTCGAAACGGTGAAATGGTGGGATAGCATTCGATACTTAGGCCAAGTGCAAGGAGTAAGACGATGGATTGGCATAGGACCCGGAAAAGTCGGTAGAAACCTGGTTGGAAAAGAGGTGGGTAACGTGACGGCTAATGGCGGTGGTGTATGGTCTATCTGTGATCCCCTGGAGGTCGAGAATATCCTCATTGCCTTTGAAAAGACTAAGAGCGATGCCCTGCATGATTGATATGGTTATTGGGCTTGGATTGTTTACAGTTCCTAAAGTTGTTATACTAGCATGGCATCTTACCCTTGCAATGTGCTGTGCTATATCCTCATCCAATTCTCAGATCTTAGCTGCACATAAGAGTAAAGGGAGCTCACCGTTGACTGATGTCTTGATGGGCACCAACATTCCTCTGTGAGATATGATCGCGCCTAGCGAGATACCGCTGAATCAGACAGCACTTTGTTTCGACATGGGATACACTCATTTTAAGCAGGTCTTTGAACGAGGCTAGGGGTCAGAATATTATATGATACATGAATAAGAAATGCCCATCAATGTCAGACCGTCAGATTGTTTCCCACATTTCATGGGTCCGGGAGTTCTTTAAAATGGTGCTGCACTCGGGGCCCATGTGTCTCCAATTCTCTTGACTTCATTAATAAATTTCTGGTCCGCAATCTGCGAATTGCACGCCGAAACTGGTTTACCCGCAGCCACATGCTCGTCCGGGGAATAGAACGGATTTTGCAGCAACTGTACATAGGCAGTTTGGAGAGCTCGAAAGACCTGTGGGACGGTACCATTACTATGCAGGTTCACATATGACGCCAATAGACTGTTATATAAATTTTGGAATAGGAGGAATTATCATGACTTACCGCTTTTAGATCTGCTTCTCTCAAGCCCGTCCTCGTGGAAGTTATCGGGTCTCCAAAGTTTATTGGCTGTCCCACTAAGTCAACTATTATTAAAAACTTCACTCCAGTTGTTGTAAGCCAGCCATATGCTGCCAGTCTTTCGTCCACGGCCTGCAAAAGACCGAGATCTTGATCAATTGATGTCTGTTTGCGCCGTATTTCGAAAATATCAAGGCAGGAGTTCAATATGAAAGAGAACTCGATGGTGGACTCCAAGTAAGGGGGGAACAATGATACGTGGAGTGGGTTATCCTGATTGCCATATCAGCCTAGTAGTGGACAAAGGATATAGCGACTTACAGCTTTCCCAATGATACCGATACAGGCGATTTTAGGCAAGACCATCTTGTCTGGCCAGTCCCGGATTGTCTCAGAGGTCTGTCTCAACTTAGTGGGGAAAACTTTCCAGTTTCATTGTTTGTTGTACTCGAGGCCTTTTCTCCCTTGTGCATGTTGTAGATAGACGGTGTTTGAAGTCGTTAACTAAGCCGTCCAGTCTTATGTCAGTGATAGTAAGTTATGTAAGGTACCTAAACATTCACATGGATAAACCAATACCAATTCAGGATATATACTACGCAGTAAACACTGGCAAATGTAGTATTCATAGTACCATGTCTACATGTATTGGAACTATGATAAAGCTATTGACATATCTATATATATATTCAGCGACATAACTATTCGTGTATCTCTAAATAAAATAGTCTACCCTGCATGAAAGTATACCTTGGTGCAAGATAACAAGTACCGAATAAGTGGGTCAGTACTGGTTGTCCAAGGCAGCTTCTCCGTGAACATAACTAGGCATTCTTGAGAACCGAGCATCTCTAGCGACCGTATGACTTTATACTCAAGATTATCGTCCTGATTCTGTCACATTCCTATCGGCATATATCCTACAAGTTGGGGTCTTTAAGTATTGCTGAACAGGTAGGATCAGTCCTCTCTGGGGTCTTCATCCCATTCTATGCCGTTTCTGCTGCTAGATAGACGTCCCTGAGCGACGTCTGGCTGAATTCTGCTCGTCAGGGCCATGGACTTCTCCTGACGTAAGATTTTTTTGTTCTTTGAAGTAGTTACAACACATATAGGGACCCTTAATGTTATCTATTACCATTAATATCCGACCAAGGAACATGTAGTCAGATACTCGATTAGACAGCGCGGTGTCTGCGTTACCAACGATCTGATCGGACTGCGGTGTCTTCAATCCATCAATGAAGAAAGAGTCTGTGGTTCAGCCAATAAAGCTCTCCAGAATCTAACTTACACTACCAACTAACTGGCCGATTGCCCGCGGTTCACGTGCTAGTACAGTATAATACCAATAAAGAACGTAGATCACTTATACGACCTTTGTGGCCTTGTTTTATTACGGTAAAACAAGGAAAGAGTGGCCCATTAGTACCACCAGTGCAGAATGATGCTCTAATTTGAGCCTTGGCTATCCCGAGTCCCGACTCGCATTGACAATATCATCTTGCACCCATTGACAGATCGAACATCCAATCCTTCATCTTGCTGGCCTTTCCTTTAGTTATTGCACCCAAAGGTATCTCGTATCTTTGTCCACATCGATATTGGAGGCGATTTAGCCATGTTGCCTCTTACCGGTCGCGCCATTCCAGGCGCCATCCCAAGCGCTTTTCATGGTAGGTGTTCTCAAATACTGGTCACTACTAATTGCTAACGCCTGGTAGTGCGACCGTATCTTACCCCACGTCGTTTCCGAATTCAGCCAGTATCATTCCTCTCGACCTCTTCGGTCAAGTCGGCAACAGCAATTGAACAGCGGGGACAGTCTGGTCATGCGCTCACTGCTTCTGGCAAGGTGCGGAAAGAGGTGCCCTTGCCGAGTCAAGAGAAAAAGGAGGGTGCAATGCAATATGTGCTGTGTGTAGCCTAAAACGCATAGTATCTGTCTGTCATGATTACTGATTTATTCACAGCACCACCCTTGACCAAGTTGCTAACTGGGCGCGGCAAAGTTCTTTGTGGCCCATGACTTTTGGCCTCGCATGTTGTGCAGTTGAGATGATGCATCTGTCAACTCCCAGATACGACCAGGATCGTTTAGGAATTATCTTCCGGGCTTCTCCGCGGCAGTCAGACGTGATGATTGTTGCCGGTACTTTGACAAATAAGATGGCTCCTGCTCTTAGACAAGTCTATGACCAGATGCCCGATCCCCGCTGGGTGGTCAGCATGGGAAGTTGTGCAAATGGTGGTGGTTATTACCATTACAGTTATTCCGTTGTTCGCGGATGCGATAGAATAGTACCTGTGGATGTTTATGTCCCTGGATGTTCGTATATCCCTCATCACCTCTTCAATGACGTATGCTAACGGGAACGAAAATCTAGGTCCACCTACCTCCGAGGCATTGATGTATGGAATCTTCCAGCTTCAAAAGAAAATGAGACACACAAGGATCACCCGCATGTGGTATCGCCGTTGATCCTAATTGATGATCGGCGCCATTCATTTCTCCAGGAGAGGGTGGGAGGGATGAATTCGGACATTAATTATGTAGTGAAGTCCTGTGACTGCCGTATTCATAGGGTGGAAGAGAGAGGTACAGTCTAATCCTTCAACAGACTTTTTAAATGTGTTGTGTTTGGGAAGGATAAGGAAACGTATGGCTGGGGTGTATTCTGTATGATGAATGGGCTTTTTTCTTAGGTGCAAAAGAGTGAATATATGGGGACATTGCCTGGAAGCTCGCTGCCATTGCTCTGCCCTGTTACATGGGCTGATTCTGATTCATATTACAATATTATATCGCTACCATATTGCAATTTTGTGAAATGCAGGGTACGTAAATATCCGGTTCCAGTTCAAGATATGTACAGCTTCAAAAGGCATGGTTTATTTCGTAGGCTTTCGCAGTATTATGCATATTGTAAGGTCTTATTTTGTCCTTGCGGCGAGATATAGAACACAACAAAGTTTTCTTGGGTAATAAGGATGAATTACATGAGTATAATCGACCATGAAAAGTACTTGGGTGAGCTTTATAGTTATGAAGTAGAAGTAGAGGGTGAGAATTAAGCTGAGTTTTGGAAAGGCATGTGTAATCACTCGAGTCATGAGAACATGATATTTACTGAATTTGTATCACTTGTAACATAAGAATAGACACTTGGGCAATCTAATTGCAAGTTAGTACAATTACCTTGATAAAGGTTATATACTGCAGGGGTTCCACTTATCTTTTTATTGGCCAGTCAAATAAATACTTACTGTAAATTTGGAGAATACATATGGCAGAAGATGATGGTACGTTGCTCCCCCTGTCTATATTTAGATTAGATATGGTAAAAGACCATAGTTGTTGATATACAGTTTACCTATCGTTCCACCTCTATACCAAACAATTACCACATACTAACATCTATAGTACTTGGAATGCTGAATTGAATGTCATCTATTATACACAGTACAAGCATTTGGTACGTAGATAGATGGTGATGAGGCAGCCAACAAAGACACATGGTCCGAGCTTTTTTTTCTTCTTGACTTCTCCGCTTTTACGGAGTAGTAAGGATTTTTTTTTTTAACCTTCTATGCCGTTTTTTCGAACCTATTTTTCTGGAGTGGACACCAGTAGATGCCTGAAAATTTGTGAACTTTTCTTATCCTGCGCCCGCAGATTCACTTCCTCATCTTCTCTTGTTATCATCATTCTAACGCGCTGTCGCATTTTCTGATCCATTCATCTCAAGTCCAAGTAATGCTTATCCCGCGCCATGAAGCATAACGCCCCCGGCCGCTCTGAAGATCCTGATAAGCAGGCGTCTCATGAAGTGATTCCTTCTCTTAAATCAGAATTGGCTGCACCCTGGACGTTTCTTCGCCCTACAGCCAATCTAAACAGTACTATCACAGGCTCTGTGAAATTCTACTTGGACTCATTGGCCGCTTCGGTCGGCGGCTCCCAATGTGCACGCCAGCGAAGGAATAGAAAGCGCAAAAGATTCGAAAACGACGAGGACCCTTCCACCCAGGCCTTGCAGCTGAAACAACTTTATGTCGAGGGATTCACTTCTGACCAAATATGGCAACAAGCGCTGAGGATTCTTGATTATTCTGGTGGTGAGATTGAGCGAGATCTCTCTTGGTTATCCGAAACATCTAGGCAGCCCCTGGACTCTACTTATCATGCAGTGCTTGGCAACACTGAAGTAGAGCACAGCGATTTCGATCACACGGATACTGATACCACCCAATCGAGTATTGACGATGATGATATTCTTGGCTCAGAGCACGAGGGCTCTCAGAGTCAGTCTGTGAATGAGTCAGACCTGGAAGAGAGTATCGAAGCATTGTCCGACAAGGTTGCTGAAAGCGATACCGACGACGAAAGACAAGATATATATGTGGAGGATCGCTTTGGCTTGAATGATGGCTTTTTCTCAATAGATGATTTTAACAAACAGTCGGAACTACTCGAGAGACAAGACGCTAGGGGTGGGCCTGACCATGATCTTGAAAGCGACGATGAGGAAATTGATTGGCATGCAAACCCTCTTAATACTGCGGGGTCGATATCTATGTCAAAGAGAGACTTACCCGATAACGTTGCCGATGATGAAGATGATGATATGGATGATAGTGAGGAGGAAGGACCAACATTCGGAAATATGGACCTCCAGGGCGAATCTGATTTCGATGAGGATGATGCCTACGCCGCTGCTTCTGAAGAGGCAGGATGGGTGAATACCAGCGACATCAAGTATTCCGACTTTTTTGCGCCACCACCGCGGAAAGCTACGCGCAAAAAGTCACGCTCTCTTCCCAAAACGCAGCCGAATGAAACAATATCTAAAGGCGATGTTGATCGTGCCATGGCTGATGTTCGTCGTGATTTGTTCGAAGATGAACTTTCTGGCGAGGATAGCGATGAGTATGACGAAACGCGAGGATCCCAAAACAATCATTCTAGTCACGAAAAGCAGCGTGCTCGGATCGCCGATGAAATTCGTCGCTTGGAGGCAGCCAATGTTGCCAAGAAGGAATGGATGCTCGCTGGTGAAGCGAGGGCCGTTGAAAGGCCTATGAACTCCCTCATTGAGGAAGATCTTGATTTCGAAAGAATCGGGAAGCCTGTTCCCGTTGTCACTGCAGAATCATCAGGGGATATCGAAGAGCTTGTCAAGCGAAGGATTCTTGCAAAACAATTCGACGAAGTTATACGTCGTCGCCCTGGTGTTTCCGACGGACAAAACGCAGGGAGAACGCGACTTGAGCTGGAAGACACGAAACCGCAGCAGAGCCTGGCTGAATTATATGAGACCGACCATCTTCGTGCGACTGATCCGAACTATGTTGATTCCAAAGACCAAAAGTTGATGCGTGAACATGTGAATGTCACAAATCTATGGAAGGCGATCAGTTCCCAATTAGATACGCTCTCAAACTGGCACTATAAACCCAAAGCTCCGCAGGCAAGCATCAATGTGGTTACAGATGTAGCAACTATTACCATGGAGGATGCTCAACCGACGGCGAGCAGCGCTGTCAACGGAACGGCAACTCTTGCACCTCAAGAGATATATGCACCTGGTGACGATGGTAAAGTTGTTGGTGAAGTCTTGAGAAATGGCATGGCGATTGCCAAAGAAGAAATGACCCGCGAACAGAAAGCCAGGTTGAGGCGAGAGCACAAGAAGCAGAAGGCTAGCACTACGCGCTCACAACAAAAGTCTGGCAAAACAGCTGAAAACCAGCAGATCATGTCAGATTTGAAGAAAGGAGGAGTCAAATTAATCGGGAAGCAAGGTGAAGTGACAAACATCCATGGTGGCAAAATTAAAGATGGCGCGAAGAATGACGGTCATGCCTTGAAGCTTTAGTCTACGGAATTTTGGGAGCGAAATGAGTAGCTACTCTAAAAGGAGTTTTAGCTTCATGAATTTGCATGCGTCATTCTTTCGATATCCTGTAGCTAGTTCTTCTCGACATGTTTTTTGTCTGATTTCAAACGAATCGTGTAGAGGAAAATATTTTCTCGCCGGTAGGTCTCCATATCAGGGTCATCCTTGATCTCGTCAACATCGAATGTTTTCTTCGCCTGTTTCATCAAGCGGAGATCTGCCCGTCTACGCCTCTTGAAGCAGAAGTAACAGACAGACTCTGGCCCAAGAAGGTCGTTCAAGGTCGACATTAGGAGAGGAAAGGCAGGTTCGAAATAGACGCAGTCGGCGGCGAGTATAATCGCGGGGTGCTTTGGAATGCTGTCTGGAAGGGGATCACCCCAATTCAATACAGCAGCTTCGACTGCCGAAGAAAGACCGTTGAGCTTAATATTCGTTTTCATCAACGGCAACATTGGACTTTGATCCGTAATACATATACGTGGGAGCTCAGGATGGCATCTTCGTGCAACCGCAAGTCCAACGAGACCGCCGCCGGCTCCTAATTCAACTCTAATCAGTAATCAGCAGATGTATACTTACTTGTAAACAGGGAACGAAGAGGAGAAAGTGAAAAGGGCAGACAGGACTATATGGCAAGGAAACGGACATCGTTTTATTGAGAAACCTAGAGTGGTGTTGACGTAGCAGGTACTTAGACAGGACCATCCCCGCTGGCCATAGCTGGCCTCCACATCCTTCCTTAAGATCTTCCTGGAGGAGTAGCGGGCTTGACAATAGCCCATCAAAAGAGATACTGCTCTGGCTGGCAGGCTTGAGGTCCCTCACTGGGACCAATGATTCATTGATGTCTATCGAATCATTCACACCAACTCCAACCTGTAATGAATCGGGGTCTTCCATCGGATACGAGAACGGTATGTTATATACCACAGCGTTATCAAAGACCTAACAGTGGAGGGGGAACAGGAGGCGATGCCCGCGAACTTTCGAAGAGCAGGTCAGGCAGAAGGGACGCCCGTTTGATGAACTTGTTCGTTTCTGGAAAAAAGATTGTAGGTACAGCAGTGTTTTCGCTCGTTTTCCTTCCCGCCCTCCTTGCCCCATCCGATTTTAAAAATCTAGATCCTCATAACCATTATGCGCACATCTTGTGTGGCTGCATAGTTTACTCCTTGGTCTAGATAATCCCAACTGCAGCATTTATTGAAGACACTTTCTATCATTGTTGATTACGTATTTGACCTCCGATAGACAGAAATGATCGCATAAGAGGCAGCAGAAGCAGCGGCAGCACATTCATCAGGACCTGGCCAGGCAAATGGTCAAACCGCCCGGTCATGCTATCTTATGGAATTACATTGGTATAGTTAGCCATCACTCGGTTATGTTGCTGTTGGTTATCCTCCATCCAGGATGTACAGTGCAGTGACCATCTAGCGAGGTTTGCTTTCAAGTTGAGGGATGGGTTGGGTAGTTTACAGTTGTTGGTCATGTTACGATATTTTGAACAGCCATGGCTTATTGCGTAAAGGAAGAAGTTGACATGGCGGAGCTGTTGCTATACTATGGTATAGATACTGTTGGCAGATTTGTTTTTTGTACCTGGCCGGGGCTAATAGGGCATTATCTGCCCATCATCGGCTTTGCATAATTCCACAAATTTTACTATCAAATCAGAACAACTCGTATTGGTTAAGTTAATTGAACACCTTATACTCCATACTTTAGCAACCATACTATAGTGTAACTATAGCGGTCCTTCTGGAATATCAAGTCATGTGATTAAGAAGCGGTTAGAAAAGTAGACAATAACATTCCTGTCAGGGATACTCCATAGAGGACATGCGGGCCGTGCCAGACTGCAAGTGCAACTGTAAGAAGTTGATTTGTGAAGCGCGAAAGCGGTGAGCAAGTTCTACTATGTAAGATCGTCTCCGGCTCTAAGGCTTCTCATTAGTCCATTAGTTTCAAGATATCGTGTTCTCATTGGCTGTTCAGTTTAATTACGACATGGCCTACCATGTTTTGCCTATACTCACCGCTTTGGCCTCTTCGGGGCTAAGGTGCTTAGCAACGCCTTGGACTTCGGCCGGCCACGGGCCAGGACCTGGTCTAACTTTCAAACGACTAGGCTAGTGCTATCTAGGTACTCCGTACTCTGTACGTAATGTCGTATGCCACGCACATTTCAAAAAGTATGATGTCATGATAGGCTCCCCACTGCATCATTTAGCTACTAGACCATGGGAAGAGGGCTACTTCACCCTGCTGTGTCTTTTGATCATAACGACGTCACTTCGTACCTCGTCACAATGTAGTTTCAGTAACAGGTCCCGGGGATTGAAAAGGCCAGCCTATCCCAGATTTCTACATGGGAAAGAAAGCGTTTGCTTGTTCAAGTGAGCTTTAAGTTGAGTTTCAGACCTAAGCCTTTAACCGGTGATATCTTGTGTTTCACATTAACAAATTTCGACTACTTAGCTTAAGATGACGACCCTGAACTGTGAGTACCCTGCTGTTATTTCAACACAAGCTCCCTGTACCATTGGCCAATAAGATCTAATGTGACTGGCTTAGATCTGCCATCGGTTAAGCCCTCTTCAATCGCAGTGGGGGCTATCTTTACCCACACCGCATCGTTGGGTATACTCGCACCCGTGTTTGGTGATACGTACCACCGCGCTCAAGCTGCCAACTCAAAGGAAGAGTTCCTGAAATCGAAGGAGGCCGCTGGTGCAGTAGCAGCCTGGGGTAGCTCCTTGATTGGAAGTTCTGTGCAAACGTATGGAGTGGCAGCTTTGATCAACGCTACGGGCACTTTGAGCTACAAAGGCGCAGCTTATCTTGGGAGCTTAATCTTTATGGCCAGCACAGCCCCAGGTGTATGTCATGCCAAGTCCCCCCCCGCAAGATGATATAGTCCTAATGCTATGTTGCCACTACAGGTTGTGAGCCAGGTTTTCGCAGAAAAGAGACCCCTTGACACTGTTGCCGTAGGTGCACTCAGCAGGTTGTTCGAAACAGTGGGACTCAGCCTCTTCCTGACTTGGTGGGGTACCCGCACGAATCCGTTCGCCTAGAGAAGAATAGCTCTTATTCCTTTTATAGTGACTCCGATGAGTTGAATTTAAGACATGTTCAATATATAGGCACATCTCTCCAAGTCGGTAGCTGTACACAAGTTCACGTATACGTACCATACATAGAGGTCCCAATAATGGAGCCAAACATGTCCGGACAAACTCCCTGAAGTGGTTCTTTGTGCCCTTGCACAACATGATGGCGGCACTAATCGCCAAAGCTGTAGGTGAATTTATTAGTTGAATTGTCTCTTTATGTTAGATATATATACCACAAGAGTTACTGGGAAGAGGCAGATGTACATTCTATTGACATGCAAGGACTGACTAGTACCTAGCTATGGTTTTTAGTCGACTTGGTAAGTCGTGAGATGCTTGGACATTCCCGGTCTCACCCAGCATTTCGAGAACCCGTGCCACATTGATCTGGCAACAGATAGTAATATCGTTATCTATCATCTTCCGATCAATACAGCGGCTCTTATTTTTGGCTAAATAACAGAATCGCCAGTCCATGTATGAGCACGGCATCATTTCATTTATCTACAATTTACATGCAAGCCCACCAAGAACTACAATTGCAGTAAACAATCCACTTATCCGCGAAGACGGGGACAAGTTGGGCCGGTGTGAGAACTTCTAGTAAGAAAAGAGTAACTGTGATCGCAATTCCCTTTATACTTCACCCGATGACCAGGCGGGAAAGCTAAATGAAGGTGCGGCAGGGGTAGCTTATCTGGAGTGTCAGCCCGATCGGGATAATAGGACAGGTCATACATACACGTCAGGGTAGCCATGTTCATGGCCGAGCTCGTATTTGGTGCCCGAGGGGTTCAGGTTGCATGGCAATGGCGGCAAACCGTTGGCGCTGAGGACTTCCTTGATCCCATTCTTATCCTTCTCGAACAGGGCAGCAAGACCGCGCTCTTCCCCCTGTTGCTTGACTGAAACCAGCTGCTTTTCTCCAGCCTCGCCAATCTGTAGGACATCATCTTTGGGAGTGGCTTGACTTCCTACGCTGAGAAGGCCAACGGCATCCGCCTGAGTGACTGCACTAAGCCTGGGGTAGCTTCTCCGAACATCACGTTTCCAGTAGGGGTTGTCTGCCAAATCACCAGCCGGAACGGTAACCGGATCATCGTATGATAGAGGAGGCAGAGATCCCGGAGTCGGGAGACGATATTGAGCGTTCAAGGGAACACCGGTTGAGCGATTTGGGTCGACAGCAAGGAGGCGGCGAATGCGTTCCCATATACCAGTAGATTGAACAGTGTATTTCTAATGAGTAGTGAGTACCACGTCCCGAAGACCACGGTAAGAACAATGACTATCTCTTACCTTGTGCACAGCTATCACATTCGATGCCGATTTGGCCGCTTTCACGATGTCACGAGCCATGATGTTTCCTGCCGGGATCATAATCAGCACATCAGCTCGCAAAATAAACGTGCATATAAAAATTTCCTACGGAGACTATTCCTTTACCTTGGTTTTAGATAGGGAAGGATATAGGCCTTCGAGGGTACGTCCTTCGCCGCGGTCCTCAACGGAACCAAGCCTGCCGGAATAGTCGAGCCTCTACACACGGAACAACAGTTCCTCCGATAATGCATTCGGTCTGTTCCGTATCTAGTAGTACCACTTCATACTATAATGACAGTCGGGATTGAGGTGAGGGCTATCATGTTCACGGAGCATACTTAAAGAACTTTACGCATGAAAACAGGCCTAGTAAGCTGCATATGTGCATTGTGTCAATTTTATAGTATTAATACTTAGGTCACATGTATAGCGGCTTGACCTGACGCCGAGGAAACTTGACTGAGAATTACGAGACAAAGAAATCAATAGAGTTGGTTGCACATAGTACTGATAATACACAAATATTGTAGCCATTTGGAAGTTAGGGACTCATCACAAAATGAAATCTGTGATTCCACCGGCTATCCGCTAAACAAAAGCCAACCAACTTGGAAGTGAATACTCCCATTTACCACGTTAATTGCCGGTGAGTTGATATCTCCTAGTGTTCATCTTCAGCTGGTGAGCTCACGCGTACAGTTGCAGGATCTGGGTTCTGTTCCTTCAACTTTGAAACCAGCTTTTGCACGGCATTAACTGTTGCATCAGGGCCACCGGCCTGTAGTACCAAGACCTTACCCACTTTATCAAGAACAAAGACTCCTCTGATCGTGCCTTTCGGCAACTTCTTGAGTCCAATGGCTTCTATCAATGAAGATGAGGGGTTGCAGAGGAGAGGATATGGCAATCCTTGCTTAGTCTTGAATGTGGTATTTGCCTTGGGCGAGTCAGTCGAAAGGCCATAAATCGATAAACCACTCTCCGAAAGAGTGTCGTAATGGTCACGGAACAAACAGGCTTGCTTGGTACCTTTTCAGATGTGAGTTTCTCGGGGACAATTGCAGCATTTGATATATTCAGAGTGAGAAGAACAAGACAAAATGCAAAACCATGGGCTTTTATGCACGCACTTATGGAAGAACATTTTGGCATACATCGTGTAGGAAAGATGCTACTTGGGGTAGGGGAATTATACATACAGCCTGGGGTTGAAGCTCGAGGGTACGTGAAAAGCACGACACCAGCTTTACTGGAATCAACGAGATCTTGCAGTGTGATTTTCTGGCCATCATTGGTCTCAATATCACCACCAAATTGATCCAAATTAATCACATCGCCAACTTTTGGAGTGGTCTCGGAGATAGCAGTCTTGGGATTATAATTCCCTTTCTGTGCCGATGCTGTGGGTGCCTGGACTTTCTTTCTCTTTCTCTCTGCCACGAGAGGTTGTGCTGGCGCTTTGCGCTTTCGAAGTTCGACCATGTTTCGTAATTGGGGACGCTAAAAGCTGCGTCAACGAATGGAAAGTGGGGATAGGGAGAAAATGAAACCCCCGAGAAGGTTGTTTGTCTGCTGCGCTACTTTCACCCGTTAAACAGCGGATAAGCTGTTAGATAGGCAGCGCTCGACACAAGAGTAACAACAAATTGAGGCACAATTAGGCCTCCGTTTTCTAGAAAAGGTGTCCGTTTGGATAGCATGCACCTTTCTCGGCTTCTCATTAATTTATGTAGTATTTCAATGTGATTTTCATTTGGGCGGGAATCTCCTTTTAGATTAGACAAGAGATCCCCTAGTGTATAATTTTGTAGAGTATTGTGCTAAGCTATGTACTGGGAAAGAACCTTAAATAATCAACGAGACTGTCGTGATACTATAATCTTACGTACAAAAAAGTTGCACTCAGGACTACTCCACACCAACACCTGATGTACAATAGTACATACATAGTATGGAGTACTTTGTGCGGAGTTAAGAGGTGATCTTTGTCCATGGTCGGGAGTGACCCTTTTGGATTATGCCGGTAAATCCCGACCCTTGGCGCCACCTTCTTGTCCATTCCAAATGAAGATGAGGCTAAAAATTTCAGGTTCCAGTTTTCTATCATTATTCTACCGTTATTGCACGGGGACCAGCAATCGCCACTCACGTTCATTGCATCTTGCCTTTACAACCACTCATGGGAGGTTCTCATTACTCATCTTGTAGTACTTGATTATTCGCCGCATCTTGAGTTCTCCGTAGTCACCGATCCTATAAGAACATACCTATTTCCGAATTCCGAAGCACCTGCCGCCATAGAGTTCTCAGTACTCGCGTCGTGATCTGATCCTCTCTCTTCTCTTCCTTCGAACGTTGGATCTCCCGCTTCTGAGGTGCTATCTGAATATACCAATACATCTTGTCTTTTGCAAAAAAGTCCATCGCTCAGCCCACCAACATGAGGGTTTTCTCCTCGACGTGCACTTTCGACTATTCATGGGAGGAAGTCTCTGCGGCAAACTGGCGCAAATACTGCCCGTGGAATGATAAATCGACACATGTCGTGGCAGTAGACACCTTGTCTCGGGCGGTTGATGCGACAACTGGCATCGTACGTATCTCGATCTGCTCACGCTTATCTTTGCCTTGCAAAATTGACTAATATATCGAATTGTAGCTGCGCACGGAGCGTCTTATCACCTGTAACCAATCAGTGCCACAATGGGTGCTGTCATTATTCGGAGGCAGTCCTACGTCTCACGTTTACGAAGTGTCATATGTTGACCCGAGCTCCAAGAAAGTCACGATGTGCTCAACCAACCTTACGTGGTCCAACGTCCTGAACGTCAGGGAAACCGTTGTTTATCAGCCTTCGTTGTCCAATCCATCTTCAACTACCGAATTTAACCAAGAGGCGAAGATCACTGCCCTGTGTGGCGGGTGGCAGAAGATAAAGAACAAGGTAGAAGAGGCCAGTGTGGAGAGGTTTAGCCAGAACGCGAAGAAGGGTCGAGAAGGGTTCGAAGCGGTCCTTGAGATGAGCCGACGAGTCTTCAGTGAACAACGTGAACTTGACAGCAATAAACTCCAGTCCTGATTCAGAGCGTGCTTGTGTTTACGGAGTATCGGTTCACATTGATCATTATGCATTATTCCAGCGTTTGCATTGATTGGCGTCTCTTTTTATATATCTTCCTCCTTCGTCTAATTGTCTCTCCATGAAGCGTTTTGTGTGATGGGCTTGCCCTTTTGCGACATTCTCGACTACCATCTACCCGTGACATCTTTTGATGCTCTAGCTTCAGCTCAATTCCGTCTTTCCTAATCAGCGGTGGCTACTGTTTTCATCATTCTAGCATGCGCAACTGATGAGACATGTACAATAAAAGTTATAGACTTCTTTCTGCATCTGCTTGCCATGTTTCTCTAATGACGATGTGAATATATAATATGGTGCAATACATAGGCAATGCACCGTATCTCGCCTTTATTTGTCATAATTGCCTAAACGTGGTAATATGTGAGTGAAGGTTTTTGTGTAGAAGAGTGTAGAAGGAACATCTTATGGACACATGGAACACGAAATGCTAAAATCTCATGAATTTGATAAGCAAGCCGAAGGCTTAACCCACCCAAAAAGCCTGTATCAGAACGTGAGCTGCCTGCACAGCATCATCCAAAGCAATCAGTATCCATTCAGCGAAAGCAAAAAAAAAAAAAAAAAAAAAAAAAAGTACAGGCGTGTTTACACCAAATTTGCCATTCGATACTTCTACTGCGATAGGATCTATTCATCGGCATGCTACCCTTTCCAGCGCTCTAAAACTGCGGCAATATTTAGCTATTATCTCCATATTACTTAGGGTAGTACAGGTACTAAGGTATGTAAAGCGGGTACTGACGTTGACAGAGTACCGCCCCGTTCCACATTCTATGAATACGATGTCATCCCGCCTCCTTCTCCGCATGCCACATTGCCCCTCTTCAGCCCGTCTAGGTAGGCCGACTCATTGTTTTACGGTCTCACTCCCACCAATAATTGCCTGGCAGAGAGTCTAAGTTGGAGGACAAGAAGACGTGGGATTCAAGTTCCGTGATCTTATATAATCCCAAGGAATCTCTTCACAGAAATGGGTGTCACAGCTGAAGACATGATTCCCGCGCCAGGGGAGTGGCCCGTGGACCCCCAAGAGGATTTACCCATTTCGGAAAATCGCATTTGGGTGGATGGATGCTTTGACTTCAGTCATCACGGTGAGAAGGCACTCTCCCCCATACCCCAGCTAATGCATACCCAAAGCTAAGTTCTCTAGGCCATGCGGGTGCCATGCTCCAAGCCCGTAGATTGGGAGACGAGCTTTTTGTCGGCGTACATTCAGATGAAGCAATTCTCGAGAACAAGGGGCCGACAGTGATGACATTGGATGAACGGTTTGTTTTCATTATAGTAATTGCGTCCAAATAATCTTGCTGACTCGGGTTTAGAGTAGCTGCGGTGGAAGCATGTCGCTGGATGACTCGCTGCGTTCCCTTTGCTCCATATGTGACATTTTTACCTTGGGTGTCACACTACGGCTGCAAGTATGTCGTTCATGGAGATGACATCACATCTGACAGCAACGGAGAAGACTGCTACCGATTTGTCAAGGCTGCAGGGCGCTTCCGTGTTGTCAAAAGGACACCCGGTATATCCACAACCGATCTTGTGGGTAGAATGCTTCTGTGTACAAAGAATCACTTTGTTAAGAGTGTAAAGGACACGCTTATCGGGGTAGAAGGATCTGGAAACCTGGAAGAACGCAAGCAGTCAGCCGATAGTCTCATGCAAAGAATTCGTGATTATGCCACCGATGAAACGGGCCTGCAGCCCGGTCCGCAGGTTTGGATCTGGAGCGGATCAAGCTCTGCAAAACTCGAAGATACAGTGGAGGAACCAGGTGAATTTGAGACCATTGTAAATGGGAAGCTACCGAGACCAGGACAACGGATTGTCTATGTTGATGGGGGATTCGACCTCTTCTCATCCGGGCATATTGAATTCCTTCGACAAGTCCTGGCCCAGGAAGAATCGGAAGGTCACCGGCGGGGCTGGTATAACCAAGCACAGAAAGAGAAGAGGTTTAAAGACCACGGAGAAGACTACGGCCCTGCTTATGTCGTTGCTGGTATCCATGATGACGACGTGATAAACCACTGGAAAGGTCTCAACTATCCAATCATGAACATATTTGAGCGCGGGCTATGCGTTCTTCAGTGTCGCGTATGTTTTCTAATGCCTCTAACGAAAAGACGATCTTCGATTCGCTAATATTCTTTCAGTATATTCATGCCGTGATATTTTCGTCCCCATTCTCTCCAAGCAAGCCTTATCTGGAAGCCATGCCCTTAGGTCCCCCAGATGCAGTTTATCACGGTCCGACTACGTTCATACCTCTTACCTACGATCCCTATATGGCACCCAAGAGGATGGGCATATTCAAAGAGACTTCAAGTCACCCATACCAGAATGTAAATGCTGGTGAAATTGTTGACAGGATACTGAAAAGCAGGGAAGCCTACGAAGAAAGGCAGCGCGCCAAACTTGAAAAGGGTGCTGTCGAAGAGCTGGTTAAGTCCAAAGAATTAGCGTCTGCCTAGACAGAACGGTGTATGACAAGGAAGGAGACGGAGTGTAAGTTCATAGAGCAGGGGGGAAAGTCAAAAGAGGGATAGGGAGCAAAAGCTTAGATACTGCAACGATAGAGATACAAAGAAACCAAGCAGATCAGCGATACAGCAGTCTAGGTGCATATATATAGATCCAAATAAATTTAGAAGAGTGGCACTTGGCCAATGGTTACAGAATATTGGCACGAAAAAAGGTCGGATGAGCTTCTATGTTATATCCTGCCAGGCGCCAACAGACAAGAATATGTACGTATTGGAGTGTCATGAGCGTTGGTGCATCTTACTAAGGAATGAAATTCCTCGAAAGGTGACCGTTTGCGATAGCTGGGAGCAAGTGTACAGCCGGTGTTTCGGGGCAGCTGTGTCCAGATGCTTGTTTCTAATTAGTCGGCGGCCACTAGGACTTCCTTTTCCTCCAGAAGCTTAGCAAGGTCCCCATTCTGATGCATAGACATCAGTATATCACAGCCACCGATGAATTCCTTATCCAGATATAATTGCGGGATTGTGGGCCAGTCGGAATACTCTTTGATGCCTGGAAAACCTAGTATTAGCTGACTTATAGATGGGAGTATGGGAAAGTCCCCTTCAGTCGACCTGAGACATACCCTGACGTAGTTCCGAGTCCTCCAGCACATTGAATGCAACAAATTTCTTCGGATCTACACCCTGCAATCCCAAAATCTGTATACTGGCTCGTGAAAACCCGCACTGCGGCGTTTCCGGAGTGCCCTTCATGAAAAGAACGACAGGCGCAGATGCGATAGCCTTGTCAATTGCTGTTCGCGTCTCAGAGGATAAATTCCGGGCATGGAAAATAGATGGCAGCTGAAGGCCCGTAATTCTAGGCTGCAAAACTTGAGGCTGTCGGAAAAGCGGCCGAAACGTCTGGGGAATTTTGTCATAAGCTCGCGAACGATAAGAGGCAAAAATGAGATATAGCAGAAATAGCTTCGCAGTACTCACCGATGAGCCCAAGGACCTGGAAAACATGGTACTAGTGTTAGTTTGAGCGGGAATAGATATGTAGGATTATTCTGCTTGGATCAAGCTGCTGCTTGTCTATGCGGACGGAGTAGTAGTTACCCTGCGGAGAGCTTGGCTGGACATGCTCACTAAGCAACCACTGGAGTGGCTAACTAGTATTACAAAGTGATTATGTCATGTGACTGAGGCTTGTCACATATGGTATTAGGACAATATCACCTTTTACAGATGGCGCTGATAGACACTGAAGGGTATAAAGATAAATGGTATAATTAGGATTGGATCTGAGAATCTGTAAAGGATGTGGAGGCAATTTTGATATCATTTTATGCTAGGAGGCAGCGCTAAACATACATGTGTTGTCCATTCTTTGGTCATAGGCAATTTTTGCGGAGTAAAGAGTTCCACCGCAAAAGGATTCATGCAATATATGCGCACTAGGTTATAGTATGGGGTGAATGAGGTTTAAAATCAATAGTCCTTGAGTTCAGTCTAGTAGACTAGCTAGTATCTTGTATTACTCAAGCTAGTATGGGTACAGGGAACCTTGGAAACACATTAACCCCATGGAGTACTTAAAGAGATGGACCTCACTATTATAACGAACCCATGCCTATAAGGATTGATATGTGCGATAGGCCGTGTAGTAGGCAAGCTACTATAGTAGACGCTACGTACACAATACAGAGCAAAGTATCTATCTAGTGGTCTAGAGCGGGGTACCCTTCAAAGCAGCCCCTATCTACGTACTTATGTACATATAAATAGTACATAGGGAACAAACGTTGCAACTACCCCACGCCTACCTGCACCTGCACTTACCAGCAGAGTCCCCTTAATCGGCAGGAGTTTTTCTTTCATTTCTTTTCTGTTTATTTCAAATAAGCAGCATGGAACCTTCATATGCTCCATTGTGTGCCCAACAGCACCTGGAAGACAACAAGATCCATGTTCTCCTTGCGGCCAGTGGGTCAGTGGCAACGATAAAACTTCCCAATATTGCTGAAGCTCTTGGTCGCCATTCGAACGTCTCCATCCGCATTATTGTCACAAAATCAGCGGAAAAGTTCCTAGCAGGGCAGAGTTCGGAACAGCCGTTACTCGAAAATCTGCGACAGATCCGTGGCGTGGATGCTATCTACCGGGATGATGATGAATGGAAAAATCCCTGGACCCGTGGCGAGCCAATCCTACATATAGAGCTCAGAAAGTGGGCACATGTCTTGCTTGTCGCTCCTTTATCCGCCAACACCATGGCAAAGATGACGATGGGCTTCGCTGATAACCTTCTTCTTTCCGTTCTAAGAGCATGGGATACAACAGGAACAGTGGACGCGAGTTTCAAGGACAAAAAGCCACTTGTGTTTGTCGCACCCGCAATGAACACAGCAATGTGGAACCATCCAATTACAGCAAAGCAATTGGCTATACTGATAGATGAATGGGGATTGGATGCTTGCAATAACAAGGGCTGGGTGTCTGTCCTTCATCCGACGGAAAAGTCTCTCGCTTGCGGTGACACTGGCAATGGAGCCATGCTGGACTGGAATGTCATTGTCCGTATTGTGGAGCAGTACATAGGTGTTAACGAGGGTGATTGGCTGATGGAACAAGTTGAGTAAGGCTTCAGGACCCGCAAAGGAGGGAAATGGTTGATGTTCTCTTCTATGAGAAGTCCATCGGATTCGGCTTTTCAGTGGTCTCGTAGAAGCCACTGATTTGCGCGACGTAATCAAGGAGCATCCCCAGTGTGATACTTCCACCGGTGAACAAGCAACCATTCTTAAACCACCACCAACAATCTCGTACATCTTTCAGCTGAACCTTCCAGATCATCAGACCGAGAGAAACAGCTGCACTGCCACAGCCGCCGACGAAGAAGATAGGGCCGCTCCCCGCTGCTACACCTGCAGCAGCAAGCAACGACACCTGGACGGCCGCCAGAGCAGAGAGGACGGCTTTCGTATTGTTTTCATGACGAAGAGCGATAGACTTAATGCCAGCCGCAACGTCGTCTTTTATGTCCATATGCGCGTATATCATATCGTATAAAATTGTCCAGGCTACGCAACTGGAGTAAAGTGCGGCAGCTGCTTCCAATGCGGCCCCATTACTGAGAAGATCAACACCTAATGCTGGAAAGCCCATGATTGCACCCCACGAAAAAGTAAGGCCCAGTACAGCTTGGGGATAGTAGGTGATGCGCTTGGCAAGAGGATAAGTGGTCACCAAAAGAAGGCTAGGTATACCGTACCAAAGGCATTGATACGGGAATTGAAGAAGGATACCCAGTCCTACCAGTAATTGAGAGCCTGTGAAAATCACTGCTTTGCCAGGTGATATCGCTCCTCTTGCAATTGGGCGAAATTTTGTGCGTTCGACATGCGGATCTAAGTTTCTGTCCCATAAATCGTTGATTGCACATCCAGCGCCGCGCATTATCAAAGCACCGCTGAAGAAAAGCCCGGCCGTCCCAAGTACTTGCAGAATTGGTACAGAAGGTGTCATGGATGCCGCTAGAAGAGTGGAATATGCGCAGGGAAAGAAGAGATAGTATGTACCTGTCGGCTTATCGAGGCGCAGTAACTCGGCGTACGGTATCCATGACTGGGGAAGAGAAGCAATAAAACCCCTCTTTGGTGGTGTATAGTAATCAAATGAGGTCTGACTTGTTGTACTGTGTGGGCGGCTTAGTTGACAGGCAGAGCGAGGGGATTGGAGGTTGCGGATTCTCAAGATCGTCTTTTGGCAGGTTGGTGGAAATTGGGTCGCCGCTGTATAACCATATCTCCTGGACATCGAGAGAGAGGGAGAAGCGTGGCATCTCTCTATTGCAGTGAACTGGTTTATATAAGCCCTTTTTTCCCCAGGGTAACGGCACAATTGTACGTGCCGGCCCGCATGCAAGCGTGTCGCCCAGGAGCTCATAATGGAGAGGTTAAATAAATTGAGATGAAGGGGTAACAAATAGCCTCCTATCTGGGAGATAGTTTCATAATTAGTTATTATCCGGGACAGTCGAGCGAATCCAGTCCGGTGAGCTGACTGAAGGAGCTCGCAAGAAACCGCAAGGGCTCAATGTTCCTCGAGACAATTCACCTGAAGATGAAGAGAAAGTGAAACAAGAGCTAAAAAGAGCACTACCACTCAACCAATTCCGGATCAGACTTAGAATGTCTTGAGAGCTTTGCAGGTCAATAAGTTTATGATGCTCGAAATTTGAAATATGTGTCGGAGTCCGGAGGAGTCTCAAGTCCTTTTCGGTAGTACCTAGTGCCTTGGTTGTTCCATGTGTTCCTGGCCCCGACGGACGGGACCCACATGCCACAATCGCAGATGCAGCTGCAGCCAGTGAATCGAGACAGTCAAACTGCGTGATATCTATCTACACACATCTATGTGGTCTGCTTGCTTCTTTCATCCAAGCTCTGATTCTTGCTCCTTGTACCAGAAGCGCTCCTTTCCCCCGCGTGCTTATGGTCTTACCCACCTGTTAGTTGGTGTTTTGCCTGCACGACATGTTTTTGGGCAAGATATGAACAAGGCTCTGTCGGACTGTTCTTAGGAGCACGGTGGTGTTGGATCCTCCTACGTTGATCTCACTGAATCTTCGTGGTGTATGTTTACCTTACTCAAGTCCTTTGAAATTTCTCTGTAAAACACAATCTTCATTGCGTGATATGCCTCGGATTCTGGTTAATCTTGAAGCTTCCTATCTAAGCGCATGCTTCCGTGCGGTCAGGGAATTGTCGGCCATATCTAATGTTGCTTAGCAGGCCAAGCTTACCCTCATGATTCTCAGCTACTTGGCTCATACCAGCCTTCATTGACCATAGTCAAAATGCCTGCGCAGCGACCCCGCGCGGCTTTTGAGCCACTTTCTCCGGACTTGGACATCAAAACACTTGTGGAGTCGACCCCAAATTTCGAGTATGCTGCTAGAATTCATTGCGATGCGATCAATGAAAATGGGCTGGAAATCTTCGAGAAGCTTGTGTTGCTCCATGTGGTCCGGGGTGGAAAGCCTTTAGTTGTCGAAGGCTTCGATCGCTGGCTGGATAGCTCGGTCTTCTCAGAGAAGTGGCTAAGGAACCACTATTCAGCGAAGAGTAAGTGCTCGCCTCTATGTCCTGTCAGCTACTTTTTTTGTCTAACTGGAGCCTCCATGCTGTAGCGGAAATTGCTCGGAATTTAACCACCAAGACTGATCTGCCACTTACCATTGGGCATTACTTGAAAAACATGCCGCTCCTTACCAATCAGTGGAATGAATACAACTACAAGGACCTGGATCGCCAGAGAATCTATTTGAAGGACATTGACTGCCCTTCCAAATGGTATGACCAGTTGAAGAAAATCATACCCCCTGGATTATTTTACTTGAACACGTCTCCGCAAGCGTTTGAAGGCCCCGGGGCGACGACAACTCCAGCTCATGGCAGACACGACATGTACTCGGGTTCCGACAACTTGATAGCCAGGCCAGGCGACCTCATGAGCTGTCTTCCACCTGAAATGCGTGCCGAGAACCTGATGTGTTACATTGGTCACGAAGGTACTTACACACCAGCCCACCAAGAGATGTGTGCCAGTCTGGGTCAGAATATAATGGTGGAGGCATCAGATGGGTCCATCGAACACGGTAAAGAAACGAAGCCAGGATCATCTGTTTGGTTCATGACTGAGAGCAAAGACCGCAAAGCCGTTTCTGAATATTGGATGTCTATGCTTGGGCATGATATCGATATCGAGGATCATTTCGCTCAGATCAATGCCTGGAAGGCAGCACCATTCAAGACTTATGTTGTTGAACAGAAACCAGGCGATTTTATCCTTGTACCTCCTTTAGCAGCACACCAAGTATGGAATCGAGGGACAAGGACAATGAAAGTGGCCTGGAATCGGACTACCCCGGAGACCCTAGAGAAGGCGCTCGAAGTGGCCCTTCCGGATGCGAGAATGGTTTGCCGCGATGAGCAGTATAAGAACAAAGCTATAGTGTTCTATTCGTTGGACCATTATTCGGCTCTCCTTAGCAAGGCGGGCGCAGCTAATAGTGGATATCTGTCAATCCAGCAGATACAAAAGGACTTTGAACATCTTTTTGGTCTATTTACTGACATCATTTTGTCAGAGAGCTTTTCTGACAAGCTTCCTGAGGGAGATGTCGAATATGTTCCCTTTGACAGTAATATCACATGTTCATACTGCCGGGGAAACATTTTCAACAGATTTCTAACCTGCGCGTCTTGTGTGGGCCCATCAGCCACGGACGAGGAGGACACTTATGATGTTTGCATGGAGTGCTATGCCATGGGTAGGAGCTGCGCTTGCATATCCAAACTAAAATGGGTTGAGCAATTCCATTGGTATGATCTTCAAGACAAATATGAAACATGGAGGAAACAGATACTCGAGTTCAGGCCTCATGCCAAAGACACTTATGACAGTCTACCCGCGCAGAGAAGCCGGTTGGCAAAGAGAACGCTTGCGGAGACTTGCCAATTAGAACTCAAGAGGCGGCCGTGGGTTGACATAAGTAAGCCGACAATACAATCAGACCGCCTGGAGGAATTAGAGAGTGATTCGGAACGAGTCGGCCGCGCTAAGAAACGAAGAAAGCCTCGCCGAAAGGACTCATACCAACAGACTGGGAGATGTCATATATGCAGATATTTCGAGCCAATGTGGAAGCTCGCTTCTTGTTCTTGTTGCCGAACAAACTACTGCTACGGCAGCTTGTTTAGGGCCTTTAACATAAAGCCGCAGGAAACCATGGAGATGTATGAGTGGACATGCCCAAAATGCCGCAAGATCTGCAGTTGTGCTGCCTGTCGGCGCGACCCAACAATGAGTCCATCCCAGCCACCATGCACATTGTTGGGTCATGATACAAGAAAGATAGCAGACCCTCGCAGCGTGGAGAGTCTGGTGGACTTCCGACAATCCAATCTTCGATGGATAAAGAAGGCTGGCGATGATGAGATTGTTCGACTGAAGAAGCACCAAAAGGAAGCTGACGAAAAGCGTAACCAGTCATTGGTTGAGCATAGCATTCAGCTTGAGGAAGCCCCTTCCGTAATGGGGTATGCTTCAAACTATGGAGATATACCGGTGGATCCGGCCCTCGAAAGGCTTGATGGCTCGTTCCTGAGTCTTCCCGACCCTGAGTGAGAAGAAAGAACATGGACTAGGGTAGGGTCGTTCTATGCATTCTATGCATGTCCGGTGTTTCTTTTCATTTTTGCGAATAGTGAGTAGGTGTTACTTGGTAATGGTGTCAGCGGAAGCACTCGGGATCAGATATTCAATATGTAGCAGCTTCATCATTTTGAGTTGAAGGCTCACTAGTGTACTATTTGGGGAGTTGGGCTGATTGAAAGTGTGATAAGTATTTCTTTTTGTCCATGTACTGGAGGACATGTAGTCCGCAAGATCCCTACGTAAACAAGATGCGTGTTCTAAAATTATTGCGGGTTCTATGCCCCTTTGTACTCATAGCGGAGATTCTCAAGAGCCTTGAAATCAACGGAAAGCATAACTTTGCGTGCGACTAGGACAGTGGCAAACATTGCTACTTGATGTAAGTATTTGTCTAGCACCACGAAATGTTCGAGTTCTGATGAGAGCTGAATGCCACATACCTCCCGGTACCAGGTACATGATGGGCTGGATATCCAGCCTTGATTCCGTCATAACGTAGATCAGGGCTAAGAACACGCAGATAGCCGTATTAAGAGGCAAAAGATACCGTTGAATACTGAAAATAGTACTCGATCTCATCATAGGTCTCTTACCCTTAGGACCTGGGCGCTGAAGCGGAAAATACCTCATGGTATAGGCCGTGGCTAGTAACGAGAGAACGCTAAGAAGGGACAAGCACCGTTCATATAGGGCCGAGGAGCCTGACAGAAACGAAGCGCTGAAAGCATAGATAGAAAACAGCGGGATGACAGCAAATATGATCTAGATGAATATATCGTTTTTAATTCAGCAATGTCCTCAGCATAACTTCAGCTGTACAGATAGGCATAGGAGAGACTCTATTACACTGTATTCTGAGTTCCGCTTCTCACTGAGCGCCCTCAACCGGTCGATCACTTGTTCCTGCTCTGTCAGACCGTCAGTATCATCATCCGAACTAATATCCCGCTTGAGCTGACAGCGCAGACCTTCTTCGTCCAGATCCTCGCGGCCATGTTCGTCATCATTTGAATCATTAGGGTAGCGAAATGCCCTGCGAAGTCTTGCCGATGCCATAGCCGCAGTTAATATGTCTGCATTGAGAGTATATCCGCCAGCTTGATTCAGCCAAAGCCGAGGAAAGGCAAAGTTGGTAGGTAGACATCGGTCATGCCCAAGGTACCTACATCATTAGCCTGAGTGGGTTTGTCTCGTTTGCTTCCGCGCGGTTCCCATCCGCATCAAGTTTCGGAACTTCCGAGGATTTAACAACCTCGCCTACTGCCAGTCCGACGGTTTATATCCAAGGTTACACCACACAGTGCAAGCAGCCAGATCAATTGGTGGTCTGTCGGACTTGTATCTATTAGAGATGCTTCTACGAGTTGCAGAGCGGCGCATTGGCGTCCCGCGGCTTTTCATTAATCGTCGCAGATTGCTCCCTCCCCGGCGCAACTTGATCCCCGCGCCACAATCGAACTCGGGCCCTCTTATGGAGCGACGGGCGGACCGAGAACTACCTTCTGTCGCCAATGATCGGAAATGGATGCGAACGCTACCTATCTTTGCTGTCGTCGTAGGCGCGGCCATGCTGGGTATATTCAACTACCAGAAGTCCTCCTCCAGTGTGGTAAACAGCACGCTGTATGCGCTTCGGACTTCCCCGCAGGCCCGGGAGATCCTGGGTGACGAGATTTACTTTGCTCAGAAGATTCCATGGATCAGTGGCGAGATGAATCAGCTCCATGGACGCATTGACATCTCGTTCTGGGTCAAGGGAACTAAAGCTCAGGGCAAAATGAGGTTCCGCAGCATTAGACCGGATCGGACCAGCTTTGTTCGTTCACCCCGCTCTTCTTTGATTTCCTTTTCTTTCCCCCTTGACTAGTATCCCGGGCTAACGTTCACTGTGTCTAGTTTCGAACTGAAATATGGAGCCTGGAAACCGAGGATGGAACGGTTGTTCAGTTACTTGACAGTGATAGCGACCCATTCAATCGAAGCAGCTGATTGACTTGACTTCCGGGCCCCCATTTGTTTGTGCTGCATACTCGCTTGTTACATGGTGTTTGGAGATCTGTACATGTAAATACTTCATTCATGTGCATGGGCTCAGGCGTTCGGGCTTCGGAAAGCGTCTCTCATTTCCCTACTATTCCTCCCTCCCCATTTCCTTTAGCACTCCTGTTCTTCGTGTTCGAGCGAGTGCGTCTCTTGAGAGTACCAACTGAGTGGAGAACTTTATAGAAACCGACACTTGAGGGAAAGGGATATCATTTATATATCACATACAGACGCCGCTCTTGAAAAACAATACAGTGTAATAGTACATTCACGGAAGGAGAGGACAAAAGAAGAACAAAAAGCCCGTGCATTTAGGCCACTATGAAGATGCCTCAGACGAGGGAAGGGCTTCCGGCCATGGCTTCTTGATAGCATCCTGTATCCTGACGACACAGCCTTTGGGTCCACTGACACAGCCTAGAAAGTGGAGGACACAACTGTTAGTATCGATCTCGTCATGGGTCAAAGGGAAACTTACCGTTGACAACGACGAGTCCGTTCTCCGGATCCACCTTGAGAATCTTCAGATTCTGGACTGTGTTCTGCTCGTTACCCATGTTTCCCGCCATCTTCTTGCCGGGGTAAACACGGGAACCACCACCTTGACTAGGACCAGCCGAACCGAGCGAACGGTGCGTCAAACTGACACCGTGACTGCGATCCTGACCACCGAAGCCATGTCTCTTCATCACACCCGCGAAACCCTTACCCTTCGAATTAGATCGAGCATCCACATACTGGCCCTCCTGGAACCAATCGGCGTTGACCGCCTGTCCGACAGGCAAAAGACCGCTCTCATCCTTGACCCGGAACTCATAAACGTGTCGCTTCGGCGAGATACCATTGGCGGTGAAATGACCCAGCAGAGACTTGGTCAGATTGTCAGGGCGTCTCCAGCCGGCTCCCAGTTGAACAGCGTAGTATCCGTGCTTCTGGCGGGTCTTGTGCGAAACGACCTCGACCCGGTCTAGCTGGAGAACAGTGCAAGCAACACGCCTCCCGGTCTCGGGGTCATATATGGCGGTCATGCCCTTCTTGAAGGTGATAGCACCAGTCCGAAGAGGGAGAGTGTTCGCCTTGCGTTCGAGGGCGGCGGTGGGGGTCGATTTCAACACGGGCAGATCATGGCCGGCGTTAAAGCGCGAATTCTCGGGGGGGTTCAACGACCGAATACCAAATGTGCGGACGGGGACATGGCTGCGAACGAGGCATTGAGGGGCCCAGATTGGAGTAAAAGGAAGCTGAGCCAGCTTCCCGGGGAGTCGGGGAGCCATGGCGGGTGGGATTGACCGCGGTATAGGAAGGAAGGCGATGTAAAGAGAGAGGGTCTTCCTTTTTCTGCCACTGAGATTTTTGGAAGACGTGCGGAGATGCCGTCCAGGATAGACCGGCGAGCCTTGAAGGCGGTGGATGCTATTGGTGCCTGGGGACTATAGCCAGGCATCAATACCTACGGGTCAGGATAGATTACTGTACAGAACGCCCAGCACAGTGCGGAGGACGTATCCAATCGATCAGACACATGGAGTGCTAGTAGTATTTAGCCGGCGATTCAAGATCCCGACTCGATCCAGGCCCGATGCGATGACGAGCCACCGCACGCTCATCCATGCGTTTCGAGCCATCGCCCTGCTCCGATCCCAGTCGGGAATCGGACTGACCGGCACGCCGATGGCCGCCGGGAGTGTATAAAAAAAACGGGAATCATCCTGCGATCTGCTACCGCAACGTCATCTAGCTCACTCGCATTCAGACTGCAGTATCGTCTCGTGCTCTTCGCCTTCTTCGCCCCTCGTTGTCCCTGATTACTGAAAGGAGACCTACTTGCGATTTCGCCTGTCGGCCCCCCGATTTCTCCGTGCGTCTTTGAAAGGCATCCCGAAAAAGAGAAGGCGAAACCGGAGTCCAGAAACTCACCAACTACGCTTTCCCACGCGCATATAACAGTCCCTCTTACGAATTAAGATGAGCTTACGGCATTCTCACCTATCGCGCTGGTTCTCTCAAGCGTTTAAATTAGTTCAACATGCGCCACCAGCATCAACGACGAGGATCAATTCCCCGCTGCACAGGATACCCTTCGGGTTCACAACAAGACGGACATTGACGTTCCAGAGCCGCGCTCCTCGCTCCTCGCAAGGAAAGTTAATGAGCGGCCAGTTCCAACAACCAGGCATGTTCCGACGATTTTTCAATTCGTCGCGGGCAAACAACTCGGCGCAGTCGGAGCAGCAATCGGGGTCACTCTCCCAGCGGCTACGCACACTTTCGAAGGAGTACGGCTGGTCTGCGTTGTGGGTATACCTGATCTTGTCGGCGGTAGACTTCCCGATTTGCTTTGCAGTCGTCCGTCTGGCCGGAGTGGAAAGAATCGGCCACTATGAGCATGTCATTTCCGAATCAGTCAAGGGGGTAATTAGTAAAGTGTGGCCTACTTCAGAGGATGCCAGTTCCGAACTGGAGGGCTCAGATGGCCAGACGGATATTAAGTCGACGCAGGCGGCTCAGGAGCAGGCCAATGCTGGAGAAGCCAGTAAGTCCTTCCGATTCACAAATTCTTCTGGTATACGAGAGTGTTGTTTGTGACTAACCGCTGCTCTACTGACTCAGGTCTATGGACACAGCTTGCCCTCGCCTATGCGGTCCACAAAAGTCTCATCTTCATCCGTGTGCCCCTGACAGCAGCCATCACTCCGAACGTTGTCAAGGTCCTAAGGCACTGGGGTTGGGATATCGTCAAGGGTAGACCAAAGGGTATGTAGGTGCCGGTGATGGTTCGACCGACGACGGTGGATTGGACGAGTTATGCGAGGAATGACTCCTTGCGTATTGTCATCGAAACAAGATATTATATTTATAGAGCGCTGTACACTAGCTATTACATATAATTTTGCAGGACACATACACAGTGTCCTTCTCCACTCAGGGATTTTGAACCGGGTATTTCTGCCAAACATGGTCGCCAATCAGGACGAGGAAGACAAACATTCAAGGAAATGTGGGGCGGGACATCAAGGGCCACTGATCTATCGTATCCAAAGCCACGGCATGTAGCAATATTGAGCCAAAGGTTATGAGATACTGACACATCAAGTTCATCCAGGTATGCTGAGAGAAGAGAAAAAACCGGACCCCAAGTAGTAAAGAAAAGACATCACTGTGGAACATGAGTAGTGTGACTGACATGATTACAATGGTTCGGGATTTGCTGACCCCCGAAATACATATCGGCGGAAAAGAAGCGAAGAGAAGTTGGGAATGTATGCGAAGGATGAGGCTAGAGAAGGCGTATCACATGTCAATCATATCGTTGAATTTCAGGATGCCATTGGCTTTCAAGACACCATTCACACCGTCTGGCATCCTATGTGCCCATTCAGCCACGCCCATTGGGCTCGCGACTTGCATGAGATCTATTTGGTCAGGTTGCTCGGCGTCATCGGAAGTATCTGCAACCAGCACGAGGCCAAGCTCCTTGATTGTCTCAACAAGCGCCGGGACGACATTCTACAGCATCCGGGATTGTCAGTGATTGATTTCATCAACAGGGTCTGCGGTATGTTTAGGCGCGAAGGACAAACGAAACAACATACCAGGAGACTGGAACGGCAGATTAAGCCCATGAGGTTATTACTCTGCGCTATCCGCGCCGACTCTTTGATGGACATAGAAGCCCTCCCACTACTGTCAACGTCCGGAAGTGATTTGACGTCACGGGCCAAGTCACGAATTTGACCAAGATCATTGCAAAGAAGGACGGGGTCTGGAGGTAAGGCAAACGGAGTTAGCCAATTTCGTCCCATAAAATCCTCACGGGCGCATGCACAAACTCACAGTTTGGTTGCTTCCAGTTCAGAGCAATGCAGATATTGGGGTTATATGAGGTAAAGACCACAGAGCGCATGAAATCAGGGTCCTGGTCACGCGCAATACGAGCATGGTCAAATACTTCGGTAATAATAGCGTCAGCGAAGGTATTGACATCAACCAAGGAAGTCATGTTTAAAGCTCGCTCCTCGGCAGCGGAGGGGTAGAGGATCGACAAATTGACGCTGACACTGAGTGGCAGATGGTGGAACACTTCTCGCAACGAAAGAAACGACGAGGCCAGCAGACGATGGGCTTGTCCCAAGTCATCCAGAGCACGTGTTTGCAAGAACCGCAACATCTCTGAATGAATTATACCTCTCTCGGCGCCCATTGCCTGGAACTGGGCGTAAGTAAGCTGGCAAATGGGGATTTCGACGTTATGATGCTCAATTGTAAATTGCGGGCAGAGAACCGGAACGCGATCTTTGGTGAGTTGCACAAAAAGCTGAACATGGTCTCCCGACAGGCTTGACCCAGTGACAAGGCCATTGTGTTCATGATCAACCACACTCGTTGCCTTCCAATAGGTGGCAAAGTGGGTGATCTCCAGAGGATCCCCATGGTACGGCTTGATGACTTGGAATCCAAACTGAAGCTGACCGATTGAACGTAATCTAGGGTCAAACAATGGCAATGTGCAGGTCCCAGTGCTGGAGCTCTCAGCCTTAAAAACGGTGGGCAAGGCAACTGTTTTAGCGATTACCTTAGAGCCAAACGTGGGGAAGATTTCGAAATCAACGGCGAATGATTCGAGATTATCCACATGGAATGATATCATGCGTGAATCCTCCTGTATCGGAAGCATGATTGTGCGGGGGATCAGATCAGAAAGTTTTGAAGAGATGGTCAGACGAGCCGCAGGATGCCGACCGGCTTGATCGAATAGTATAGACCCAGACACGCCAGTGTCAAACAATATCTGGACAAACACTTTCTTATCCAAGAAGTTATGGCCATATCGCCTCAAAGGTATAATTGGCGGTGGAAGGGATAGATCGGGGATACCATCAACGATCTCCATATCACCGGGTTCTGTTGCTTCGCCGATTTGCAAGTCAACAGCATGACCTGATTCCGGTAGTCTTGAACCGTTCATAATATCGAATGGCTTTCGCGAGGGTCGTGTGTCAGTGCGGCTAGACCAAAGCAACAGCATACATTCCAAATGCCCTTCCCACGCCGCATAGTACATCGCCGAGAGTCCCTTTTCATCAACAGCACTGGCGTCAACACCGAGCTCCAGCAGAGTACGCAAGCAGCCAACACAGCCTTCGCTAGCTGCATGAAAAAGAGGCGTCCACTGATACAACTTGTCCCTCTGGTTCATGTCAGCTCCGTACTGCTTGAGAAGCAAAAGTAACTGCGGTGACTGTGAGGCTCGGGCCACCATGTGCTGAGGATAGAGGCCTTCCGCGTCGGGGAGCAATATTGCACGCCGCTCTAAAAGCATCTGGACTATGGAAAGCGACCCATGCTGACAGGCCAAATTCAGCGGAATATGATCGGACTCAGAAGCGGGATCAATACGAGCATTGTTGTGAAGAAGCTGCTCTGCACATGCCAGTTGATCTTTGACAATACTATGGATCAAAGGGGTAAAATTATCATGGTCCATCACGTCGACAGTATGAGATCCTGCGGTTAATAGCTCGCGCACCATTTCCACACGGCCATGCATACAGGCGTAATGTAAAGGAATTCTGCCGTAAACATCAGTCCGAGATATATCGACCCCGGCCGCCAAACCAGCTTTGAAAACAAATTCGCGACCGGAGATTGCCGCTTCGTGAAGACAGTTGCGCTCATTGATATCATCTTCTGCGTAGATGTCAACCAAGCCACTTTCAAGCAGAACTGCTAGGACATCGTCGGAGAACTCATTGATGGCGGCTAGGAAAGTGCGGGTGGCGCGGACCTGGGCATCAGGAGACGACTGCAGCTTAGCAGTCCATTCGCGCAACGTCTGCAGGTTTCCTGCAGTAGCAGATTGTAGAATCTGTAGATCCAAATCTTCTTCATCCGTGCCAAATGCTTGAACAGCCATCGCTCGGTCCATCGGGCGGGCAGCGTCAAAGTGAATGTTTTCGCCTTCTGCCCAAGCTTCGAGCTCCAACCTGGCTGTTGTTGCCCGATCGGATAGGTCACGCAAGACGTCCCGGTTGAAACATGGTTGTACCTCTACAGCGCGGTGAAGGTACAGTTCTTTCATGCGAGACTATAGGGGGGGCACAGATAAGTAAGGAGTCGCATATTGACACGACTGGGTGTGGAAGGTACGGGTGACTCGGACCTTTGATGTTTTATCCCACTAACTACCTCGTCAGTCATGTCAAACTAAGAGGGGGAACGGCAGCGTTTTATTCTGCGACGAACCTTCTTCAGAATTTTCGACATGGCAGTCTCATTGATCTCGACGAATTGCTATGCATGTAAACAGCCATCAGTATCCCCCACCGAACCTTTCCAAGCACCGGACAAACTCACCTGTAATTTGTTCAGGTCGCCATCAAATTGTTGGAACCCTTCGAAGAGGGCAACAAAATTTGCGGGGACTTTTGAACTAGTCACTGCCCGCGACTGAATGACCCTCTTCTTATCGACCAGCGTTTTCAGCCGTAACGTAAACTGTTACTCATCAGCCATTCATGTAGGAAGATGAGCTGCAGAATGGGCACTAACTTCGGCCTCTTTTTGCAAATAGAAGGCATTGACTTTTTCTATTTCCCGCTCCTATTATACGATCAATAAGCTCCAATTCACATGATCTCTGCCAGAGCTTCTTACCAGACGAAAGAAGAAAACTTCCTTGTTTGCGCGAAGGGCAGCCTGCGCTTCGGGGACATTTTGGGCCACACCCGCGGTGCTCTGAGCGGGTATTGTTGGTGTCGCACTGAGTTGTTTGATAAGCTGTCATGAACATGTTAACTCTGGCGAGGCTTGTGATTTACCCGCGGGGCATGAAGACAGAAAAAAGGCGCAGCGATAGGGGGAAGTGGAGTAAGTGAGACCGACCTTTTTCAATGCCTTGTAATTCACGAAGCTCGCGGCATATTCAGGGAGATCGAGCTGTCTACGCTGTATCTGTTTACCGAACTTCCTGCAACCCTATGGTCAGCATCACAATAGGAGCATGTCAAGTGGGATCAAGGTCGTCGAGCAGACGTGGACTCACATCTTGATAAGCTCTGCGCAAAGTTGGGGAGCGATCTAACCAGTCCCTTGATGCACTGGTGCCCAGTTGAGGCAAAGGCTTAGGGCCCTGGTCACGGATTGAGAGCAACAGACACACTGAAGGAAAGCAATGCCAAAGCGGAAGGGGGGGGAAAGGAGATGCAGGCGAGTAGGAATATGGTGCGAAAACGCCCGCCCCTCTCTGAGCTCGGCCGGCAGAATAGATGAGAGACGAGGGAAGACTGGGCTAGTTTGAGGTGGGGCATCAACAAGGGCAACGAAGGAAAGAATAGGATATGAAGGAAATGGGAAGCCAAGCAGCGGACGAGGAAGAGAGGCCAGACACCTGTTAATGTGACAATCGTTTTGGCAGGTACCTACAAAGTAGGTAGTAGTAAGTACTCCGCCCCGGTGCCTTAGCAGCTCACGTCGTTGTACTTTTGGGAGAAGACAGACGGGAGAGGCGGTGGCAGGGCAGGCAGGCGGACAAGTACAGGCAGGTAGGCAGGCAGAGAGCGAGAGAGAGAGACTATGCTAAGGTATCTCTCTAGATAGGTTGACCTCCAGCTAAGGTATGCCGTGTTCACCCGGAAGGGCAGACCAATGCGGGGCACCTGACCCCGGCGGGGCACAATGAGAGGGGTGGAAGAGAAGACAGGAAACTCAGTCAAAGCCGCGGCGACGGGAGCGCACTCATCAGATACCTGAATAGGTAGTTTTGTCAACCTCAGCGCGAATGGGGGGATCGGAAGGGACTCGTGCCGGGGCGAGTCAACGTCAAGTTACGTAGAAAAAGGTCAAGCAAGGGCGAGTGGGGAGCTCTGGGTAGCTGCCTCCGAACCAATCAACGGCCGGAATGCGCCCACGTTCCTCCATCCCAAGACGACAACGCTTCGGAACGTGTTCTGAAGCTGTGTCGGACCAAATACTAATTGATGTCCTACCATGCTTCTGGTACTCATCAGTCCTCTTCAGTTAGTGTAGGTAGGTGTCTCTCAGTCCCCAGTCCCTGTCACCTCAATGCACCACCCTTGGCTACCCGTTGACTCTTCCAAAAGATACAGCCAACCACAAACTACATGAAAGTGTAGGTAGTACTAATGTGGTCGGAGCAGCCAATCACTCTGCGGGTATCGACAAACATATTCCCACCCCAGTACTATATATCTAGGTTCCTTTGGGCTAAATCGGCACTGTGGCTGTTGGTGGAGTGCTTACGTCTAAGACAGCGTACTGAAACAATCGGCTCGTAGTCAGACTTACAGCGACTCTGTTGATCTGAACCTTATACCGTCTCCAGCCCTATGCAAAATAACAGTCTCGCTATTAACGTGACAATAAATTCATAGGTCTGTGCGGAGTACTTCGCGCTTTTTATAAGTAGATGCTCTCCAATCTCGAGGGCGCCTTGTTGGCAAGGCTACCAATCACTCGAAACTGTGTACCTAGACAGACATACTTGGGTGGTCCAATTTCAGGGGTTGAGAGCCTTTCCTTAGCTACTTACTCTATAACAGCCATTGATGAACTGTTATCATGAGCTAAGGTCTAGGCATGAGAAGCCACAGGAACGGAAGTCCACAATATGTATCCAGTCACGCTATCCTCACCACATAAAGATTCACAAGACGATTGGATACAAATGTACAGGTGAGATGCAAGCAATGTGACAGCCTTGACCCACAGTGTATCCAGGTTTGGGCGCGGAAAGATTGACCAAAACTGAAGCAAACGAAGACGGGATAGGAGATGAAAGAGGAAGACAATTGAAAAAAGAAGTCCTGGTCTGCCTTATGTGAAATTCAGGCTTCTATAGAATCATAAATGTACAATCGCAAGGCCAAAGAAAAGCAGTAGGGATATATCCATATAGCAGAATAACGAGGGCACCATTCAAATACAACAGAACAAGTTGATGGGGAATGGGAAACAAAAAGAGGTGTTTTGAGGTCCGAGAAGGCCACAAAAGAAATAACAAGCGAGAGATTAAGGAACAAAAGATTTGTGCTATGTGACAGTTGAACAATATTCAAACAGTATGGCCGCGAGCTGTTTCACCCTTCCAGCGGGGTGTTAGCACAAGATTTCCCATTGCTAGGGTCGCGATGACCGAAGCAGGAATATGAGGAATCAACTGAACGCCATTGGACTGATATCAATAGCCCGAGATGGCGAATCATTGGAACGGCAGAAATGACTATAGTGCTCAAACGCCCAGATTCTCTACTTCAGTAGGATGAAAGAAAGCCGAGCCACAATTCAGAAGTTCTGCGCAATACCGGCGTTTCCCTGTCTAGGGAACACGGCAGGGCTTTCAATTCGTGTATTGCGCCGCGCCTGGACATCCCGAATTACAGGCGGGGCACCGCCATAGGGACCTTCGCCATACGTCCCGTATTGAGGCTGCATATCGGTATAGTATGGGTTCTCATCAAAGAAAGGGCCCGAGGGGTGAGTGGCAGACATGTGGCTCTCCTCAGACGCTTCCGATCGGTTGGCTGCGGAATATGCCGATGAGGCGTTCGATGGGCCACGATGAATGTCGACATTTCGACTGTTCGCCGCAGCTACCGGTGCAGCACCCAAAACCCCAATTAGTTCGGTTTCTCCCAGAGTACCTTGTCCTTCGGAGTACTGGATAGTTCCATCACTCGGGGTAGCTGCGTGATGATAGCCAGGCGCACTTCCAGCCTCGGACATCGCCAAGCCAACTCCAGCGCCACTTGATAAGTTGGTGGATGCTTTGCGGCCAGCGGACGTCGTTCCCCAGCCTCGGTATCCCGAAGAAGTATTATCGTCTTTCGGCTCGAAGGCTCCGGCGCCCATTATTGGAGGTAGAGAGGGGTCGTTATTCGGGTTGAACCCGTACTCTTCCACCTCTTTCCTCCGTTCTTCTTCTGCCGCTTTCTTTGCTTTCCATTTCCTCCAAAAGTACAACGCCGCAAGTATGATTATAGCCACCGAGGCGACTGGCACAACCACCGCAACGGCTATGGTGCCGCCAGCCGAAAGTCCAGAGCTACCACCTCCACTACCACCCGTAGATGATGCTGTAGCTGATGATCCGCTGACTGTCGTAGACACGCCATTCGCCGCAGTCCCAGAAGTTCCAGTTGGAATGGCTGTATCGGTCGATGTTATTGTCAGGGTCTCCACCCCAGTGGCCCCATTGGTTGGTGTCTGCGTAACCACCGTGGTGACCACATCGGGAGTTGCAGTGGTCTCAGAAGTGGTGGCGGGAGCTTCGGTAGTACTTGTAGAAGTGCTCGAAGTGCTACTTGTCGTCGGTGCTATTGGTATTGTCGTAGTAGAAGAGGTTGACTCCGATGTCGATATCGATGTCGATGATGTCGAAGATGTAGACGATGTAGACGACGTAGGTACAGATGTCGAAGATTCGGATGTTGTCGATTGTGATGTTGTTGTCGACTGGGGTGTGGGAGCTGCTTCGGTTGATGTTTGGGACGTTTCCGCTTGGGTTTCGGTGGGTGTAGCAGCGTCAGCGGCGCTCGCCGATGTTACCGCCGCTCCTGCTCCCGCTGCAGCCGCCACTGTGGACAAGTTCAGTATATCGCAAACATATGGGCTACGATTAAAGGAAAATGACAGCGGCACGCTCTGATATAGGGGACATGGTGGGGTAGCACTATACCGGAAGATGACATATTGAGATCGGGTTGGAGCAAATATTCCAAGTGGGTAAGCACCCGAGTCGTATCAGGACTTAAAATCGGCCGAGTTCGAGAAGTCCGCGAATCCACCGCAAGTACAGTCGTAGCTGCGTGATTCACGAAAATAAACAGTGCGTATGCAGCCGGGAGTTTACCGGTCATACACGTTTAAGCCGAGTTTCGCAGCAATCCAAGTCTCCGTCAAGCCTTTGCCGGAAGGTCGGAAAGCAATCGAAAGAGCGAAAAGATAATTTTAGTGGCGAAGGAGTGAATGGAGGTAAATAGCAATATACAACCGCACAACCGGTAAGGGTGAAAAAAGGGACTGCTCTGCTTAGACTAAGAGCACGGCGCCTGGAGAGTGGTGAAGCTGACAATGGTCTGCCTAGCCGATGGTCAGGGGAGAAGGACGGACGCCTCAGATCAACGCAGGCAAAATTAAGGGAAAAATAAAAAAATAAAAATAACTAGATGTTTTATTTTATAGAAATGAAAAACTGGAGGGGGGGAATAAAGTGTCCACTCACCGGAATTAAACAGGATGCCATGAGACAGCAGAAAAAGATCTCATATTAGATAACTAAAGAGAGGCGACATTCATCGGAACAGATACATTTGGGGGGGTGGTAGGGAGGACTCCAACCAGAGAACGAACGGAAGGGAAAAGAGCGAGCGAGTGAGTGAACGAATGAGTGAGCGACCGAGCGGGAGCGGAGAGAAGGGCGAATTGCGGCCAGAGCAAGCCTGTGCCAGCCGGCTCCTGAGTTATATTTGTGGTATTCTTAGTACCAGGTACCTGGCTGAGGTGGTACCCCGAACTGTAATCGAGGTACCGAGAGCAGTCATGTATGGTACAATCCAATGAATGGGGTGTTGCGGTGCTGCGATCGGCACCCACTGAGGTCAGCAGCGGCATCCGTCATCTTTTCCTACCCAAGCTGATCGATCCGTGATATATCCATATTCCATCCGATCGAGGAACGTCACGTCGACGAGGAGCTACTATGTAGAGCAGTACTCCATGACCAACTACTCCAGGCTCCAGTCTCCAGTCTCCATCTAATCCATGGAATATGGATACGACCTAATAGTACCATCCATGCCCGATATTGAACTAGTACTTATTCTTAGCAGCAGTTGGATCCGGATTCATGGGGGCAACAAAAACTTGATGACCTCTGAGGGGCCCACCCGGCCGGCCAGGACGAATTGCTGATTGCAAATTGAGTGCCGTCTCCAGTGGGGCCAGTCTCCCAACTCGAGAAATGTCAAGCCCGGATTGGTGAAGCCAGAGCCCATCGTTACCGCCAAGCCAGCATGAACCATAATTTTCAGGCCCCTCGGCCGTGGGTTACCATCAGGTACGGCGTCCCAAGTTCCATCCATCATCCGCTATTCTCGTAGGCTCCTAGCCTCCTACAGCCGATTAAACCTTGACTGACGATGGAATTTCCCTGAACAAAGCGTTGTTAAACATGACCGGGGATCCTTGAGGCGACCTATCCCACCGGGTAAGTAGGTATGTACACTCATACATACTTAAGTGCCTGTAAATATGTAAATATACCTAGGTCTAGGTCCTTCAGTGGCTTCCGTAAATTCCGATTTCCACCCTTGAATCGCGGGGCCGATAACGACGACCGCCGTGCCTATGTAATGATGCTGACCCGAAACTTCATGATTTACTTGAAAAAGGTAGTATATTCGTGTCCAAATCACAACAGATTCCGGGTTTCTGTTCCAACTCGGTTCATGCCGCCACACACCAGTCTTACCACAAACTACGTCCATTGGAGCGTCTTGGCCATCTTGACTATTAGTAGTAGTATTGGGACGAAGTAACGACCGCTTCCGGGTGTCGCCACTTCCTGCTGCCCTGAAGTTGTGTTTCGATATGGTAGCCGAGACGGAGTCGGTCTTAGTTGCGCAGTAACTTTAAGGCACAACCTTGAACTAGAAGGTTCCGGTTTCGTAGAGTACCTTCAGTCCGGAGCATCTAAAATGGTTATACTATGCCATAGACAGACAGCTCCTCGACCGCTCGTCTTATCGTTGATGGCGCAAGACAGCATCATTCTAGCGACAAACAATGCTTACACAGCACAGCTTTGAAAAATGTGATCTAAACACTAGTTCCAATACATCTCCGGCTCGGGAATCGTCGGTCGTGGGCTTCGACGATCCGCCGCCAAAAACATCATATTTGCAAGTTGAAAGTTAGAAACATGGCTATTCAGGCTCAGCGCCTAGGGAAAGCAGGTACGGAGAACAGAAGCCCCTTGTATGTATTCACGCCACTGAACATCGAGAAAGTTGCTAGATAAAGCCGGGTTCCTCAAAGAAGTACCGCTAGGACAAGATATAATAGACAAGAATAGATCGTGAAAAGGTATGTAAGCACCAGATGACTGTGGCAGACGGGAAATCGTTACGGCGGGGAAAAAAAAACAAAGCAGAAATGTCGAGGTTTAATGCCGCATGTCCCATGTAGGACGGAGGTTCGATATCAAATCATCCTTGGTACCCACAGTGTCCGGGGGCAAGCGGCTGACGCGATACGCACCAGTGCGAATGTTGTGCAGATGGGTTGTGGAAATCCCTGTGTGGTTGCTGCGAATACTGCCCGCATCGCTTGCAGTATCATTTTTGAAGCGAGGAGGAGGTGCAAAATCCAAAGTATCATAAGCGCCCGACTTTCGCAATGCGTGCCTAAATCTTGGTCAATATCAATCAACACGCATAGTAACAATGTAAAACTCACGCGCTAGGTAATGCTGAAAGGTCGTCGAAAGCAGAGACAAGTGGCGAATGGACCGGCACCGCCGGGCTAAATGGCTGTAGGCCACCCAGAGGCGTTCCTGGTCGACCGTCCTTTTGATCCTTAAAGTGGTTGGCGGGAGCATAATCGATGGCCGTCATTAAGGAATCATCTTTCAGCATATGCGGAGTAGGAAGGATTTGGAGTGGTGATGGCGGGGGCACCGGCTTGCGCGGCTTTGGGGGTCCTGGTAACCGACCAGAGGCAGAGGAAAACGCACGGGGGCCGGGATTTTGGAATCGATCGCTGAAGCCTCCATCCGAGCCTGTGGCCATATGCCGAGCTGCTCCTTGGAAGCGCGGAGGCGCGCGTGGTGGGGGAGTCATGGCGCGGCGAATCACCGGTTCAGCAAATGGCGCCGGGACTGCATTAAAGTGATCACCCATCATAGGGTCATACACATAGCCGCCGCCCTCAGCGTAAAACTCCGGCCCATAGTCCTGGTAAACTGTTTCCCGGCCCGTTTTGTTCTCATCGAAGTATTCTTTGTAGAAGGATCGGATACGGTTGGCACGTTGCTCGGGGTTGTCAGATGGATCCTCTGGCGGTAGAGGACGAAGCCCAAGGGTCATCCGTCTGGTGTCGCGACGAGCATCAAGCGCTGCGTTCTTAGTTCGTGGCTCTTCAGCAGGCACTGTAGGGACACTGGACTTCTCGGTGTTGTCGGCAGGGCCCGTGATGCTTGCTACCTCTTGCACGTTGAAGGATGGGATTGTCGACCTCCTTGCGTCACCATAATCGCTAGGAGCATCACTCAGAGGAAGCGAGATGCGGGGAGTGGGAATTGATGCGGAATGCACCGCAGCCGTGTTTGAGTCCTGATGAAGTGGTAGAGGATCATGTAACGGAGTAACTGCATGATGCTGAGGGAGTGGACTCGAACCCATGTCTCCATTCTGGCTGTTATCGTTGGGATGAGTCAGGTTTGAGTACTGTGGATGTTCAAATGGCATATGCGATAAGCGCTTTTGCTGGACACTATTCTCAGTGCTGGCGTGGGCTCCACTGAATTCGGGTTCGTTGCTTGTTATCGGGTTCGGCTCGCTGATAGTCATTCCCGGCATATGTACGGGGCTCGGGCTCCTGGGCAAGTCCAACTGAAACCCAGGATCGCGTTCGTGGTCAGAGCTCGCTGGACTCTGCACGCCAGAAGGAATAGTGTAAAGTGGAGGTGATGAGCGCGACATTCTTTGGGCATTTCGCAAAAGCCCTTGGTTCATATCGTCACCAAGCGCGCCCCGTTTGGTTGAGCCTGTAAAGCTTGACGCATCATCCTGGGGACCTCTCGAGTGCGACCTGAGCGAAGCGTTGTCACCCAAGAACGACCCTACATGTCGATACTTGTCATCATCACCATCACCGATGGATCTGGACAGAGAACTCAGGGACTCCCTAGAATTGTGCAAGCCAGGCGGAAGAAGATAGGGGCTAGGCCCAATATCCAACGATACCCCTTTATTGTGCGCCGCGTTACGATCAAGTTTCTCGGCCTGTTGCATGGGCTTAGCTACCGTAGGCGCCAAATCTAGACCAAAGTCGAGAGATTTGTGCTTGTCATTTGCATCTTCGTTACGGAGCTTCTTCACGTTTCTGCGGTGCAAATAGAGCAAGATAGCTACGGCAATCACAACGGGAATCCTAAATGCTTATTAGTCACAGACCCAAAGCGGGGATATAGCCATTGTCCTGTAAAGTGAAGAGGGAAGGGGTATCAGCGGCTGAGAGAACATAGTAGAACGTACACTGCTCCTAGAACAACCGGCAAAGTCGTGGTAGTCAGCGTGCTTGTTGGTTTGGTCTCGCTGGATGAAGAAGACGAGCTAGAGGAGGACTCGGTGGATGGCAGAGGCTCTCTCTTCGCCAGCGTCGGTGTTTCGGCCATAGTTAGCAAAGACAGTCTGTCACGAGGCACAATGCCAGGCCGGCGTGGCATCGAGCGACTTTGCAGGTGTGTGCCATGAAGGGCTTGATGTTGATGGTGATGATGCATGATCGGCCTAGCTCTCGAAAGAGGTAATCCAGAACTCCGTTACCCGGAGAACTAGATTACGGCGATGAGCAATTTCAGGACCAGGCCTGCACTCGAGACCGTCTGATGTGAATATCCCCTAAGCGTCGATAACCGTGAATCATGAAGGAGACGAGTAGCGGGTTTTATGATGAGGAGCGATCGAGCAGGGGGCGCAGATGATAGAAAGATCTCAGTGCGAACGGGTGGGCAGCAGCAACGGTGGTCTGGCAGACAATGAAGCAAACGTCGAGGACGAATTTGGAGCAAGGAGTGGACGGGAGCGAGAAAGGCTCCCTAAAATGAACGACTGTACAACCCCCCGAGGTATTGAGGGTTGGGGGAAAAGAACGACGTGAAACAGGAAAAAGGAAAGGAAAGGAGTAGCAGATGTAGAGGCGGACGGCACGCGATAGGGAGAGGGAGAGAAAAGAGGGAAAATGAAGTGAGCCGGCAGGGCGAAGGCCCAGAGGGCGTAAGCCAGAAGTAGTGCGCCCAGAACTAAGCTACCTAGCGGTCTAGATGGCCCGTTTCATTTCCATTCATTTGTTGTCTAACCGGTTGTGGGGAGGAGACGCAAAGCTTGGTGGCAGATATGAGGGGTACGGAGTATCATCGTACCATATACGGAGTATGGTACGGTCATCGAATATCGATTTACTAGTACTAGATAGAACGGACATAGATAAGACAGGGCAAATATGCAGTAGAGTTGAATGGTGGTATAATTATCATATCATACATCCCCCCCCCAGAGGAAGGTTTTCGTTCTTCACAAATACCGGATGTCCACATTGCCTCATGGTAATTGTTCAAATAGCCATAATCCGGTTGAACTAGATAGCTTCTCCATACTTAAAGAGCCGTCGTGTCTGAGCTCGATGTCAAGCCGAATTGCTGGGTTCCTGCAAAGTGTGGTGTACCTACTCCGTACACATCACCGACTCACAGGATGGGTTTGCCGCCCCCTGAGTCGGCCGGAAGCCGGAACATATGTTACCTAACAGTACCGGGTATGGAGTACAGTGGCCTGTACTCCGTACCGGCTACTACTAGTAGCAATTGTGGACTCCAACGGACTGGGTAGCTGATTTATCCCGGGATGCAACACAGTGGAATCCCAAGCGAGATCCTTACTGTGAGTGTCTCGGTGTCCTCGTGTTCGTTTCTATTCATTGCTCCATAGTACCTGGAGACTTCTGCGGTTTGTCTTCCATTTTCTGATCGCTGTCCTTGTTCCATCCACTCACTCATTCTGGAAAGTAAGGTGCCGCGATCCCCTGAGTGAAAACCCAGGCACAGTGGGTCCCTTAGACTCTGCTACCCAGACTAGTGCCAGGAACCCGCTCCGGCTGGCCAATAATTGGAAAGGAACTCCGCCCCTTGGGAGATTGCCTCTCGGGCATACTCCACCCTCCCATAAGAGCTGAGCCTGTTGACTTGCTGGGTTAATATCTGACATTTCCCCCCCTTGTACTATGTAAGAGCTTAGGGTATGAGTGGACGCGGCCAGTAACTTACGTGAGTGATAATACGGAGTAGGTTGGTCCTTGGAAAGAAGTTGTTGGATGCCTATTTGTATCTGACGTCGACCAGCTGACGTTTAGTGGGTTTATTATTAGAACCCATCGAATCATATCTAATATAGAGCATCCCGACATTTAACACTAAGAAACTGTATGGAACTATGGATGATACTTAGTGCACTTGCGGGATATTTAGTAGTACTCTGTATTCTACCTACCCACCCTATTTCAAGTAGGTCCTAAATGTTCACAATGTGATAAAGTATGGAGTAAATAGTGTCGGAAATGATACTTTCCCCGCTTACATGGTCCGGATTATATTGATAGAATCAGTATACTTAAACTATGGACTAAGGAGCATCCCGTACTACACTATCTAAAGAATAATTTGTTATCACACCCACCCATCCCTGTCTACGCAAGTCACAGGTTCTACGAAAGCCTAGTGATTTCCGCTTACCTAAGCTTGTGAGGCTAGAAAACTACATATTCTGCCATAGAGGTATACACTTATACCTCAAAGCTAAATATCCTAAGCACCATAATATATATCGATAACTAAGCCCCAGTGAATCAACTAACTTTTGTCCCGGCAATGTTGACTTGATCAATGAAAGGGTGCGTCTAGTTCCCCGAGAGCCCATATATCTGTGAGCAATACAGCGTTTTGCAAACTGACTGTATCCTGTTAAATCCTGGACAGGTAGGATCCTACGAAGTAATCATATCGACCTTCGGAGTCTTGGCCCAGTGGGCGAAGCACCAAGCTTAGGTATACGGACGCCCAAGTTGCAGTTTTAGTTATGAAATTCATGTCTATGATTCGAGAGATGTTGTCAAAGTTGGATTGGTGTGCGTATTATGTGTGCGTCTGTTGTCTCAATTCTAGGCCTATGCTTGCAGAGAGACTGTCATCGCAACCTCCGTCTTTTCAAAGGGGCTCTAGAGCACCTCATCTGAAACAGCTGCTAATATTGATTTTCCGGTACTATATTTCTGCTCGACATGGGTGGATTCCAGTCAGACAGCACGAGAATATCCGCGTATCAGCACTGGATATGGGCTGCCTTCCTATACTTACGAGTACTCTGCCGTAGTGTATCTGCTCTTGACAATACTATAGCAGACAAGATAATGGCAGCGGTTGCTGTCAGAAGACCTCAAAGATTTAGCGGAGGATTGGTGAGATAGTCCTCATTTTTTTGGCCAGTTTAGTGCTTGCTTCAAGCATAAATGGCCATCACGCCAAAATTGCCAATACGACTGAGTAGCCCGTGTATGATTAATCTTTCATATGTACCTTTTGCACAGAGCCTCTACCAAGCAAACATACTAAGCTTGATAAAACCAGCGCATACACAGGGGTTCTATATCAAGATAAATATACTTCACGTATAAGTACCTCTGGTTTATAGCAGCAATGATAAATTATAGTTGTGTCAGATTTCTATTCATTGCTGGGCTTCCTCTAGAAGTGTGGTAGCTCCTAATCTTGCACTTTTGACTTTCACAAAATTATCCTATCTTGCTTTTGCTTTCCAGACAGGTTCAACATGACCCAGACTCGTATATCCATACACCTGTGAGAAGAAGATCATATGGGGGAAGGAAACCGACAGAGAAAAAAAAAGAACAAAGGAAGACTGTACGGGACCTTCGCAATCCACTTCCGAAAATATCACGTACAGGGAATAGAAGATAGGGGGTGGATGGGAAAAGCATTGAAAAGGAAGGGAAAAAAAAAGAAAAGAAAAAGAGACTAAAAATGGTAGGAAAAAAGGTAGAAAAGAAGAAAGAAACCCAAATACAAGTAATATACTCGCACAAGAACCGCCCAAGTACTCAACACCCATCCTGCATGGGAAATACCCAACAATTCAGTTGTACAAAGTAGTAACCATTGAAAATCAAGTCTCCTCGAACATGCATTTCTGACGAGGACAGAAGAGGGAATTAGCGGAAGCGAAAAAAAAGAAAATGGCCAGGTTAGATGTTCTCTTTCGCGTCATCTCATATGCTCAGGAAATCGTGAGGCTTTTTGAAAGGGTACAGTCGGAGAATAGAAAAGGCGTGAAGGGCGACGTCGTCAAAGGTAAGGGAAGTGGCGTGGCTCATTTACTATAAGTCTCGAGACTTGCATTATCATGAGAAGATTGATCAAAGATCCGACTAAATGGTGGGTCTGTGAGATGTATCGTCTCTTTAGGCTCGGCTGTAACACCATCGGCTTTGCGAATTACTTCTTTCAAAGCACGAGTGACGACTCCTGCTCGGACAACCAAGTCACGAAGGGACTGTGTATCGAAGGGGAGTTTCTTGGAGCGTGGAACATGCGAATCCGTAAAATTGGAGTCGCCTGAGTTGCGCTGTTGATAGATCAGATCCAGCACAGAGTTGGGTTTGGCAGTGCCCTCCGGGCTGGGAGAAGTAGTAGGACGGGAATTTGATTGCTCCGAGAATGATACTCCCCAAGATCCTCCGCTGACTCGTTTCCATGGGTCATTAGTATTGGAGGAATCGCCTTCTGATTCGTCGAAGCTGAAAGTCAGAGAGGAAGGAGATCCAGGAGGTGAGTTATCATGCGCATCATCGTCAAGAGTGGCTAGGTTCACTATGCCTTCTGCTTCTTTCCAAAGTTCGCTTGATGGCCCGCGGACCAGGTTCAAAAAGCTACCCTGATGCCGAAGGCGCTTAAGTTCTTCAACTAGCAAGGTAAGTTCCTGGACCTGTCCGAACTGCCCATGAAGACTTGCTTGGCGTTCCATGATGGCTTGCGGAACTATCATGCCCCGATGGGGGAGCGTTTTATTCGGTTTCATAGCCTCGCTCGCCGTACTCTCATCCGCATCCTCGAAATCGAAGTCACTGTCCCAGTCCTCACTGACACCTTTGCTTCCTAGGCCCCATGTGCCGAACTTGCCCGAGGTCTGACGTTGTTCGTTAATTGCCGGAGTGTCTCTGGTCACGGGGACACTTTGACTACGGAGATGCAAAGTACTTGGGGCTTTTCGCCCTGTTGCTCGGCTGCCACGCACGTCAGGTGCGTGCTTCCCATGGACGGTCCGCGGTCGCCCGTCGGGGCCTGTTGCTTCACGATCGCTTCTCGACTGTTCCGACCAGTCAAAGATATTCATTTTTGGACATGAATCAAGTGCCTCGTTAGCCAGACTATGGGAATCGCACTTGTACGACTGTAGCTCGGGAGCTGCCTGCCGGTCAGAAGCAAATACCTCGCTTCCAAAACAATCACTAGCGTTACCATTCAGTGGCAGTGTTGAGGGATGTGCTCGTGCGAATGGGACAGTTGTCTCGCTAGGCAGTGCGGCCAGCAGGCTGCGAGAATCTTCATCATCTGTCAGGTCTGACGGAAAAGAAACGTTGCTGTTGCCCTCGTGCATATTTAATGCCTTGTCGGCGATAGGAGCCGGTGTAGGAATAGGGGTAACATCTCTAACGGAGTCGCAGTGGCAGTTTTCCAATGAATGGGAAGTGAGAGGCCCACACGTTTCGAGTACATGCATGTTAGACATTCCCTCCGACATTTTAACGGGAAATTCTTTGTCAAAGATCGTCTGGATTCGAGAAGCATATGGACTCGAGTTACTGCTGGTGGTGATATGTGTACGGATGGAATCGAAGGCAGTGTCGCTCAAGAAATCTGTCTCGTCCTCATCACCGGATGTCAAGATGTGAGTATCGTCAGATCCCATAACGGTGGATGCAGGGTCAGACGCAGCAATCGAATGGCGTTTTGGGCGCTGACGGAATGTGCCCTGGAATCTGGACAGTGGTACCGCATCCAAAGCGAAAGGACGCGACCCAATGTCGCGGAGATGAGCCATGTCTACTTTGTAGTCTTGACAATATAGAGGATGGGGTCTGCGTCGCGATCCTATCAATTCCGACATCATTGACGAAGGAACTCCATTTTGTGAGACGGTTGGACGACGGAAGATATTCGGGTCAGTGATGTTTCGTCTTCCATGTGCCTGAGATGGAACCAGGAGTGTTCCTTCCAACTTTACCGACGCGGGGAGCGGGGTCGAGATTGCCCTCCTTTTGGGATAGACCAGCAAGTCATTCTTGAGGCTTTCATTATCTGCGGGGCCCGTGCTCGTTGGGGGGCACTTAGGGCCAGAATCATCAACCAAAGGCGAGGTTTGACGATCCCTTTCCTCCGGTGGCAATGGTAGCTCTTGTTGTTGCGGGGAAAACCCACTAGATCCAAACGGGTTTCGAAATTGAACCGGCGAGGAAGGAGTGGATTCATCTAAATCAGCTTCTGCAGTCGGGTGCTTGCCTCTGATAGATGTCGCTAGAAGGAGTGCCGGAGCAGTATCCGCATTCGGGACAATTCGTCGTAGCCCTGGATCTTTTGGTCTCGTCGCGGTTGAAAATCTACGAGCTAGTCTTTCCGATAAACCCTCTGGGCTGACATCGATATATGGATGCCAGGCATGATCATCGCCTAGAGCAGCAAGATCGGACCGGTTGGGTGAAGGGTTCAAGATCAGACTAGGCTCGAAGTTGAGACTATGGCTTGCCTTGTGTCCCAAAGTTTCAGACCGCTGATGACTAGTAGCAGGCCTGCGAAAGGCGGCGGGCTTTAACGGAGAGGATGGTGCATTTCCGGAAAGCGGGTGAGAGTTGGCATGATTTGAAGGAGGCCGTTTGACTAGTTTGTTGGGTCTGCGTTGAATAGACGCGGGGGGACTGACCGGACTACCTGGTCCGTTCGATGAAGAGGAAACGGGGGTTTGGCAGGAGGCGCGCTTCTCTGGTTGGAAGGATAGGCGTCGCACCCAGGAAGACGAAGGCCGCCGTATATGAGAAGCGATTGATAAGTTCTCAAAGACTGGTCTGGGCGGGCCAGTCAACGTTTGTCCCCGGCGACGCAATCGTACACCTGCAAATGACGACTTCCTGCGCGACTTTGCTTCTCCCGGTTGACCCGAATCAGGCGCACCATCTTCGCACCCCGGAAAGAAATCCGCGGCCAAAGGAGACTGTGCTGTCGCTGTCGTAAAGGTGCCGGCGGGGACTGGGTTTGTATTTAACGGAGATACGGTATGATCTGTCGCAGTCGCGCATTGATCATGCAGCGGGAGGGTCTTTTTCCGGAATCGGCCTGGCCTGGAGGAGCTTCGATCTACGCGACCGAAGGCGAAGCCAGTTGGTGCAATACCGACGGTGCTAATTGCACAGAGCTGATTGAAAGCAAGTCAGTCTCACAGATTTGCACGCATGATGACACCAAGCGTGAGGAAAGCGCTTTGCTTTGTTCAGGCCAGGGAAGGGAAAAACAGCCTTCAGCAGCAGGAAAGTGGATAACCAAAAGAATGCGACCAAGAGCGAGAAGATTAAAGAAGACGCTTGACTCACAGTTGATACATGCTCCATTCTCAGAGGGCGCCGAGAACAGTGTCAAGCACCATGAACCTCAGTTTAGCAACATCGATATTACATGTAATTGACGACCCATCTGCATTATCTTGCACGAGGAGGATCAGCTGGCCCGGCACATCTAGATAAATACCATCTAAAAAAGACAGGTGGAACAAGAACACAATCTAGTATGAGGTGGAGAAAAGAGAGGGATCGCTGTAGCCGTATTAAATGTTTAAACAGTAAATCCGAGCGTGAAATTCGATGCGATCTTAGGGTGGATGAGGGGAAAGGGTGTCGGAGCCAGCTAGGAGGAAGCTAAAGGAATGGGGGAGCAATCGAAAAGGAATGTAATCAAGGAATGGGGGATTAAAGGCAGTCTCAGCGACCAAAGCTTTGGCCCGCACAAGTCCCAGAAGCCGACTGTCCCAAATCAGCCGGGGAGGAAAGAAATCGAGTAGCAGAAGGAAGAAGTGAAGAGGCGGCAGCAGCAGCAGCAGCAGCAGCGATAGCAACATGCGAATGAGAGTGGTAATAATAACAGACCAAGGTCATCGATCAACAAAAGCCCCAGCGGGACGCGGTCACTGGCTTCCCTTCCCACGGGCGATGTTCTTCTGGTTCTAGTCTAAACTCAACCACTGGAGAGGAATGGATCACGCTAGGAGTTCCACCCCCAGCACACCACCACCGCAAGGCAAGTCCAATAAACCGTGGCTAGGGTCGAGGAAACGGAAGAAGGGAACGGACAGCGCAAAGAGAAAAAATTAAAAATAATAGTAAAAAAATATTCGAATTTTTTAAATCAAGGGTACAGGGTCGAAGATAAGGACACTACCACAAAGGTGTTCGAACAATCCTCAACCCCCCATTGATATAATATTGCTACGCAAGTCACCTGTTTGAGCCAAAGCATGAACATATCCAGGGTCCTACGGCCGCGGATCTCAAAGGGATTGTGCCAAACGTGCTATGATTACGGAGTAGGACAGCAACAACTAAGACCGAATCGATTAGTTCTCTTCGGACAGGCTGGGGTTTGAGGACACCGGATCACAGGTGGACGGCGATAGTCACCAGCAGAACCTGAAACGACAGTCGAATGCAGATATGGAGGAACACGAGGGTATTTATGTAAGTCATTGTTGATGTACAGAGTGCTCCATCCATGTATGCAGGTATAATGTAGGAGGAGCGGCTGACGTGGTAGCTTTCCTAACCACAGGAGCATGCTGGTATGTGTTGTTAAATGACATGATGGAAGCCTATCATGCACATAACCTGGGGAACTGAAGCACTTGCTTAGATACTAAAGTAGTGTCTTAGTAGTGGTAGTATTACTTTGTAGTAGTGTTATCATCATTATGTTTTCCTTCCCTTGCTCACCACTACTTTCGGAGTACTCCGTCACAATACCTACAGACAACACTATCGGGTACTGTATTCTGTAATAATATTAATATAACGAGCTGTGATCCTTGCACCTCGGCGGCTGCAGCTGGGCCACTAGCGTGCACGATCCTACCTCCAGACTGGATAGTAGCGAGGATGGGATCTGACTCCCGAACCTGTGCTGGCCTAATGAAACAAACCAGGGATCTTCAGCTCCCCTTACCCGAGTTCCCTAGGAACAAGTTGGTCCAGAACATCATATAATTAACGCATTGAAGGCACTCCCACTTCTCTCGTCATCAATTTCTCCCTTTAGGAAGGGGTGTGTTACATAATAGAATACTCTTCTACCATCCACCTCGACTCAGTCCGTCGCCCTTGTTCTTCTCCTTGCCCGTTATCATATTCTTAAGGATGCCTTGTAGAAAGCTCGGAACCACACGAGATACTTGGAATCGAATTTGCTGAGCTTGGTTTTCGCATGATGCAATTAGTAGACCGCTACCGCAAGTGCCATCCGAGCCTAGTACCGATCAGGCCCGGCGATTCCGTACAAGTCAAGAAAACAATGGGTCCATTTTGTAACACGGCTAAGCCATCATGCCTATCCCCACTTTTTACTGTAGCTCTCGGCTGGCTGGCGAAGTCACAATCATGATAATAAATAAGATTTATATCATGTTTATGGCTTACGCAGGACAGATAGGACGGAGCCCCGTATCCCTAGTTACTGCACTCTCAGCTTAGCCTGTTGAGCCTCTAAGGGGATACAGGCTAACAAAGCGGGAGATCTCTGGAATACCATCGACAGAACCATCTGGGTATAACTGGTTCCTGAGCTTTCATCAACCGGCCGGTTCCAAGGCACGGGACCGAGAGGAACAAGCGGGATGCTACCTAGTTATGCTTTCTCCAGCCTTTGCCTCTTTTAGCTTTCTTATTCATCTTTACCCATCTTATCCGTCCAAGTTTCCGATCTAATTTAAAATTTCCCCTTCTTTCCTCCTTGCTGACCCTCTTTCGCCTTCCGCTCTCCCAGATATGACGACATAGAAAACCCGAAGGAGAATATAACGAACCCACTACCCGTACGGTCGCATCTATTTTCCGGGAGGGACCGATTGTTCACAGGATTTTGTGTGTAGCATACAGTCTCTTCGGGTGCCGCGATCTTGAGCTAAGCGCAAGGAAAAAAAGAAGAGATGGAGAGCGACCACTAGTGACACTAGTAGTAATACGGAGTATCTCTGTCTCATGTGTCAAACTGCCAGGTCAACGGTGCGTAGTAAGCTTAATTCGTAGACACAAAAGCAGATCGGGATGATAGATCCAATTTCTCGGAGAGGAACGTGGACCGCGAGCTTCGAAAAGCAATTTTTTCCGGCCGATGGCCGGGCTGGAGCCCTTGGTCTCCATTTTTAATAAATTGTTGTTGGGCCAAGGCTTTGTTTGTTGTATGTTATTGTTTCCCAGGCTCTGGGTCTGTGTGGTGCGTACCTACGGCGGAGGTAGGTCCTTCAGTTCGATTAGTGCCATTATTGTTTTGATTCTGATCGAATCGTAAGATCCGATTTGGAGTATCTAGTCGTGAACGACATTTGGATACGATCCAGAAGTTATCCGCCTTCTTGTTCTAGTTGTAGGCTTTTTTTCATAGGTGGCGTACTGGTGTCCATTCTGCTTTTACGCCGGTCGCTGTTATTTTAATTACTCAGTTCTACTGCTATCGAGAGACCATCCTATTGTGTTCGACCAAATGTTGGCCTAGGTCTATGTTTCAGATTACTATTTTGGCCCCCCTTGGGTAAAAGAGAGACCTTTGCTGGATGCGCTCCTTCCTATGAAACGATCAGAAGCAGGAACACCATGCGGCCCTTGCCTCCAAGCCCGGTTCTGCTGATGGATTAGTCTCCTAGGTGACATTGAGGGGCAATCCCATGTACAGATGTAGGCATAACACTGTCCAACTAGGATCTTCACCACTGGAGGCCTGGGATGGGGTAGCCCTGCTACTGACCCATCTGGATTTAGCACACTGGGTGGACAAGCTGTGGCGCCCGCTCCCTTGATTGGCAGAACTAGCCAAAGTTGCACGGTTCCATGAACAGCTGTCCTGAAGCGATCTCAGGAAACTCAAATCGATCATCCCTGCGAGGCCCTATCAATGGAAGTTGTTTGATCCCGCCAAAACCGAGTACGTGCAGTAGTCAAGCCATTATTACAACCCTAGTCACGGAGCAGAGCTTACTCACCTCTGATCTTATTGCAAAGTAACTACATGTTGCTCACGGTGCAGTCAGTGGTCTTCCTTCTAGAGAATCCAATGTTTGATCGATACAAACATATGATACCGACCTGTATGTAGGTACACCGGTATGGAGTACTATCACACAGCTTAGCCTAGTACAAAACGCAATCTCTCAACTAAAATTTCCTACGCTGCATTCGGGATTTGAGCCGTAGGATGTGCGGCTATCGAGGTCCTATGGGGGTCGTGAGCTGGCAATGTTGATGCTAGTAGATACTCCATAGTACTTCACCGACTACGCGGGTCCACAGAGGCGGTAAAGCCAAGCAGGATGATATAATCAGCTTAAGGAATAACGTAATCCACTACCGAGCCGCCACCTCCGCTCCGATTTCCATGACTATGTTAGATTCAAGCACCGCTTTACCAACAAAACAATTGCATTTCTCTATAAAACTAATTACTAGGTGGGTTAGGACATCTGACCCTAGTATGCCCCCGAATATGATAATTAGAACACTGTGGTGGCGCGCGTACGCGCGGTCCAACTGCAGGAAGCCCCAGATCCCTAGACACAGTATCTTGAGCTTCAATAACCTGATTCTCTTGCTGGAATCGCTCCTGGCCTTTCTGGATAGAAAGGCCTTCTGCAGTAGTAAGCTGCTTAATAGATAGTTTTTGCTTTTGAAGCTTCTTCTCATGTGCGGCTCGTAGATCATGGTTTTCTTGTGCTAAAATAGTAGCATTATTCATCGCTAATTCACATCTTTTAATAAGTTGATCTAGCGCAGCCTTTGTAGAAGAGGAAGGGCTCTGTGTATGCGCCCTAAGCAGCTTCTTAATTGTAGATGCTTGCTTCTCCAGCTGCCTGATAGTATAGGGTGTCTTAGGCACTGAATTGGTTGACCGGCTGCCTGGTGGTGTCGGAGTACTTAGTTGAATATTCAACTGACTGAGCACTTGCTCTGGATTATATGGAACTAGCCCAGTAGTAGAGAAATCACTGCAGATATTGCTAGTAGTATAGATATCTGTACGCGCCTGAAGGAAAGCTTCAAGGAAGTCAAGCTTATCAATATAATTCAATCTAAGATATATCTGCTTCTTTACTAAGCCTCCGTACGCATGTTTTAGCAGTGAAAAGCAGCCAATATCCAGAGATTACAGTAGATATGAAGAATGAGCAGGCATATAGATAGGAATAGCATTATTCTCATTATATATCTGGTCGAATTGAGGTGAAAAATGACTGCCATGGTCATCAAGAACTAGGAGACAATATTTCCCCGTTGTACGGCCAGTAGTAACAGGAATAAAGAGATTTTGAAGCCAGTGAAGGCTTATTTCATCACTAGTCTAGCTATTAGGACTAACTTTAATCCTCCAGTCATGTGGTAGATTGCTCTAATACCATCTTTCTATATGGGCCTTTCCCTTGAAGATGATACACGGAGAAAGTATCTAACTAGAAGCATTTATATACTTAATTAAAGTAACCCATTCCCGATTATCTGGCTGTACAAGGCGTGCTTTTCCATAGTAATCAGCTCTAGTAATTACTTGTGTAGTAGTTACTAGACCCATAGCAAAGCCAGTCTCATCGAAGTTATAGATATCTTCCTGTGTAATCCCTTGTTGTATTATAGTGATTTATACATGATTAAACCATTCTTGTATAATCTTAGGATCCTCGCATTTAGCACGTCGATAATCATAGCATTGAGTATAGCAGGTTTTTAATTCATTACGTTGTTTAACAAACTTAGAGACCCAGTTCTCTCTAACAGTTTGAATAGGTGTAGTTCCACGTTTAGCAAGCAGAATATTAGCCATTTCTTGTATATAAGATGGCCGGGGAGGTCCTCCACAACGATCTAGTGATAAGATCCATTATACAAGTGATTTCTCTTTATTTTAAGTCATTTTATGGGAGTTGGCGCGTGCTTCCTTGCGATAATTGCGGCCATGAAGACGGTCCCGTAGAGTTGAACGTGGAACATTATAGACCCGCGCAGCTTTAGCAATTTGGGAGATTTGCTTGTTTTCTATAGCAGAGATTGTTAATAGAATCCTGCCTTCTTGCTCGACTAGATTTCTTGAATTTTGACGCGCTTTTGGAGGCATGGTTGGTGGTTGAATTGAGCGAGGATTTTAACCGGTGCCAAAAACGCGTGAGGTGGCGGCTCGGTAGTAGGTGGCGGCTCGGTAGTGGATTACGTTAGTTACTGACTGATGTTGCGTAAAGTGATTGACGAGGAGATATAATCATCTAGCCAGTTGGATAAGATAGTATGGAAGATAACCTGGAATCATTTAATTTATCGTATTCGAGAATAAAGATAAAAGAGGATATTAGCTACTATTATAGATTTTATTTTTTGTTCATGACTTGATTGAACGGCGTTCAGAGAGCATTTCGTCTTCCAGGCACAGTTGCTGTGATCACAGTCAAGAGGGAAGAAAAGGTGATGTCTTTTTTTCTAACCCTGAATAGAGGACTTGTGTTGGAGATACTAATGCTCCGTTCATCTCTGCTATCAGATAGTACAGTTCTGACAGACCGGCATTCGTATATTAGCCTGAGCCTATTGGCAATAGTAGATATTGGCTCTAGTACCTAAGCTCACAGTCTCTGCAACAAAGGAGCTTACTGCCATCTGTAGTCTATTATAGGTGTTAAATCCTAAAAAGTCCAAGCCCTCCAACATAACTAGTATCCATGGTTTGTCACTCGGCCTTGACTGGCATGCTAGTCATGTTCATGGATAGTAGCCAAGAGATCTACTATATAATAAGTAATTCACTAGACCAATCCTCCCTATAAGTTATAGTAGTAAGCAATTTTCCAATACTCGGAATTTAGATTTAGTATGCACTTTGATTCATTATCTAGATAGGGCCCGTACGTTTGTTTTTTAATTATAGAAGTGCATTTTGATGATCACAAATTGCAGTCGAAGTTTTTCAACGCGTTCAATGAGAAATGCAGTTCATAAACTTCCTGGTTGTTTCCAGAATGTTTTATCGTTAATATGCATTCTATAATAAGCCTTCTTCCCTCGTGTTGGTTACCTAGTAGACCGCGTATTTGTCACTTTGAAGGACTGGACTGCTATCATAGGGAATAGGTATGCCAAGTCGCTCGCCGGAAGAACTCGTTGAAGTACATCTAAGAGCAGCAATAGCGCTAAAAAGTTGTAGAATGTTAAGTTCATACCAGTAGGCCAAAACGGAAATCCGCTGGCCATCTGGAGAACAGACGGAACGAAAGACTCTGTGTCCCAACATAGAATATAGGTGTGCAAGCATCACTGCAGTATTTCTCCCGCTGTACGGGGTACTTTGCTGGGAGACTGATGACACTTCCATCTTCATCTTGATCCATGGCTGCGCCACTCGAAATGGGGGCAGTGGGTCTCGTGAGCTGTCAGCTTTTATTATGTAAAAATACCCCATGCGTTAGCGGCCACTTCTCCAGATCCCAGATCCCTTATCTCCCAACAACTTCAGCTACCTGATATCATCAGCCGTACCTGACAATTTGAGACGTACGTGCGTTTGGCATGGCTCTTATAAATACCCATACAGAAGCTACAGGACCCTAAGCCATGAATCGCAGGGAGGAGAATGAGCCGACCGACCCCAATGCCCCTTTGCTCCCTTCGGTGCCTTTGGTAGACCGCGAACCCCAGCATGACGACGGCAATGTCAACACAGGACAGACAAGTGGCTGGTTTATATATGCTCTGACATTTTCTGTGGGTATAAGCGGGTTGTTATTTGGATACGAGTATGTGCAGTTCTGACGGTCTTCCTACCGACAACGACATTCAATAGAATCGAATCCTGTCCCCCATGTTACTGACACTCTGGTTCTTGAAAGTACAGGTGTCATTTCCTCGACCCTAGTGTCGATCGGATCTGACCTTTCCAATCGCAATCTCACCACTTTGGACAAGAGTCTAATAGCATCTTGTACGAGCTTGTTCGCCCTGATTGCGAGCCCGCTGGCGGGGATCTTAGCGGATAAGTTCGGTCGCAGAAAGGTTATCCTTGTTGCAGATGTGCTTTTCACCCTGGGCGCTCTAATACAGGCCGTCACGACCACAGTATGGGGGATGATTGCTGGAAGAAGCATTGTTGGTCTGGCTGTTGGTGGAGCAAGTCTGGTGACTCCATTGTATGTCCAAACCTCGCCGAGGACTCCCCGGGGGAAGCGCCGCATAGAGAGAGGAATTCTGCTCTGTTGTCTAACCTCTGGCAGATATATCTCTGAGCTGGCACCATCCCATGTTAGAGGAAGACTCGTTACGATCCTGAGCCTCTTCATTACAGGCGGACAAGTCATCGCTTATATAGTCGGTTGGCTGTTTTCTTCTATCTCTGGAGGCTGGCAGTATATTGTCGGTCTCGGGATGCTGCCAGCGATCTTCCAGTTTTTTATAGTTTTGGTTTTGCCAGAAACGCCTCGGTGGTTGGTGCAGGCGGGATTCGAAGAAAAAGCTACAAATGTCCTATCGAAAGTCTACGGGGGCAAGTCCGACAACAACCTCATGGCCAAGACAGTGATGCGTGATATCCAAAGAGAAGTGGCTCAAGAGGAGGACGAATTGGGCCAAACCAACAAACCTTTCACAGACAATCGGCATTGGCTTGAGAATATTACGCAGTGTGCTCGAAGTTTAGCCCTCGTTGGTGGAAATCGCAGGGCGTTGATAATAGCAGTTATGCTGCAAGGAATACAGCAACTGTGCGGATTCAACAGCCTCATGTATTTCTCAGCAACTATATTCTCAATGCTTTCGTTTTCATCACCAACTCTCACGTCATTATCGGTGGCAATGACCAATTTCTTATTTACGTTGCTTGCATTTGCCTTCATTGATAAAATTGGTCGGCGCCGCATCCTTCTTTACTCAATACCACTCATGGCCCTCTCACTCGTTGCTTGTGCCATGACGTTTGCCTCCATCAACTTGCCAAAGCCCGAGTCAGCAGTCCGAGCAGAAGGAGATGTCACAACTAATGGCTCGTTACACCCTGTTGCTATTCTTACATGTCTCATTGTCTACACAGCATCTTACGCTTTTGGCCTAGGCAATGTACCTTGGCAGCAATCAGAACTATTTCCTTTGAACGTGCGCTCCTTGGGATCAGCACTGGCCACTGCCACAAACTGGGGGTCAAACTTTGTTGTCGGTCTTACATTTTTGCCTATGATGGAGTGGATGTCTCCTGGATGGACATTCGCGACATATGCGGCTGTGTGTGTGATCGGTTGGTTTGGCGTTTGGGCTATCTATCCCGAGATGAGCGGGCTCCGCCTGGAAGAAGTCAAGGAACTACTAGCAGATGGCTGGGGTGTTCAGAAAAGTCTAAGACGACGCCGTAGCCGTCTAGATGTGAGTCAAGGAACGCTTTGTTCATAGAATCCGGCTAAATGCATTATTGGTTTGGATTTCTTATTGAATCTTAGATTGGGACTGCAAACCTACTCAACCTACGTGGTTTGTACTGAAGTGAATCAAGCTAAATTGGTCACATTGACCGGCTTATAGAAATTGATATCCTGCTTTCTGTGTCTGATCTTCTTTATCATATACATATAGTCACTAGCAAAGTCTACAATCCCAGATGCAGATTGGCAGGGAGCAGACTCGGCCAAACCGGACATCCCAAGATCGTCTGAACCCAGGGTATGGCAAGCTTAAGAGTCTGCGTGACTATGGACTAGCATACAATATCGCCGTGCTCAAGCGAGGGTAGGTAGAGCGAATAACGCTGCCATCATGAGTTAATCCTCCATTTGACAGAAAGTCATCAACATTGTCTCACATATCGGAAAGTGAAGCCTTACCATCCGGTCTCATCTGCCTCAGTCTGAGTTTCTCTCTGCCTTTGTGAGAGTCCGAAGTTCAAAGCGTGCCGGCCTTTTCATGAATCACTCCGTATATGCTTTAATGAGGCTATTCTAAGTCGCTTCCCACCTACCCTGGATACGTACAAGACGACGCCATACTGTCGTGTAGCACTAGGGTCGACTTGCTTGTCCTTCAAGCGGTCAGCAAATATGAGTCCCCAAAGACCAGTCATTGGAGGCATTTGTCTGTTGAATCATTTCCTTCGATTGCCCACAGAGGTGCTGACTCTGATCATATCCACCTATATATACATACACATCGCTAATTATGTCTTCAGATCGTCCAGTATATCGCCTATCTGCTTCCACACGACGTTGATATTGTAAACTTTGCCCGGTGCTGCTCTTCACTAGCAGCGAAGATACTTCCAGCCCAATCCTCCGTCTGGCGAAGACGCTTCAAAGATTTTTATGACGTCCCCCGACACGATTCATCCAACGAGATCAAAACTAAATATCAGATTCGCGCCATTGTTCTCTCGAGATTGATCTATTTCCAATACGGCCAGAAAGAGAAGCAGACATTCTGGTTAGAAGTTGTGCGAGATATGCTTTTGGAATCGAACAAGCAACCGATTTCCAAGAATCTTGAGAGAATTCGACGTCTTCTCCTCGGCTCCGATTTTTTGAACAGGCCAGTCAGCGGCTACGGCCAAAAGGAAGCCGGTCGGCCTTCAGATCTTTTCTGTGCGATCCAATTGGTAGATACCCCAGCAGTTTATATACATGAGAGAGTAGAATCTGACTTTCGATAGTGTCTCACTGGCTTGGCTCTGGATCCTCTGATGTCTGTTCGTTGTCTCAGAACGGACTATGACATCGGCGCGGTCTACACTTATGGCGTCGAGATCAGACCAGTCGTACACTCGAATAAACTAGACCTAGGAAAGACACTTGATATACGCAATTTCTGGCTTCGCCATCTTCTCAACCCGGACGAAGCAACATTTTGCGGTTCTTACTCTAGCTTGCCATCATATTACAAGCCAACGCCATGGGGCAAGGTTGCACCCCTTGAAGCCAGCGCTCCCTGGCTAGGATATTATTGTCAGTCATCCTTCGATTACTCGGTTTTCGCAAGCAAACATGGCGAATACTAAACTGCAAATGTATAGCATGTATTCATCCGTATCCGGTGTCGCTGGGGAAGCTCGAGAACCGTCAGACATGCGCAGACCTAGATAGTCATTGGACACAAGTCGGATTCACAGTGAGGATGCCATATATAATTGAAACTGATACAGGGCTAATCGACTGTGCAGTCTCTCCAAATCAAATCAGACCCTAACCCTTTGAACTGGCCGCCATTATTTGAAACAATAATTCCTGTTGATTCCTCGAACTCCCAACGATCATATTTTCGCGGAATTCAGAAGTCACCCGAGTCTTTTGACAATGTGGTATGTTTGGTGCGAGGATTCTACGAACCAATTCCTATACCCCAGGGTGGTTTTCCTGGCTGGTGTCGTATTTGCTTTGCGGTATATGAGCGGGACCCCGACGATCATCTCCCCGTTCCTGCATATGATGCCACAGAGCCTGCGGCAGACGACTATGCTTGGTTCTTCCAGGAAGGATGGCCGCCTTCTGACCTGGAGACCGAGTTCTACTGGATTCGTGGATACGAGGGCGTGATTCTTCCAGGGGGCAGGATCATGCTAGGAAGTTGGGTAGACATGATTGACACGGCGGATAGAGGCCCCTTCATTTTCTGGAAACCATAACCTTTCACCTGTTTTTGAGCTCCTTTTGATTTTTGACAAGCAATATCTGGGTCGGATGAAGTACATGCATGCCAGACACCCAGTTCATCCATTATCGCACATAGTAAGAATGACGGAAGATAGAAAGAAATGCAATATTCAAGCCTACTCCTCAATATCCTTTACCTTCTCCCATTGCCCCTTGAGGTTTTCTTTCCACAGGCTAACCTTGTTATCGCCGCCGCTCACGGCAAGAATGTTCCCGCTAGGGCTCCAGCTGACCCGCCAGAGAACAGTATCGAACTCGAGTTGCTGGCTAGTCCACTGACCAGGGTTTGACGCATCGGAGGTCCAGATCCGAACAGTCTTATCTTGGGAGGCAGAGGCGATGTAGGACTTAGAAAGAATGCTAGGAGACCAAGCGACGTCTCGGACCCAGTCGGAGTGGCCTTCCAAAGTCTGCGTGAGGTTGTAGGCCTTAGTTTCCGGGCTGCAGTGGTGCATAAGATCAGTACAGTCCCATCTAACAAACTATCAGTGCATGACAACTCATCGAGCGTACCTGTAGTCCCAGATCTTCAGCATATTGTCACTTCCGCCGGTGACGAATCTCCGCTGTTGACCCGGTCCGGGATTGGAGCTGATCAAGCTACCAGGGGTGGCAGCAGGTGCCCAGCTGATAGAGTTCACACCCATGCCGTGGGCGTGGAAGATCTGGTGAGTCCAGCTGTTGTCTCGGAACTCGAGAACGCTGACATGCCCGTCTGAAGAGGCGCAGGCCAGGAGACAGCCACTCTCATGTGGAGCCCAAGAAACCATGTTCACTGAGGCAGTGTGGAGAGAGAAGTCGAATACCTTTGTCCAAGCGCCGCCACCGACGGGTGATGTAGTGTTCTGGTGTTGTTCGCGCCAGATGAGTACCTTTCCATCGTACGAGGAGGAGGCGAGAATAGTTCCGAACTTAGGATGCGCCTAGAGAAGACAAGAGTAAGAGACATATTCTGGTAGGGGGAGTTGGCAATGGAAGCAGTCATGACGTACCCATGCCACGCACCACACAGCTCCTTCATGCCTGTTCTCGTTCGTACGGAGATTAGAATTGACGGCGTGTAATGCAGCTATACACATATAGTGCTCACCCTTTCAAGGTTTCAATCAACCGATGTGTCTCTCCTTCGATTTCAAAGATCTTTATCGTTTTGTCCGACGAACATGTTGCCAATCTGCGGCCATAGTAGTCCAGCCCGGCATCGTGCTATGCGCCGACGTCAGTCTCAGGGGGTAGACAGAAGACACAAGACTATTATCATAATAGCGTTAAGGGTGCAGGTTCAATTCACATACAATCATCTCATCGTGTCCAGAATTGGATATTACTTGAGCAGCCGCCTAGGTGTCCCCACGTTAGCAATGCTCATAAGCGGATCACCTTGGCTCGTCGAGTCCTGGACGCACCATTTTGATCAACTTTCTGCTCGTAACAAAGATTGACACCGAAGAAAAACAAGAACGAAAGCACGTGGGTGGCCCTGTCGTGCAGTATTAGGGGTCGTTTCTGGGGGAGTAGGCGGCGATGGTGGGCCAAATCAACACGCAACAGGAGAAGCAGCAGCGACAGCGGCAGCAAAACACCGCCAGCTTGTCCGTTTCGCAGTCAGCCGCAGCCCGATCTTATCTTATCGGCTCAGTCAGCCATCTCCAGTCACGCCCCGGAGCACGTGAACTGGGCCTCGGTAGTCCTCGGTCGCTCTGCCCCGCGGCCTGCTATCTTCTTGTTACTACTCGTCTCATGCTTTTGCCTCCTCTCGTTCTTTTCTTGTCTTTTGATGAACCTCGCCTTACGTTTGTATCATACACTCTGCATACATAGCACAGCATCAGGTACTCCTTCACCAAGCGCATCTCGAATTCTGTCCTCAACACAAAAAGCAATCAACCTGTCCTATCCTCACCGGCTCGTGTTTAACCTCAATTGGCATCATGGGTGATGCTCTGTGTGGACCCTCGAATGCGCTTCAGAATTTCCAGAAGCATGCATCTGTCGATCGTACCCTTCAACAGGATAGATTTATTGCTCGGCAGTCACCTTCTCAGGTGAGTCCCTCGCGGTCCATATGACCATCTGGATCGTACTCATCAAATTACCAGGGTTTTCGGTCGCAGAACCCCAACGAAGGTGTACTTGATTCCGAATTTGCCACTTTTGAGTCCAATTTAGCAGGGACGCCCCTTCCCAGTATACAACATACAGGCCCTTTCGTCACGCCCGCTCCTCGTTTCCCGGTATCCAACCCGGCAGAGGCGTCCGGTTGGGCGGCAGACTTTCAGAAAATGAATATCTCAGGACCTTCACATTCACTTAATCAAATACCGGGGCCATCTATAGCTGCAATGTCGGCCATGTCACAACAGGGTTGGCAGAATGAGTTTGCTAAGCATCAGCAACAACAACAATCCCCTATTCAGCAGCACCAACCGCATGTCCAAGGGTTTCAGCCGTCCTTTGCACCTCACTATCCTATACATGTAACCGCAGTTTCTCGTGTGCAAGAAACAACAGCAAATCAGCAACCTTCGGCAGAAGCATTTGACGAATCTGCATTTGAAGCTGCATTTGAGCAGGCGCGGACAGACATGATGTTGCAGGAAGCCGAGACCACTCAGATTAGAGCGGAAGATACTGGGGAAAGGGAACAAGCTTTCGCTGAAAATACTGAAGAGACTATCAAGATTGGATCGGATACCATCCCTCAAACCGACAAGAATGATGCACAGGCACGAGTGAACGATGCAGACGAGCTCGCTCGGACTGCGGGGCAGTTACTGGATAGCGTCAAACATGAGCAAAGCCAGAAGTTTAGAGAAAGCAACTTTCTTGCCCTGATGCGCCGCATTCGTGACCGTGAGGTCCACATCGAGGGCGATGAATTCCGCGAAGTCAGTACCAGCAGTCCGTGAATAAATCAAAATTCGGCTGGCGTGGAACGAACGCTGGTATAATCAAGTCTTTGCGCGCCGGCCTTTGTTTCTGCTAATCAGTATCTAGACTTCACAGCCACTACACCCAGGCGGCCGATATTATCCGGAGCGTCAGAAAGAACAACAAGGGCGGACAATAGGACAAAAGGCCCGAGATGGCCGCATAACTGCCAGTAAGTTTGATGGCGTGCTAGAGAACCTACTGCTCTGCATGCTGACTAGAATGATGGGCAAGAGAAGCTAACCAACATTTACCAAGTAGACACGACACACGGGATTTTCAAGGAACCGGATTCCACTACTCTTACGAGTGGCAACAGCCCGATAAGCTCATCTGTTGGTTTCAATCCTAGCGGGGACCACTGTCCATACGAGGACTGGAATCATGGAGACCGCTGGGCTTAAGCGATTATTTAGCCTTCCATCTTTTTAAGCCTTTTGGAGCCGGAAACAGGCAAAGTATTGGACCAGGATGGCTTGGGTGGCTGCGTTGGGGAATCTTATGGATATGGTTACATCGCACAAGTGTCGAGCGGTGCTAGTTGGCTGGAAGCTTTCCCCAAATCATGGTGTGTCAGAAATTGTGGCCTTGTTTATTCAGATGGCTCTATTCATCATTTGGGGTTTCCAGGTTGTACAGTGCTGGACCCTCAGTCTCTCAATCAGCACGTGACCCTATTCTGCCTATTGATAAAAAAGAACAATACCACAGCCAGAGAACGTCAATTCAGGGGGCTGGTGGCATTGTTACAGAGCAACACTTCCCCAAACTGGTGATCTGATGCAAATTTGAACTATTTTGGCGCAATGGAGTGCTGTCTCAGCCTATTAGCAGATGGTGTTGGCGGGGGACAGTTGGTTTATTGATGTGACCTTTCTTCCCCATTAGACTGATTTTATTATGGCACTTATTTATCTCAATTGCATGCTATTGTTCTCACGGTAGCAATCCATCTCACCCAGATGCCCTCTTCGCTCACCCTTTTATTCTGTTAAAGGCTGCCCCTACAAAGTACTAGGTCTATTTGCCACAACGCTCCTCTGCCATACTTAGTCTTTGCATCTACCCTGGCTTTTCTGTCACTTCGAGCGCTCATTAGACCTGCCATTCCTCGCAATGCTTCCTCCGTCCGAGTCCGTCCTCCATCAGGTCCACAAAATCGCCGAACCGCAAAATGGTCCTGAGAATCCTGAAGCCGCTACTCCTCCACCTCCATACTCCCCTCCTGTTCACGGTCTCCCCAAACAAATAGACGGTGAAAGTTCCCTCCAATGGGCGACACCCCGCCCGATAGCCATCCATATCGACGCGTCCATCAGCGTCCTAGGAAACGCAAACAGCATCATCCTCCCTTCCATCCCAGCAACATCACCACCATCGTCACCTTCATCAACCCCCATACTCCAATCAGCACAGCGAAATCGACAGTCAAAACTAACAGATATGGCCACATCCATTATCGCTGCTCTCCATCGCACGGGACTACTTAATCTCACCAATGAATCCCTGCAATCTGTCATGGTCAACATCAACACGGGGATTAAGGTACAGGGCGCGAGGAATGTGATTTGTCTGGGTAGTGGGTTTGTGGGTAGGAAGATTCCGACAGAACAAGGCCATGAACGAGAGGAAGAGTATGTTGGTCATGTTGGGAGGAAGAGACGGGCTCGGTCTGTAAGTCTCTCTAATTGATTCACTTATTGTTCTTTGGATTTTTTTTTCAATATTATTTTATTGTTGGTACCCCTTTAGAAGGTATTCAATCTGCATCACCTGATGTGTGTGCTTTTGGTCTGCGAATACTGGCTTATGGATTTATATTAATATCTGTATGGTTTAGGAGCCTCTGGAATCATGCACTGGGAAGAAGGCGCGTCGGTCTTCTTAGGGAAGGAGTGAATCGAGATCGTTGAACTTGTCTCATTTCTCTCTATTCATTCCTTTGCTTGGTCTGCTATGGTTGAGTTGCTTTATTTTTTCGGTTGAGCCTGTATCTAGGCTTTCTAATATCATGGGTGGGCGTGAGTGCACATGCATGTCATGCATGAGGAATGTAATGACGAATAGAAAAATAGAATAGTAATTCGTCATAGTAGTTTAGATTACATGTGATAGACTTGGTTATCGTGTTTATTGGATCATCGTTATGTGGGCTTTTTCTTTCTTTTCTTTTTCTTTTCTGTCAAGGCTCGTGGAGGTCGGGGACTTATATCGATGGAAGAAGTATAAACTATGAACACTACACCTTCATATGCTCTGCCACCCGCCATAACATATCCACAAAATTAGGCAGACAAAGAAAAGAAGAGGAAACCAGGCTATTCGCCAATGTTATGCCCACGCGAGCTGTCGCGGATCATCCCATGGTCGACGGCCTAGCAGTGCATAGGATAAACTACAAAGGCGTCGCCAACAGCTGTCACGCAATCCTGCAATGCCATAGCGTCTTCAAAAGAGCCCTGGAAGCTACAGACGCCTCTGCACGGATCTCCAACAAGAGACCATTACTGTACTGTGTACCGAATGCCCAAAAAGAAGAGTCTTGGGGCCATAATGAAACAAGGATATCATGACTGATATTCATGACAGAACATGATCATACGAAAGGGGAAACAGGTAGGAAGCATAGTAGAAGCTTGAACGCTATCCCAATATCAGTATGCGTTGAATTACCTTACAGCAGGTAGTTAGTACTTCATATTCCGCCCTTATTCTCAAGTACGCCGTAATAGATCTTTCGCACAAACAAGTTAACAAGACCCTGGAAAGGAAGAAGAATAGAAGATAGGGTGAAAATCAGACAGTCCGGAAAATAAAAGAATAGTCGTTGTTCAGGTGGCCATACGTTCGATGGTGTGTATGAGACCTATCCGCTATGACAAAGGTAGGTAGAATAGATATTGCTCCGTAATGAAACGTATTAGAAAGAGATGGGGAAGCAATGAATCAAGAAAATGAAAACGCCTGTCCCGACTATAGAGGTTCATTAGAGATATCATCAAATCAGATAGTACATTGACTGTGTTCCGGCAGGGAAACAAGGCAGGCTGGGGCTTTCCGACGAGGATTCATCACGTCAGAATCGTAGGAATACTACGAAAAAGCCGGCCTGGTGAACGGACCAGACTGATCAGACTGATCAGACTTGTCCTGACCGTGAATTATCGCATCAGTGTGGAGTCTCACCTCTGCCGTATAGGTACAGAGCGTAGAGACGGAAAATCTACGCGGACCCTTTTGCACGATCTACTACCGACCGATGGGCATATCGTGACGGTGCAGATCTCTCGACCATTCGGGGGCCACCTTGTCTCGTTCGTACAAAAGACCACAGTTGTGGCAGAGTGTCTGGGATAGCAAAAGTCAGTGAACAGTATTTCCAGAAAGGTATAGCATCTCTCCTACCCTTTGGCCTGCTGGGCCATCTCGTACAGCCCAAACAGCGGTACCCCAGACCATACAGTTGGTGCAGCGCCAATTCTGACGTTCCCTACCAGACCAAGGAAGGTGGTCAGTACATAGCATGCTAATGAAGAGTTCGAAGGCATGACAAACCAGTCAGAGAGTGTCCCACCACCTCCCCCATAGCCGGCTCCAGAACCAGTGTCGGGCGTCCCCCGTCCACCAGGGGTCCCTCCCCTCCCCAAGGGGCTCAGGCTGCGGAATCGTTTCTTCCTCTTGCTTCTCTCGCCTCGCCCTAGGGGGGTCTCGCTATCCACATCGAAATAGCCGCTACCTTGTCGGGAAGTGTCTGGCGTAATGCCGGCAGTCGAGGAGAATCTAGCCGTTTCTCGACGTAGACGTCGGATCTGACGTTCACGATCACCTTCGCGTTTTTCAATCTCCTCTTTTGACAGCGTCTCTACCTTAGGTTCCCATTCGTCGCCCAGACCCTCGGGGTCATATCGCCAACCTGCCTCAGCGCCATTCGCAGCTTGGTTATCAATCTCGTTACCGTAACCGCCCATGCCGCTAATGAGCCCACCACTTTCACAAACTTCCTTCTTTAACTTCAGGACAGCTTCATAGATACCATGCGCGATGGCCCCAACCCATTCTCCGCCCAAACCAAGGTCCGCGCACGTAGTTCTGGCAAACTCCTCAGCCATGCCCGGGGGATGCAACAGAGACCATTCAAACTTGTCTGTATACAACTTGTTCTGCAAGTTGATATTCAAGTTTATCAGGCACCGATATGCATCGTCTGGATTCAGAATGCTGTCGTTGACCAGGGGCTCTTTGGTCACCGTCACCTGGTTAGCTCTGCTATCAGGTGTTGCGGCGTGGGCAGAAACCGGAGTAGCAGACACATCCCGCGACAGGCCAGCCTGTGGGGCCGGAAGCTTTGGCTGCACGCTCTGGAACAACGGGTGTAGCGCAACGCCGGCATATTCTTCCAATTGCTGGCGGATCTGGTTGCTAATCGTCATCGTCATGGCTTGTGGGTTTGGCAGGTCCATATCGCGAACGAACCCGACGGCAAATTCTTCAGGCGTCGCGAGCGCTTCATGAAGATTCCAAAGAAAGGTATCCTTGATTCGGTAGGCAGGCAGTGCCTCCGGCCGTCTGTATGCGGGCAACGTAGGGTTGATGCTAGGATCAAGGATAGTTCGCGGCAATGGGAAGGGCTCTAAAGGTTGATGCGCTGGGATCTCTAGGTCAATTCGTATAGGTATAAGCGTGAGGGGAAGTTGCGCTTGGATTTGCAATTGATCGGCGCAACTGTGGTAAGAGAGAAAGGCTCAAGTCAGCACCATGGCAGGAGATGTACAGATGCAAGAACAAAGCGATTAAGCAGGTCAAGCGGCACATACGCTGGTCGCAACATTCTCTTGATCATCCAATCCCGGAAGACCCCTTGAACCTCGACGGGGGCGTGTATCTCTTTCCCCAGTTTTTCCGCCAAAGGAACCTTGTCGAACGTTGACTCCTCCCGTCGAAGACTTCTTAGCCCAGTGGGCCGCCGGGGTCCTTCACTGTCCTCGAAGTCTTCATCATCGAATCCATCTTCTGCATAATTGATTGCGGCGGTTCCTCGCTTCGTCGTTCGCGGCGTTGGGCCCACCTGACTGGGTGGGATAATCGGAGTAAGAAGCGCATTACCATACTGGCGCACTCGTGGCGGGTACGATGTGATGTAACCTCTGAGAGGGGACATGTTGGCCATTTAGCTGGTCAGGGACATGTCCCTTTCAGACACTGCGCAAGTCGATCGGCGAACAAGCAGCGTACAATCCGCTCGAAGAAAGGGCAGACAATGGAGGAGAGTGGACGATGAATTTGAGAGGTAAGACCGAAGTATCGCTGCACCGAAGGAAAGCGCTGGAACAGAACCGTCACGGGGAAAAAGAACGGTTGGGTAATGCACGTACGAAACGGGGAGACTTGAATCGAAGCCAAAGCTCCTCTTTGACGGTGATCGCGGTCGAGCTCCGCCTTTTCTGCTCGTCGCGTTTTGCCAGACTTCCTGCTAGCCACGCTAGGCCCCTTCCAGCCCGCCCACCACGTGACCCGGACCAGATGCAGCTCGCTTTGCGGATCAAGCCCGACTTAGCAAGTCTAGGCTGCGCTGCTTGGGATTTTTACGGAGGGATGGTGAAGAAGGGGTGCATCTATGATCGCTTGTTGCGGATGACAGAATGTGATTATATGGGCCAACGCAGTAACAACGCCCGGGGATCCAAAGCCCAGCAGTAGGGCCAGCGGCCAAACCTCAATACAGGAATGAAGAAGGAGGATACATGAAATCAATGCATGGTGGCCGGCCAGCTAGTTGGAAACTATAAACAGGATTACACAGTACCCAATAATAATTGAATACACCACTCCTCTTGTCTGTCAGGCTGCGAATGCAGACTCGGGATATAGGGGATATCGTTAACTCCGCAAATGTGCACTGGGCAACGCAGGAAACAAAAGTGCTGCTAACAGGGCGAATCTAGTATGCATCAACGGGGACGAGAAAAATGCAATGACAGCGGCGGATACCAATAAGTGGATTGGTTCAAAGTAACCGCCTGAAGCAGGCTATCGAAGCCCAATGACACTCTGTGAATACCGGTTAGTTTCCGCACAGGACCATGCTAATTAGGAAGACCTACCATTTCTAGAGTCCATACTCTACGGATCCAAATTTTCACCTTGCCTTCAACACCCTCCACGTCGTCTAGCTCGATGCCCTCCCACCAGCATCTCCTAGCTGGTTTCCTCCAGAACAAGAGAAGCTTCTGAGCCATGCCAACTGCGTTGTTGTTCGATATGTCACCTCGAATGTCAGTACGCAGTTTGGCCAGAGCTAAGCTACATATCACCGCCTTATTAGGCTCTGGGGCACGATGGCCCCACCGGTCGTCGCGATCAAACCCGCTAAGATTGGTTAGCCTAAACAAGATATCTACTGAATCCACTCTCGGGATAACAAAGAGACGACTCACCCTGCAGTGAGCATCTCGATGAGATGCTGTTCTGTTGAACCAACTTCGTCGCTCTTTCTTAGCCCGGAAAATATCCCGTCTTGTTTCAACAATGCTCTGGCAGCCGCACGCTTGACCTCGATCATTTCGGTGTGCTCTATATCAGGGCGGGGCGGTATCGCATAGAAATCAAGGTCCTCGCGTAGTACGATGATACCCGCACGGTCCTGAAGCATATCTCTAGCGGTTCCTTGCATGGAATCGGGGGCAACATCCAGGTCTGGAGAGGTCGATGCAGAAGGCGAGGAAGACGGGATGGATTGAGCAACCGAGCGGAAAAAGTCTAGCATATATTGTAGAGAAGCCGGGTCGTACTAGAAGCGGAGATATGAGAAATGCCCCAGAAACATGAAGGATAGTGGAGACGGGTAACTGGGAAGAGGAACGACTAGTAACTCACGTCGACCGGGTAAATATCTCCTTCATGGAAGGTACCCATATGTCCGTCGGGAAGTAAACCGTTCGGAAAAAGCGATAGAAGGACGAATTCCGGCAAAGTCAGCAGCTCGTCTCGAGAAAGCGTGAACCGAGTTCCTCTGTAAATCTGGTTAGAAGGCACGATACCGAGTTTGGGCGCAATTAAGAAGGGATTCCTCACCGGAGATCAAGAGTGATGTGCTCATCCCCACCAATATCTATAATTCGGGAAAAGCAGTCAGCCCTGAATCTGGCCTTTCAGTGTAGAGGCCAATGGAGCTGTACCTCCTAATGTGTTGATCGGTGGCCCTCCTGTCTGCTGCACCTGAGTAATGATACTCGAGGCGCCTCCTGCTGCAGCCATCACGTATGTGAATGATTCAATGGGACTGGATCCTTCAGTATACGGCGGAGGAGGTTCTCCCTCGTCTGTGGATTTCCCCGGAGATTCCGATTTTTGGTCCCGGGAGAAAGAAGCCTTAGTTTCTGCGACTAAGGACGATGAAGGGCTCGGCTCGAGAGGCTCTTCGTCGGGCGGCAGAGGAACAGAGGTTGGAGCCGAGGCGGATTCGGGCGGGGAGAAAGTAACCTTCCCACGATTAAATTCGGTCGCAGGAGCGAAGACAAGAGAGGAAAAGGGGGGAGGGCGCGACGAAGAGAGACTAGAGGAAGCCTCCGAGTACGGAGAATGCGGCGGGGGCGGCGCGGTATAGAAGTCGTCGTCGTCTTCCTCCGCTACGGAGTCTGTCAAATACGGCCGCGCCGTGGCAGGCGAGCCAGATGAATTCGGTGACCACGACAAGGCGTCGGGATTTATGTGTCGATGCTGGGGGATAGCCGTCTTGTCCTTGGTTATTGTTGGGAGCTTCGTGAACTCCACTGAGAGGGCCTTGGCCGGAGGGAATCCAGACCCCGGGTTTCTCGAGTCGATCAGGAGCCCAGTGTCGTGTTTTTAGAAGCGCCCACTCATGGAACCTATTAGGGAGGAGTTGGCAACGTCCAACCAAATTATATCCTGACGGATACAGTACGTCAAGGGAAAAATGGAGAAGGAGCAATGGAAAGACGTCGGAAACCAAGAGGGTAGTAGTAGTCGTCGTCTGTGAGGGAAGATTTAAGGAAAGAGGAGAGAAGGATGGGAGGAAGCGCTTAGGCGGGCATGAGAGAGCCTGGAATCAGCCGTCCTTAAGGGACTGGTCCACTGCGCTCGACTTCGGAGATTGGCTGCTTCTCTCCCGGAGACGGTGCCGACGGTAGTACCTCGAGGGGCAGCATGATCCAGTGGTGTACAGCTACGCCATCTATCCTGTCACGCTCCACGAAACACTCTACGATGATAAACATCTGCCTGCCTTATATCGATTAATCCGGGGCATCTTTGATGGAGAGGTGCCTGTCAAGGTGGCGATCGACAACGCCCCAAGTCACATGACCCGGGGCAGTCAGATCGCGGATACTACTATCTGTTGTCTATGATTTAATTACTGATGGCGGCGGAGGGACTCTACGTATATGCGAGTCACATTGATGCGGCACATCTGCTAAATCCAACTATACTAATGCAGGCGGAGTGTTGTTTTCCATCCAAGATATAACACTCGAAGAAAGAAGAGTCTCGAGTGTCCTGTGATACTCCTCACAGACGGTCTGTGTCTAGACATCACGCTCGACAAAGCTCTGAATCAATCCCTCAAGCGTGGGCTCGTACTCTTTAAGGGTCACTTCATCCCCGTTGAGGATAGTGTTGCCTTGTACGAATACCTTGCGAGGGATTTTGTTCTTCAATACGATCTCGCGGACCTTGGTGCCCCACCACTCATCGACAGATGTAATGTCGTCATAGAGCTTCTTGCCCGCTTCGAAATCTGCGGTGCTCTTGTAGACATGCAACTTCTGCAAGTACTTCTCCACGGCCGGTCGGCCGTGAGTCAAGATCTTGGAACGGTCCAAGTGAATCTCTAGATCAGATAGATCCTCCTCGCCGTATGAGAGCTTGACAAAGTCGTCACCAGCTTCGAGGAAGGTGCGTAGGATGCTATACCGAGCTTGCATGTGGGCCTGTCCCCACTTCTGGGTCTTGGGATCCCAGAACTCCAGGGCGACGAGACCAGCGCGAGCCATCTGCAGGTATCCAGCAAAGAGAACGTCACCCGCATCGCTGCCAAGATCTTCCTTGCCGTCACCAAAACCAAACAGCTTCAGGATACTGAAGTCGCAACTGAGCACCATTGCAACGCACTCAGCGCGGCACTCTTCGTAGGAAGACGAAAGAGCTCCAAACACCGAGCCCCAAGTCTGGCCGGGCTTGTACCAGGACGCAATAGGCTTGTTCGTAACCGGGCTTATGGGAGGATTCGAAATGTCGAAGTTGTATTCACCCGGGGCCGTTTCCTGGAGCAACTTTCCGGTTCCATGACCGAGTAATTCATGAATCCCTACCTGAACCTCGAACGCAGCATCGCGGCAGTTGCGGTAGACCTCCAGATCTTTGTCGGCAATGAAGGGAACAGGTTCATTAGGAGCTTTAGCGCTAAGAACGTTGCCAAGGGAAACGTTCTTGAATCCCAGATTTTGCCGAATGTCATCGTAGTTGGGCAGATTGATGCCAGCAGGGATGCCAGAAGACTGGAAGCTCAAAACCTCCAGAGACGTGAAGTCGGGGCTGAGAAATTTGTCCTTCTCGAAGTCCTGACCCCATGGAAGCTTGGGGATCATGGCCTCGGCACTATCCACCAACTTACCGAAAGCGCGTGTCCGCTCCAAGTTGACCTAGATGAGATAAATTGTTAATAACCCGAGTTACTGGGTTAAGGATCTGGCTTCATGCTTACCAAAGCAACAAATCCTTCCCATTCTCCTCTTACACCATGCGGGTCTCTATAGGTTTCTACAAACCCTAAATTCGTTTCCAATGCCGGCTTCTGGTCCTTTACCCAGATTCTCTGGCTCTCTTTGAACGCTTCAATTGAACCAGAGCCAAACGACATCGCGTATGCATCCAACATCCGCTTTTGGTTATCGTTTGCCGCGTGGAGGCCCGCCTGCTTGACGCTGTGAGCGATCTTCGCCATTTCCTCACGATGGTCACCAAAGACAATGCGAAGCTTCTTGCCCTCGAGCTTTCCATCCAGTTCCAAGGCCTCGGCTTCACCGAGATCTCTGTCGCGTGCAGGTGGAGAGGAGACACCCGATGCGATCAACAATTCAAAGTCGCCTGACTCCGTTTTCCTGAGTCTCGTATTCTCCAACGGTAATCCTTTCTGCTCCATCAGATCACTGACAGCCGTGATCTCATCCTTTGTGATAGACGGTGAATCGGGGTAATATGTCGTCATGTGCTCCCCTTCCGAATATCCAAGGTGCATACGCGACTGCACATCGGTTTCGTAGATGCCACCTCCAGATGTGTTGGCCAAGGCAAAGGCAGCTCTCGTCTTCGGTGTGAGAGAAGCTAAAGCCTGAAAAGCTTCGACAGGTAACCGAGGAATGAATTTCGAGTCGCCAAAGCCCTTGTAATTACCACAGTTTCCAAGGAACTGAGCTGCATATTCCAAAAAGAAGCGCAAATTCTCATCACTGACGCCTGTTTTACGGGCGAGGTCGGTCCAATTACCATCGCAAGCCCGGTGAAGTTCGATAATGAGGTCGTAAATAGGCTCCGACTCCGGTGAGACCTGGCGGAGGGTAATGCGAGCGCCCTCAAAGGCAGCCCTATAGAAAACACATGTTAGCAGGAAGTCACTGAGCCAGATTAAGCGCATGCTGGTTGTAGTGGAATAGCGAACCTGCTCAGATAGTGTGCGTATTTACGCAGCTTCTGGTCTTTGAGGTTGTCAAAGTGAGACTTGACTTCCAAGCGCACCACTGTAGGAGGAGAGTCTGCCAAATAGTGTTGCTTGACTTTGGCATCCATTGTGGCTCGATGATGTGCTGTAATCAGAGAATCGGGGCCCGCAAAAAGATTGCTTGCAAAAGATGAAGAAGACCACCGGACGAGATGGAGTGAACGAGGAAGACGATGGTGGAGGGGTAATAGGAACGAGGGGCGGTGGGGGAGGACAGAACACCGAGCCGACGGAAAGCGCCTCAAGGCGCCTCGAAGAGGAGGAGGTTGCATTCCTGGATCTGTGCCCCGAAACCTCCGTACTACTCCGTACTTACGTCGGGTCACCGTCGGGGAAGGAGCTTGATAGATAACTACTATCGGGTCGCCTGGCGAAAGTGGAGCCTGCACTGGTCAGTTCCACGCTCGTCTCCACCGGATAGCCACATTATTTCCTGGACATCGATAGTGTTACTACACAGTATTGTGTATTTTGATGATACAGTATGTGACAATCTTTCCTCCGCTCCACCGAGCTGAGACAACAAAGCAAATGGAAAACTTTTGAAGTCCAGTCTGAACTACGCCTGAAACCATGGGGGAATCATGCATGATCCTGTACACACAACATAACCCGTGACTACGCTGAAAAAGCAAACCCAAAGAGTATCCGAGCCTGGTGGCTATAATATGCAAAAATGAGATTGAAACAATTGTATAACCTTACCCCAGGTTATTCAGAGCAAGCTCTCGTACTTGTCGAGTCCTTGTTTCTGTGTTCCTTGAGGTGCACTGTTGTTTAAGAACGCATTCGAGGAGACGCTTGTGCCAAATGCTGGACCTCCCGTATTAGCTAGTCCGCTAGGGCCTCCAAACGCCCCCATGGTGCTGTAGCCCGACGGGGGCGGGGGAATGGAGAACGCAGAATAACTAGGGACAGGCTGAGTGCCTTGACTGGGCATAGGAGCGTGTGCCTTCATGCTCGCCAGCGCTCCTAGGGAAAGACCAGAAACGTTTGATCTTTGGGTCGATTGCTGATTAGTCGGAGGACTTGGAATACTCCAGGATGAAGAAGGTGAAGGCTGTAAGGTAGGGAATGCTGGCGTTGGAGGAGACTTTGCCCTAGTGGCTGGCTCTAAGGACGGGAACGTGCTCATGTTGTAGTCAGGAGTGACTGAGCGCATACTGAGATTGGTTTGTGATGGAAGCATGCTGGTTCCTTTCACAGCGGGACTCGCGGAAGCAGACGCCCAAGAAAAACCCGTAGATGGTGTCATTTGGGTAGTAGACTGTGACACCGGAGGGCCTGAGGTGAGGCTACCCCATTGGTCAATATTCTGGTCATTCGAGGTTGCTGCACCTCGTCCCAGAACAAGGCGTTCAAAATTACCCCTCGTGTTGTCCACGTTAGGTTGACCCACTGAAGTTGAGGCCGTCGAAGAACTCCCTGTGCCGTTCTGGAATCCACCAGAGTCTCCTCCCAAAGAAAGCTCTTGAAGCTTCTTCGTCTGTTCTCGCTCGATCTTGGACGAAACGCTTTTGATTAAAGTCATGAATTCCCCAAATTGACGGAGGTCAAGGAGGGGCCCGAGGCTAAAGCTCCACAGAATCGGTAAGACTTCCAGAGCAAGAAAATCGGTGTCTGCAACCATCCCAATTTGGCGAAAGACGTTCAAAGCAGCCATCATGACGGCTGGTTCCTTTGTTTTGATGACTTTCATTGAAGGGACAAGTTTCTCTTGTATCGTATACTTGTCCAGAATGGATGATTTGATAGACTGTGGTTTACTTTTTTGGCTCACACCTGATAAATCATCTTCAATTGCTTCTTTACCCTCCATAGAGCCACCACAAAGAATAGCGAACGCTTCTAAGCATCGCACTTTGATGGCAAGACTATTTGTTCGACTGAAAGTCGAGGCAATTGGTGGAAAGACTTCGTTTTTCACAGTGCTGAAATCAAGAACCGGGAGGATAACTGGTAAGCATTTGATGGCCCCATCTACTAAGGAGTGCGTTGGTGAATCAAGTCCGAGTCGGATAAGTGGCAGGATTTCTGTTCAGGTTAGATAAAAAAGGGAAAGAGATAGATAGCTTCGCATGCCACACTTTGGCTTCTTGCCGATTCACTAACCTTCTTTGAACTCATTTCCAGAACAGTTATCTGAGACGACATTCATGTTTTCGAGGACGACCATGAGACCCGCATCTTTTTTAGAGTCACGCTCTTGGAGAGCACCTTTGCTTGTTGGAAAAGCCTCCTTGAGTTGAGGTATCACTCTTTCCGGAAACGTGCGGCGTGCGTTCGGGATGCGCTGCAGTATTGCAAAGACATTGGTCAAGATAAGTGGTAAGAGCTCACGGTCCTTCGTCTCTTCCAACAAGGCACCCAAAACCTTTCTTTCCAACACAGAGACTGGGAACTCCGGCAGAACTCGTTGAAGCCCACGCATGAACTGCGACTTCTCGTTGGCGTTCTTTGCGGGCAAAGATTCCAGAAAGCGGATCGTCGAGACCAATATGTTATCAAAATACTGGGATTGTTGGAATTCACGAGCATTTAGACGCTGAGCAGGCCTTCTAGTTATCAGTCTGGGTAAAACGTGAGAAACAACATCCTTTGGAATCGGGCCGGATGATAAAAAGTTGTTGCCCTGCGAAGGTGTACTGGATGGAGAGCCCAAGAGCTTCTTGTATGTATTCACGTTCGAATGCGTCTGCAGAGGGGAAACATGAGGCGAGTTATAAAGAGCTACTATTATGAGCCCAAGTGAAAACAGATCCGCAGCAGGTGTCACGTTGGAATCGAGTACGAAATCGGGCGAAGTATAATCCAGGTTTAACTGGACAGATTGTGGTAGGCGTGGGTCCTGGTAAAGCACCTCTGACAGGGCCAGGGGTGGAAGAGTCGAGCGTGATTCTGCAGAACCAGAGGGGCCAGCAAATCCAAGCCCAGAAATTTTCCAGTCGGATTTGGCATTGATATAGATGGCTTCGGGGTTCAGATTGCCATGAACGAGCCCCGCAGACTCATGAAGGAATTCGAGACCTTTGGCCACTTGTAATAGACCTTTCTGGATTTCCAGCTCATCGATTTCGAGGTCTCTCCGCCGTCGCGTGCCGTCGGGCTCTTCTACCATGTAACGGCTGGATCTCGAGCCAATCCTCGAAGTGTTGTCCTGCGCATCCTTTGCCTGCAGTAGTCCAGCAAGAGATGCAGTGACCTGTTCCGTAGCAAACATAAGACCTCCATTTCGTGTATCTTCCACGGGCTCTAGCACTTGAAGGACAGAGGGATGTCGGAGCCGCGCAAGATTGCTAGCCTCCCGTTTTAGGCGTTCGACGACATCTTCTTGCAACTTCTTGGTGGAAGAGCTGGAACGACTTCCGAGCCCACTTGATCTTGGTTCAAGGAATTTCTTGTCGAATATAAAGATGGATGCTGTGGTGCCAGTGGACTTCTTTTTTCCGTCGTGAATTTTCCAAGGGCCAGAGACCACGGTGGGGTGTGGAGAAACGTGGTAGTTTGATGATATATTAGAGCTCAGGGATTTGAGAGCCGACGAAAACATCTTTTGCTCCTCTTCTCAGCCCAATCAACATGGGGTATCTGGGATATAAATGCACGACAATGGGCTTGTTCCATCCAGTATGATTGCCAAATCACTGGAAGTATGCGATGCGATTCCGCAAAACGGGGTTGATAAACAGGACTCAAAAGATCGGTAGAACGGATGTTACATGGATATTATATACCGAGAGAGATAATGGAACACGCGAGGCAATCAACGGTGAATTGGAGCCTCCTCAAACATCGACAAGGTTATCATACATTTCCAGTCGTCTTTTCCATGTGTATCACGAAGTAACTTCAGGTATCAGTGGCCGCTATCTGCCCGGTCGGAAGGCATCACGTGTAAGGGGTGCCACGCACCAATCAGCAGCGTTGCCGCCAGCCGCGTCCCCGAGCCTAAGAGGGTCCGCCCCCAGACTCACCGCCTGGCTGGATCGCGGGTTTACTGCCGGGAACTCGTGCCGCGGAGGCCGACGTCGGAGATCGACCAGAGTGACAATTGGGGTGGATTGACTCGAGAAAGCTCGGTTGTGTGGCTGCGGTCGGGCCATATTCCATGCGATTGCCTATCCAATAGATACCACTAGCCAGAGGTAGTCCCAGGGTGACCGACTTGAGTGTGGCGTCCATCGCCTGGACCATCTCGACTTATCAAACGTTAATCTGTGGTGGGTTCGGAGTTGTCGCCGCAGTCCGTGGGAAAGAGTCATAGACCGTGTTTATCCGCCTTTAAAGCTCCACAGCCGCCCTCGGCCCTTTCATCGCGTTCTTCAGGTTTGCTTCCTGCCATTATCCTTCTCAGCCAGAGTTAGACTGTCCATCATACTGCAATTCTTCGATTTGCAGTGCTATTCAACGCTGGCTCAACCATGAAGTCACTCCAATTCGCTCGTCGCAGGGCACTGCAAGGCCTCGTTGCGCCCCGTGCCTTTCAAAATCCCGCAACAACCCAATTATTCAAGAGATGCTTCAGTGCCACGCCAGCTGCCGCCTCCCAACTAGCTGGCCTTGATCCGGCGAAACTTACAGTTTCAAAGACGAATACCCCCAAAGAATTGACTGCCCCGCAAGACCTGGTCTTTGGCAAGACATTTACCGGTATGAGCATGTGTCGCTTTCCTGGCGCCGTACAGCTGCTAATGCGCATTGTACCTTAGATCATATGCTCTCTATCGAATGGACTGCAGCTGAGGGCTGGCAAACTCCCCGTATTGTCCCTTATCAGAACCTCAGTCTCGACCCGTCGGCTTGTGTTTTTCACTATGCGTTTGAGTGTTTTGAGGGAATGAAGGCCTACAAAGATAAAGATGATCAGATCCGCTTATTCCGTCCGAACAAGAACATGGCACGCCTGAACAAATCTTCGTCGCGCATCGCTCTGCCCTCCTTTGACGGCGATGCTCTCACCAAGCTGATTGGAGAATTTGTGAAGTTGGATAGCAGATTCATTCCAAGGTCAGTGTGATCCCCCGTGTTTGAGTTTGCGGATAGCAACTTACCTTCATTCAAATAGTGAACGGGGTTACTCACTGTACCTACGGCCAACGATGATTGGCACTCAAAAGACTCTTGGTGTGGGACCACCGGGATCTGCTCTTCTGTTCGTGATCGCAAGTCCCGTTGGTCCTTATTACCCCACCGGCTTCAAGGCAATTTCCTTGGAGGCTACCGACTATGCCGTTCGAGCTTGGCCCGGTGGTGTTGGAGACAAGAAATTGGGCGCTAACTACGCTCCTTGCGTCCTTCCTCAGCTGGAGGCTGCGTCCCGTGGCTTCCAGCAGAATTTATGGCTTTTTGGAGAAGAAGAATACATCACTGAGGTTGGCACCATGAATCTTTTCGTTGCATTGAAGAACAAGGAGACCGGGCAGAAGGAATTGGTCACTGCGCCTCTGGACGGCACTATTCTCGAGGGCGTTACCAGAGACTCCGTGCTGGCGCTGGCTAGGGAAAGGCTAGTGCCTAAGGGCTGGACAATCTCTGAGCGCAAGCTCAAGATGTCCGAAGTCGCCGAAGCAGCTGAGGAGGGAAGAATGCTTGAGGTATTCGGTGCCGGCACTGCAGCTATCGTGAGCCCTGTGCGGACAATCAGCTACCGGGGTAAGTCGGTTGACTGCGGTCTGAAGGAGAATGAGGAAGCTGGTGAAATTGCTCTACAAATGAAGAACTGGATTGAAGGAATTCAGTACGGTGATGAGAGCCACCCTTGGAGGTAAGTCGATCTAGAGCCTACTCAATTCCCCCCCCCTACATTGCAGCTTGCTAATTCATACATAGCTACGTCCTATAATTTGAAAAAGGTTGGTTGGGATTTAAGCGGCATTATCACGCTTGCATTGCTAAATTTACCTGGTTGTCTTCTTGATAGACGGATATGAAAAGATTGGTCATACTCAGTTGATCATTGGTATACGGATTTTCGGGGGTTATAATTTGGCGAGCACGAGCATCACTTCCATAACGCAGTATTTTCCCTTCCCTATTTCCTGCGGCCAGCGGTAATTGTTGTACCCAAGTAATGGAGACAATTTGATTGGCACCTTTGACAAACGGGCTTAGTGAGGCACGGAGGTGTCATTGATGATGGAGGTATACTGGTAATCCTAGACAAGACGGAGCCAGCTATCTATCCAGCGTCACCAATCTGGGGCCGAATGCACAACATACACAGCCGCCCAGCAATGAAGATCAAGGATGATGAGGACGATGATGATGCATGCAAGGAGCTTGCAGATTACGATCTATGGCGGACGCAATCGCCCGTTCCTCTAGGAGATTACTCGCTGGACGCCTGAGGCAAATACCCTGCCTCGCATGGCTGCGCCTCACCCCTTGTGAGGTGCACAACAGCTGGCTCGCGGGCATGCACCTGAACTTCTGTAAATAGAAGCGCTATACAATTCTATCCCGGCCATGATGCTCTGGGGGTGTAACAACGACAAGACATGATCGACAATTGCCCGAGGCCAGTCGTCTCAGCCAGGTTTGTGAGTAATGTGGTGTTTCATCGACAGCGAAGTAGGCGCACCCCCACAATTCCCAGTTGGCTGCCCGGTTCCGGCCCCCGATCTCGAGTCAGTCGTAGGGGTAGTGGTACTGTGGTAGTAGTCGTGCAGGACAACTTCTGGAAGATCCCAACCACGAGTCTATCCAAACAGACCAATCAACTCCCAAGTCAATGGGCTCCATTCGGGCAACTACTACGGGCAAGATCGTCGAGTAGTCCCGCACCCACTATCTACCTAGAAGCTACCTACCTATCTAAACACTACTATTACTCTGCCGGCAGGATCCGTCCCGTCAGTGCCTCTGTCCATTCCAGTCCGAGACGGAGCGAGTCGATAACCACGCAATGCTCCATCAAGGGCCTTCTCACCAGTGAGAGTAGTCCAAGCAAAACGCGTGGTGGGGTCCCTCCATACCAACCGCGATGTTGATCACCATGGGATCTCAACCCGTCAAGTCCAACAAGGCAGAGTGGCAGTGTGCAAGCTCGACAGTGGGCCATGGAGCCGGTGGAATGTGAAACGGCAGCCGGAATATGGAGCGCATCCACCATCAGTTGACTCCAATCGAATACCAAGGAGTATCGTGGTCACGGCAGCACATCGACCCGACTCCATCTGAACTCCCTAGCTATCTATCTACTAGGTTCTAGGTCAGTAGGTCTAGGTTCTAGGTAATTCCTACGGCCTGCCAAGAGCAACGACTCTGCCCCATCTGTTCTGGACACGGAGCTGAACGAGCCGCAGTGGCCCCAAGCACTTGTTTGCCACGAGGCAATTACCCGAGCAGTGTTGGCTTTCCCTTGGAAAGAGAGTCGCTGCCTAGTTAGTAGGTGACCATAGTACTAGTCGGGGAGGGTAAATAACACATCCCCACAACATGAGGACATAATTGATGTCGGGAATGATTGGCGTAATCGGACTCCAAGAACTACATAGGAGGATGTTCCTTAATCTAACCCCATCCAGATTGATTGATTGCCTGAATTGAAGGATGCAGGCAGCATTACCACCGCCGTTACGGACCACCACCATCACCACCCTCGGAGTTCGGACCTACGTTTACCGCACCGTCCGGCAGCCACCGGCCACCAACTGACGAAATTGAACCTTCAGGAACTAATGCATGTGCCCTCGACAGTCAACAACAGATTCTGATTGGGAAAGAGGTGGCAGCTTGGCCATGGATAATCGGATTGTGATACGGACTCCAACCCTCGAGACGAATCCATGGTACGGATGGATACCTGTCCTACCACCTCGTCGGACAGGCCGACCATCCGACTAGTAAGTCTTTAGTTTCGAATTCCTATCCCCAATCTCACTAGCACCCCTGGTATGTGTACGTCCACGCCGGGTGTGCGCACCCACGTACACATGCGCGCACACACCTCTGAGGCTCTGCCGCGCAGGTTTCTGCAATCTGCATTAGTCCTGCGGCCATTTTAGGCATCGAGGTCGTCACAGTGCGTTGGATGCCACGGAAATGTCAACTGACTGCGGCCCTGGTTGTTCGTTTCAGAATAGCCGGGGTTTACGAGCACCCATGGAATTGCCAGATTTCGCAATTGCATCTGCATCTGCAGTATACTATTTATTCCAGTCGCCCGTGTCCTGCGCGTCCCTTCAATAAGGCCCAGGCAGGGGTCTTTAACGGGTAAGTACAAGGCTAAAAGCCCCCAGATTAAACGTTGTGGTGACAAAAGCCAGCTGTCTGGTATTAATTAAAAACAGTACCCCATGCAGCTGGTGGGTTAACGACGAGCTAAGGACACGCCGACCCAGAGCACTATTTATTGACGGGTGGTCATTGGCACGCTCGTTTAGTTTTACGCCCATTGACACATGGTAGGTAGCATCAGGGATATATTTTCCAAACGAGCCAAGTCCGAGTGCCTAGAATTCACAGTCGCATCGGCGCAGCCACTATCGCTACCATGCAATCAGGCTCAGTGTCGATCTTCTTGTGGGCTACGCCGGTATTCTCGTTTCAAGCTCGCAAGTTGACATCGGTCGCGAATCATAAGCGAGCGGGCCCTAGCACAATCTAACCACCTTATTACGTTGATGCAAAGGGTCTGTGAGCCCTGGCACCTGATGGATACTCGACATATGGAGCAGCAAGGGTGAAATGGGGGCCATTTTTGCCAGCGCTCCATTGTGAAACTAGTCCCCTGCTAGGTTGAGGGGGCGGAGGACCAGGAATTGTTGGCCTCATTTCCCTCCCTTAGGACAGCGACGTATCGTCTACTGGGACAATGGGGCCAACAATTATGCTAGAAGGAGGGAAAGTTGTGGGTTGTCGGGGACCATGCATCGACAGACCATCAATAGTGAATAAGGTGGTTTTGAGTCGTTTTGCCTCATCGTCCTGACTACTATCTCATCTTGTCCGCTGAAGCTTTACCAAGATGGGACTATAATGATCGTCAGATCTATGGAAGTCTGACTAGGTTCCTGAAAGCTTGAGGATTCCTCAGGCTTGCCTTTGTGCCGATGCCGCCGCTGGGATGCCTCCCTCCACGAGGAGTGCTGGCATGATTAAATTAGCATGTCCGATAAGAATGGCACCATCCCTCCCTTCCCGTCAGACGCCATGACCTTCGCACGTGGAGTCCCCGTACTTTGGCCAAGTGGGTTTTCGTCACCCACCCCTCCCGGTTGCGTGCGGGGGCGTCCAGATAACCATGCTGTCATGAGGGCAGGCGATTGATTCGCTGAGGTATGACTCACGGCCTCCTCACAGGGAGATCCGCGGGAATTGCCTAGTCCATACGGTCTCAGTATACGGAGTACCTTTAAATTGCCTGCCTGGCTAATCTACAACTAGCGCCAGCCTACTTTCTAACAAGTCGTTGCCCACTTCTATAATAAGGTGCGGTCAACGTACTTGCTTACCTCTAATGAACGGAACACGGCCTCACCCCTAGATACTTAGACCTTATCAGGATGACGTCCTGCATTTAAAGAAATTGGGTATTTGGAGCTAACGGTCAAAACTACTGCAAGGCGTGGGCACACAGCATTCCTCAATATTATTAATATCTCAGATGCCGCAGAAGCCGGCCAGTTGAAATGATCAAGCAAACAAACATACCCAGTCTGTCCCGTCTGCCAAGCAGAAGTGCTTCTAGACATGTACCAGAAGGTTCGATTCAGTATCTGGCGGCCCTTGGCTGCTGAGGTCCTCCAATCCCTGTCGCAGGCGGGCTTCCGTACCATTAGGCAGGTGGTCGACATGCAGATTTATACGAGCAGTGGCCTCGGTCAATGATTATAAGGTGTGCCCAGCTCTGGCACACCAGTTTGGCACACAAAACCTATTTGGGGAAGAGTGCAGGACAGCCAGGCACATCCATACGAGATAGGGTTACATGGGTTAGCAAAGATAGTGTCATGGGTTGTCATTTCTTGTATCAGATGGAGACACATATGCAGATGCAGACTCGCACAGGCAAGACAAGAGCCAGGGTACGGAGTAGGGGGAAAAACATATCGCCGCCTTTAGAACCTGGGCATTCCGACCGGGCGATGCATGTGATTCAGCAAAGCCTCATAGTAGGTAGCCTGCTACAGTGCTGCCTCTGATCTTGAATCGGGCCGGGCAGCCCTTACACAGGTTCACCGTTTGGCTAATAAGCCATGGGCCCCTCAGCCCTATACATGGAAGTGGTTGCAGGCAGGCCTTGACGTCGACACCTGGTTTTGAGGCAGTGTACATATGACCGTATGGAATACCCGACTGGAATCTGCAAGTGATTGAGCCTCAAGGGAGACATCTCCAGGGTCGATCGCCAAATGCGGCAAGTGGTTCGTTAAGCCCGAAATGACACCTTGGGGCTGAAAAGCCTCTCGCTTCCGCGCATTCTGACTGGCTCGCTCGTGTACCATGGGATCCGTCCAGTGATCCGCCCACTTGCTCCCCCTCCCCGGTTATCCACAGGGTTTTTTGGGGTGTCGATCTAATTTGTAATGGCATCCACTAGGCACAGGGGGGGCCCTGGTCTCAGATTACAAACCGAATCTGGCAATAGTTTTACCATGTTCTATTGGGGCGTTTTCTTTTCGATTCCCTCCCGGCTACAATTTAACATAGCCACCGATTTGACCAGGGGTCTGGAATGTTGTATGCACCCACCACCCTTGATGAGTGAACTTGATAATGCAACAATCTCGGGCAATGTGCGTACTACATATATATATACACCTATGACGACATCCGGACGCAGTCGCGATAAAGATGCGTATTAATAATTAGCAGTCATCTGCAGATTATCCGTATAGGGTACCCGAAAAGAAAAGCAAAGCAGATAAAAGAAACTTTAAAATAAAAATATCACAGCAAAAAGTATAATAAAGAAAAATAAACGACAACCCAAAGTGGACAGGAAAAGAAAAAAAGAAAAAGAAAAAGACCGAATGCGGGATAGACAGACAGGAAGAGAACCTCGGGGGTGGCAGCCTCCGAAACAAGGCTATCCATCTCCGGACTGTCCGCTACCCGGGCTGTGCTTGATCGGTTCAGGATCAAATGATCAACTGATCTGCATGTCCTCTCCATGTTTCATTGCGCCCTTCCACTGACTTCCAAGCATCAGCAAGGTATCGCATAGTTGACAAAGATAGATGAAACATTTTATCTGTCTCCCTCAAGCAAGCTGTCAACGAATGATTACCTTGCTGACCTACATGGAAGGAATGAGACTTGGGATTAAGGTGGAAGGCTCCCCCTCCATCCCTCCCACCACCCGTTCGGAGTAGGTGAGATCTTTATCCTTAGTGTGCTGCCAAGATCGAGGGGTGCAACGTGGCAGAAGTCGAGACCGTGCACTAGACGGGCTGCTCGTGTCAGTCGAGGCACACACTTCTCTCTCCAGCTTGACCTCGACCTGCAGATAGACGACGCAGGTGGTCAGTCGGAGCCGTGCCTAGTAAGTATGTACGATGTATGTACGAGGGAGCCTGCACCGTGGTCGGCAACCAAACTATCCATGCCTCTCTCTGGCACCCAGATTTGGCAACCGGAACCCCCAGGTATGATTGGATGGGACGCACTGGGAAGGCTATTCTGAGAACCATGCAAGGTAGAGACAGGCTACTTGCTGCCGGGCATCAGATTGAGTCTGATTCTCGAGGGGGGGGAGGGGCTGAAGAAGTGTGTTTGTTACGGGCTGTGTGTGGACATAACGGTCAGGTCGAAAAGGATCCTGAAAGTGGTAACCTCTGCGTGCATTAGTCGTAGCCCACGCGTAGCCCGTAACCCGTCCTCGTACAGAGAATACGCCGGCGTGTTAGACCCGAACTGCCCCGGCGATACGAAATAAGCAACCGGGCAACTGATATGCAATACCTAGCAGATTACTAGGTGCTCCCATATCCCGTTTCTGCATATGGTTCGCCGAAGCTGGTCGAAAGAAGCCGCTTGAGCCTTGAGACCTTGAGAGGAGGAAGGAATCATAAGGCCGTCTATCCAGCGGTAATCTGCACAATGGCAAGGCTCTGGTAATCTGGTTATGAAAGCCATTGGATCTGAAGGATGAGTCGGCTAGTCGCTGCTAAATGAGATGGTGACATCGGCCACCAATCACTCTATACGACGAGATTAAATGGCCTACAGGCGGGATTCCACCGTCCATGGTTCACTCGGACCCGTC